GAAGGCTATAGCTGCTTCCTTAAGCTTCTCAAAATAGAGTATATTCCGCTCCCTTATACCCACAAATGAGGTATTATAACCCTTACGGTACCTCGGGCAGCTAGAGCCCTTATGGCTCTTTCTAGCTCTTACAATCTGGCTCGGTTAAAGGAGCCTAAATCTGATGTAAAAATCTCGAGCTGTTGAAGTTGCTATTTTCCTATTTCGGCTTAGTGCTATTTCTGCTGGCGAGGCAAGGCCTTTGCCGCCCTCTTTTCCTTTCTGTTTTCCGCCCTCAACCCTCTAGGCCCCTTAGTCTCTTTTGGATGCCTCTTATAGTAACTTTTGCCCATGGAGCTGTCTGCCTGATATGGTATTTATTGGGAGGGATTATCGTGCGAGGGGGAGTGTGAAGGACAGGGTCTACTTTGGCCTGTGGCACAGTGCTGTTATCCCACACACTGTGGGATTACACTGTGACCACAAGGGTCCTCGAAGGCAGCCTTTAGGGCTTTCCTTCCTAACCTCACTTATTTCAGTCAATTCAACTAAGTCAAGCTATTCCTTTCGTATCCTGACGGTGATGACCTCTTTTAGCCCCTTTGGGTAACCTATTTCCACTCTAACGTGCCATTGTCGTCTTCACACATAAATAGTCAATCATGGTCAGATCGGTGCATATGACATCGCTCCTTTTTAGCATTGGAACGAGGTGTCTTGCAAAGTCCTTACATTATGTCTTCCCTTCTAGATTCTCCCTGGTTCCTTCATAGTCTCACCTCGCAAATACCATTCTCTGCTGCTATCCCTAGCATCCAGTGACCATCAGTTGTGAGCTGCTGACCGCCTCCCTTCTCCCGACTACAATTCACCGTTGGCGACTCAATGATGCTTGATTCGATTTATTGAAACACTCCTTTCCAGCTGCTCTTCCAGAACTCCAATCTCATGATCATTGTTGAAAAGACACCGGGTTCACACCTCCAAACCTATTCATGCCAAAGACCGTACCTTGGTCCATGCTCCTCTTTTCAAAGTGATTAAATTCATTAGACGTACACCCAAAGTGCCTCGTTTCGGCTGCCGTGTTGACGGGGGCTGTCACATCACAAATTTGCTAGTCTCGACATTCACTCTTCACTTCAGCAGCCTGGTCGGTTATGAAGCAAGCCAGGTTTCCCATCACATAGCGATGTTTTAATTCTGCCTATCGCTCTCGCAAACGTGCCAATCTGCCCAAATTACTCAACAGAAAACTTGACGACGAAGGTAGGGGTCGGTTTTTCCCCCGGCAGACGTATTTGTTCCGTGGCTATGTGGCATTGCCCTACCATGACACCCTCATCAAAACCATCTCATCTCCTATGTGCCAGTTGGGGGCCAACCTTCTCTCCAGCGAACAAAGAGGGTGTGCCAACGGGCGCAATGGCTCAGCCAACAGTGTCGAATCCTTCGCGCAGGCCTTAGGCACTGGTGAGCCCATTGCAATCTCACATGAGAGGCCTTGACATCTGCATGGCTTACACCTACCTGGAGTTGCACAGCATCATGCATGGGTAATCAGCATTGGTTAGACATGAAGCGTCTGCAATGCGCTCTTTATAAGCCACAACATCACACTTAACCTTTGTCCATGCCTACCTCGCGTGTGGGCGCTTCTGCAACCGTCTTTATGGAGTGCTTCTTCGTACCCGGCCTAATAGCAAGCTGCATCGTAGACTGCTGCAAGGTCGGAAAATTGTAGTGTCACTTGCGGATACCAATGCACATATCGATGTTTCAAGATTGGGCCAACCCTGCAGTTCTACTCGAGGGCGTCCTCACAAGCCAAAACTTGGTTCAGGTAGTGCATCCTCAAATCCTCGCTTTCTGCTGCCTCTGTAAGAAACCAAGAGTTGCCGAATGGCTTACGAGGCTTGGTACATTATGTGTCAGGTCATTTGATCCCAAATATGAGGGATATTTATCCAGACTACCGTATTATGGGAAACTCCTGGGAAGACCCATACTGTAGATGCTCAATGCAGCAGTGCCACTCTGATGCATTTTGTCTTCACGTAAACCAACAGTGTGAATGTCGTCGAGCTCTGCTATCGGATGATTACTTTAGAGATGATAAACATGCATGTTGACTCTTATTTCTTCCCATTTCCATATTTCCCCCCAAGTGTGCTGGTAAACTTGATACATGCATCTATCTGATCGCGCTTAGACAGAATGTCCATACACCATCAGTACTAGGAATCGTTGGACAATCAATGTATAAACGAGAAAATAGCAAACCAAACCATACGACTTTACACTTTAAAGCGAAATGAACATGTTTGAAGTATACTATGTACCGTCCTCCTCCTACACAAGTCACTTACCCTAGACCTCCACGACCGAGTGCCACGAATTCGATCGGCCAGGACTACCCTGAGCTAGGCTTCCCGACCTTGGGAATAAAATTGGCCCAAATCGGTAGCATCGGCATTGGTTTTGTCGTCGAGTACTTTCATAATATTGACTTAGAGTGACCAGTTTGGTCTAAGAGGCAGCTCTTATCACAGACGCGGACGACTGCATGATGAAAAGCGCAGGATGATATCTGCATGATGAGTTGTGTCATGCAGGAGGCTTTATGAATTGTGAAGTGAAACTGGACCGACGCGCCATTACACCAGTGGCGGTCATGACACGCCATTTCTTGCCAATGCTGTTACTATTGGAGGGATCGTCCGAAGAAGCAGATGTCAGTCATTGGAGGAAGGACCTCGACCTTCGACTACTTCAAGCCACCAACGAGTCAATGGGCTCAGTGTACAGAGTAGACAGTGTACAAAATTCCAACTCTCATAAAACTTGGACATTGCAAACCGGGTGGTGGGGGTAGATAAGCAAGTGAGGATGGGTAAGTTAACCGATGAGTGATGTTGGTACGGTCATGAACAAGAACTTGGAGCATGGATTATGAACCTTCCTCGGAGAACTAGATAACAGGGAGACAATAATAGCCTTAACCAAGCGGCAAGCAGGACCCAGTTATAGAGGGGAATGATCCGAGAGTCAGAACCGCCGACGACTGACCTTGTCCAAGTTAAGACCTCACCTCGCCGATCCTTCTGGGCAAGCCTAGCGAGCAAGCATACAGTGAGCCCGCATGTTTCACCTAGAGCTTAGGCGACGCCAATTGTGCATTTCGGCCGAAGGCAAAATGCGGATGGCTGGGTTAGGGTCCAATCCGAGGCAAGATTGGTGGAGCTTGGATGTATGTAGGTCCGTTGAGGGGACGGGGAGGGATTCCTCACCACCCTTCCTCACCACCCTTCCTCACCACTCGTGGACACGAGACATGGGACACGACCGCGTCGTCATCCAGCCGACAAAGGCCGGCTCGGTGCGAGACCAGAGCCGCTAGCTTTAGAAATAGAAAATCCGCCAAGTGACAAAGGCCGCTATCTCGGTTGAGTTCTGCACGAAATGCCCCTAGAACAACGGGAGCGCTTGTACATTTCTATTTATGTCTCGGTGCGTTGCAGACGTTAAGCGATGGGCCGCGGCAATCGTACGTATGGGCGAGACTGGGAAATCGGGGTTGCTTCGAGAAAGCCGTCCCGGAAAGTTGCTTGCGAGGACTCACAAGCACGGGAGGGCTTGGAAAGGGTGGAAAATGCTCCGTAGCGTGGGTTGTGATGGGAATGCAGCGCATGCGTATGCAAGCCTCATCACACTTGCTAGCAGGACATAGGCGCGCTGGCGGCTATCGAGCGCTCCGTTGTGGCCAGCGTGGAAATTGAGGCATCGTTATTGCCGGGGGGTCCTAACCAGATCTGTTTAGGGCTACGGAGCAGATGAACCGTGGGCCAGGGATCAGCGGGCAGTTCGGTTCTGTTTCTGGCGGGCGGGCTTCGATTGTTTCTATGTTTAACAGCGGCCATGGATCTGGAGGAGGATGTAGGCCGGAGATGAGGTCTGACCGTTGAGGGTCGCCGGGTAAACGGCCTGGAAGGGTTCTAAGCACCTAATTAAGGTCTAATTAGTCTCTACCTACTTACTTGACTATCAGTCTGACAGTTGAAGCACATGCCTCATGACGCAAATGCCAATCCCCTCTGCCCGGCGCCCCCCGCGTTGCCACTGCTCATCTCGGTCGGATCTGGTTTTGGGCGTCAGTCGGTCAAACAACGACCCAATGGCAGCGCCCCGTCTCCCAGCCTTCCTGGAGATAAGGTGGACGGAGAATGGCTGGGGGCAAACAAATGCCAAAGTGTATTTCGATTCAGTGGTCTCGTGGAGCCAGTCGGCCTGGTACAGTTACAGGCCCAGCAGGCCGCAGAGAGGGCCGGCGGTTACAGTAGGCCACTGATTCCCCGTGGCCGGGCATCAGACCCGTCCGCCAACCCACACACCAAAAACAACAAGGCGACATGCTCTCGTCGCCCGACTGGCCAGTGAGACGACGCCTCGTCAAGCCAACTCCGCTGCCGCCAAGACGCCGGCCGTGTCCGCCTCCGCGATTGGCCAGGTCGGTTGTAGACCCCCCGTCAGCATCGCAGCAGAGGGCGTCAACGTCGCGTGCGGGCTGGTCGAGATACCGTCCCATTGGCCGCCATCGTCCGCCAGTGGCCGCTCCCCCGGCCGTTGTGCGTCTGTCGTTTCTATTCTCGGCCGTGGGCGACTCGGCCAGAGCATGGGTCGCCCGCACCGGAGTGGACTGGATGCGACCCGGCCTGCTCTGATCGGCCCCAGTCCTGCCAGAAATCACTAGCGACTATTGCCCCAAGGAAGACAATGCTGCATGCTTGCCAGGGTTGCCTCCACCCGACGGGGCCGTTCAGCTGGTCGCCGCCAGCCATGCAGCACCGAAACTTTGTAGTTTCCGACAGCCCATGGGCCATGGCCATATATCTTCGCCAACCGCCCGTCAGACGAACGGGCTTCTAGCTTCAGCCTCTGTCTATCTCGGATCTCGTGCCTCCGTCGACTGGATCTTCGAAACGGCCTGGCAGAGAATATTCCACGGTACGCATGCTGGCCATGTTGATGCGGACCCTACGGTAGCAGCTCTATTCAACCTCCCCGCCAACCACCAACTGGAGACGACCCAGACAAAACCCCGAGCCCAAGACCAACCATGGCTTCCTCTCCAATCTCCCTCGCCCTGCTGCTGGCGTTCCTCCTCGGAACCGTCCTGGCCCTGGAAGTGACGCCCGGTTCGTCATGCGCCACTTTCTGCCTCGACGAGGTATCAGGCAATGGTTTCGACCCCAAGGCGTCCACCACCAACACCTCCGACATCACCTGTAAAGACTCCGACTTCTCCAAGCAGGCCGTTGGCATCAAGTTTCAGAACTGCCTGGAATGCCTCCAAAAGAGCGAGAAGGTCAATGGAACCGAGTCCGACCTCCATTGGTATCTTTGTAAGCTATCCGAAGCAAAGCCCTGAATGGGCTGAGTCCCACGAGTTCCGCTAACACAGTCAAAGACAACTTGCGATACACCATCAGCACCTGTCTCTTCTCCATCCCCGCCGCACCATCATTCGAGATTGATTCGCCTTGTGTTATTGATTACGGGTGCCAGCCGTTCAGAGAATCATTGACCTTTGACAACCTCAACTCGACATCGAACGAGACCTACGGCTACTGCGAGGCAGACGATGGCGTATTCATGGGATCTAAGCTCAAGGGATGCATCAGCTGTCTCCAGTCCAGCGGCAACCAAGTGTATCTATCTAACTGTATGTCCACTTCTTTCTGGGAGATGACCACTACTAACAACCTCTGCAGTCATGATCGCCCTTGAAGCCGGATGTGAGCAAAAGCCCGACCCTGGTAGCCGACTTTACCTCAGCGGCACCGTCTTCACCACCACCGCCGTCAACATCACGACTGCTGGCGAAGACATCCTCGACAAGCCCGAGGGTGCGAGCTCATCTAGCATGACGACCGGCACCATCGTCGGCATTGCCGTCGGCACCGCGCTGTTCTTCTTCAGCGCCGTCTCCCTCTTCTACGTCTACTGGCGGAAACAGAGGCAAGCCAAGAGAGACGAGAAGGCTTCCTATCACGGCAGCAACACCGCCACCCCGGACCCCTTCCTGCCCCCCGACGCCCGGGGCATGTCGGCCTCACTTCGCTCCTACAGCGCCCAGAGCCACTACGACAAGGGCGGCCGGATGACGGCCGGCGACTACTACGACCGCATGGACCAGGAACGTAACGGCGGCAGACTCAACTACAACTTCGACCCCCGATCGTCAAGTCGGGGACCCAACACTGCGCTTCCTACCCACACGGCATATAAACCCAGCGCCATCTCCCGGGCTGCCCAGATGGAAAGCAACCCTTCTGTCCCGCCACCCACCCACGAGCGCACCGATTCCAAGACGGCGAACTCTTACGCCCTCCAAACCTACATTAATACCAACGACGACGCGGCTACAGTCGCAGCCGCCGCGGCCGCCGGCCATCCTGCTCCCCCGCCATACACTGGCGGTCCCGTAAACGGCCCCTCAGCAGCCGTCCCACCACCACCGCCGGGCCCTCCTCCGTCCAAGCAACCCAAACATTCAAAAGTCCCCTCATTGACTATGCCCTCCGTCCCCAGAATACGGATGCCGAAGAAGTACATGCCGCCGACGGTCGTGGTATCGGCCGCGTCTCCAACCGATGAGTTCGCCCCGATCATGAACATTTCTCAGCCGGTCATGGGCGACGATGCGAGGTTCCACGACGCACCCCTCGCAGGTGGTGTCATTTATGCCGATAACGCACCAGAGCGCACGGGACAGGATCTCGGCGAGGTGCCTCTAAGAACCGGCAAGAGCACACTTTATGGAATTTGATTTGAGACGATACGGCGCGAGTTTGGGATGGCAAATGTCAAATGAAACGGAGTTTCAAGGAAAGCAATGGTCCACAGTCCAGGATCAACGGGATTGAGCAAGGAGTTCCGGGCATTGGCAATTAAAGGTTCATAATGCATAAATTGATGATGATATCGTACACGCTTCTCTTGTCTAATCTTGAAACCATGGTTTAACCTAAGCGCTGACCGCGACCGCGGGTCTTCCATGAGTCTGGGAGAGGCCCCCTCGAGGCACCGGAGCTGGTGCCAGATGCTGGGTCGTCAGGTCGGATAGCTGTACCGAAGCCTCTCTCGAGAACCCGGGGTGTGTGTACAAGGCGCCTGACAAAGGCAGGGGTGGCGAGGATATTAGGGCCTCCGCCAAACTCGGGCCAAGTTCTAGACAGGAAATCATACAGATGGGCAGCCACAAAACCCTCAAGCTGGAGCAGCATGGCCATGTGACCTCCAGGGAAGAGGAGGTTGACTAGGATCATGGCGATTGGCGTCAACTGGGCCGGGATGGTGATGAAGTAGAATGTGGCCTTCATACCCCGCTGATCCTGGGTCACGGTGTAGGCCATGGCGAGGATCAGAGCCCGAAGGAAGGTTTGGAATGGCAAAGCACATAAGTAATTAATCATCTAGCAACATTGTTAATGTCGGTCACAGGAGGACAAATAAACAACAACTAGTGTTGTGGATTTAGAAATGTAGGGAACTATAAAAACCACTCGAGCGAATTGAGAGTCGAACGAGCCATCCATAGATTCCCACCATGCCCACACCGCAGACCAACCCGGATTTTGCGAATGATGGGAGGTCCGAAGTGCAGGGGTAATCTTCCTCATTTTCAGGAACCGTGATAGCTGTGGATGCAAAGCACTATCCGGGCAGATAGATGAGGGGAAAGGGGAAGGGCAAGGAGCGGAGCACAAGGTGGACGGGCGAAAGCTTACCAAAATCGTTCCACTGATAAACATCAAGTACCAGACGACGTCGGCCTTGCGCGGGAAGCGCGGGTTGCCAATTTCCAGTTGGGAAAGGTAATGGTAGAGGAAGTAGGAGTCAAAGAGCAAACTGAGACCGCTCCCAGTGATGAGATAACATGTTACGAGACGCCATATCTGGGGAGGAAACATCCAGAGGTAGAACGGGTGGTGAATGAACCAGTAGAATGGCAACAGGCCCAGGTGGACGCTGAGGGAGAGGACCGCGGTAATAGAAGTCAGAGTCCTGTAGAGGAAAGCCTGGTTAGCATGGCTGTGATTGGAAGGGATGCGAGGGTAGCGCGGCGCAAACTTACCTGGCAATGGGTGGCATCTGCCAGAAGGCATCGAGGAGATTTTCCGACATGTTGGGCAACTTTGCTCAATTGCGGTAGGCAGCAGGGAAAAATAGCAATCAAAAGCACCCAAAGGCCACGGTCCAGGAGGCAGGTGTTTATGAAGGGGGGAGAGACGGAGACAAAGACAGAGCCCTGGGCGTTGTGGCACCAGGCAACGATGTACTCATCGTTGATGCTTGCGTGTCATCTTTGTTTTGGGAGAGATGAGCACAGAAGAGTTTGGAAGAAAGGGAATGGTGGTTATAAAGAAAATTCCAGTAGGGCAAAATTGTGCTATAGCGGGGCGCGGGTGGGGACGGGAAGCTGTTCGCCGAGCTCCCGTGCGGTGAGGCTGATGTGAAGTGTGGCTGGTGCAAGGCCCACAACCTCCAAATTGCGGAGTGGTGTACGGGGATTGCTCGGCAAGAACTGGTGCAGCAAGGTGAGCTAGTCGCAGGAAACCTTCTCGTGTGGCTCTACGTAGGTTACAGTACATGGCCTGACAGACGGATTGATTATTTCTTCTTTTCAATTACATTGACTGGCCTGAACGTTGTTCCCACAGCCGATTGACACCTTCGCAATAACCCACCACATCTCAATTGCATCAGCGACCCGCCGCTAAGATGCGTTCTGAGGGCATGAAGAGTGAGGAGGCGACCGATGCTGCTTGGGAAGCTACCAAGGGAGGTCTCACCGGAGCTGCGAAGTGGGGAGTCGGCGCCGCGATCTTGGGTGCGGCTGGGTATTTCTGGTCTCCGGTGTATCGGGGCACAACGATTCAGTTCAAAGTGTATGACCTCATCAAAGCATGCCATCCGTCAACGCTCACACGTCTCACAGGTACTTGCAAATGTCGGGTATGGTGCTGGGAGGCATGATCCACGCCGACGGAAGTCTCAGGAAATACGAGCATGAGATGCGAGTGAGGAGGAGCTGGTTGCGGGAAAAGGCGAAGTGGGAGCAGTACGAAGCCTCGCTTGCAAGCGAGAATGAGAAGAAAGGGAACAACTAATTCCACAGTACTCACAGGGATTGTATAGTGCCATGGGATCTGGATGTATATTACGGAAAAGGCGGCCGTCGAGCTGTCCATGTAAAATCACATCTCTTTCGTTCGGTTTATTTCACTTGCTTAGATGCCGTCCAACTCCAACGCCGAATCATGCAGCCGCTGTCATATCCCCTTGAGCACCCCGTCTTACTTGGAGGCTACTCGGAATCGTTTCGGGTCCATGTTGATCTTGCAAAGCCGCACAACACACCCGCTGAGCTGGAGCAAGGTCTGCACACCCTCTAGCACCTTCATGTGCGTGAAGCCAATCTCCTTGATGAACTCCAGTTTCGAGTGCTCACTGAGTGTGGGAATCGTCTTGGTGACCTTGAACATGGTGCTGATGATGTCGTGGCTCGAATATCCGAGATCCCACAACTCCCGTAGCGTGTCCAGTGCCGAGTCCACGTTGCCCTCGTAACACGCCTTCAGCATCGCCTGCACCTTGATCGGGTGTGGTGAGTCGACTACCTTGAAGACATTGTCTCCCGACACGAATCCAAAACCGGCAAATGTGGACTGCAGGTTGTTGATAGCCTGTCGCATATCTCCCTCCGCGCTGAAAACCAATGCTGCCAGACCGTCATCGCTGAATTCGACCTTTTCTGCCTCGATGATTTGCATCAAACGCTTCACGACTTGGGCGTCGGTCAGCTTGGCATATCGTAGAATGGCGCATCTCGACTGCAGGGGCTCAATGATTTTGTTCGACTGATTGCAGGCGAATGCAAATCTGGTGGTGTTGGAATAGATCTCCATCGTTCGTCGGAGGGCTTGCTGGGCGCCAGATGTCATGCTGTCGGCCTCGTCGAGAATGATCAGCTTTTGGCGGCCGGGAGGTAGAGTGACCTTCTTCTGCGCGAATCCCTTGATTCGGTTTCGCACCACATCGATACCTAAGTAGGGAGTCAGCCAGGACCATATATGCTCTTGCATGAAGAGACAAACCTCGCTCGTCACTGGCATTAAGCTCCAGCACAGCTTCTTTGTACGAATCTCCCAGCATCTGTCGAGCTAGACACAGCACACTGGTCGTCTTTCCGATCCCAGGCATTCCCGAGATAATGACGTGTGGCATATTGCCCTCCTTGGCGATAATCTTGAGTCGCTCGATCGTCTCTGTGTTGCCCACGACATCGTCGAGGAAGATTGGGCGATACTTTTCCACCCTGCAAAAGCGTTAGTGAAGCTGCGTGACAGGGCGGAAGCGTCTGGGTCGCACCAAGGAAGTTCATAAGATGTTGAGTTGGAAGGAGACGACTGAGCTGCCTTGGAGGCAGCTGTGGACGACTCGCCACGTTCCTCTGGTTTTTGGGCCGCCATCGTGGAGTTGTGACTGAGATAGAAGAGTTGAATGTTGAATATTCAATCACTTTACGCGATCTGGAGGGGAAGACGCGTCGGGAACTTTGGTCCCAGCGCTGCAGGTACAATTTGAAGATGGTCCGTGCGCAACATCTGGAAGGGCCCCCACCCGGCCACCGCTTTTCCCGTCTCCATGGCAAAATCCAGCCCGTGACAACTTTTTGAGCCTCTCATTCTTCCGGCGACAACGAACAGAGATACCCCCCAAAACACGCTCCCACCGACCGCCGACGCCTGAAATTTGGACTCAACATTATTTTCAACATCCCGCGATCGACCTTGCCGCCGATTTTCTGAACCATAAGCCATGGGTGTTGCAAAAAAGACCAGAAAATTTGGACAGGTGGGTTAGCCTTATCGATAAGAGGCGCAATTGCGAAATTTCAAGATGTCTGTACTGACCAAATGGCCGTCTCAACAGGTGAAGCGAGTCATCGGCCGCCGCGATGCTCGGTTAAAGGAAAACCAGGCCAAGGCTGAGCTGGCCGCGAAGGAGAAGGCGGCCAAAAAGACCGTCGGCGGCGAGCTCGTCCGCGAGGCGCCCCAAATGCCCAGCAACATGTTCTTCCAACACAACACAGCCCTCGTGCCGCCCTACAACGTCCTCGTCGATACCAACTTCCTCTCCCATACCGTCCAGCGCAAACTATCGCTCGTCGACTCCATGATGGACTGCCTTTACGCCAAGTGCAACCCCATCATCACCTCGTGCGTCATGGCTGAGTTGGAGAAGCTGGGGCCCAAGTACCGCCTTGCGCTGCGCGTCGCCCGTGACGAGCGCTGGCAGCGGCTCGAGTGCGACCACAAGGGTGTGTACGCCGATGACTGCCTCGTCGACCGCGTGCAGAAGAACAGGATATACATTGTCGGGACCAACGATAAGGCGCTGAAGCAGCGTCTAAGGAAGATTCCTGGTGTGCCGATTATGAGCGTGGCCAGGGCCAAGTACGTGATAGAGAGATTGCCTGGAGCACCGGATTCATAGAGCGTTTGTTTTTGATGAATTAGATAAAAATACTATTTTACGACCCATTACAATTGTTTGCCATGTATCCTTTGCCTTTTATCTTGTTGAGTGTCTCTAGATTGAATAGTGTCGCTCGCGTTAACCGTATATTAAGTCCGCTCAGCCGCCGCAGCTGGCTCCGGCGTTAACTCCCAGTGGATTCGGAGTCGCGCCTTTGCGACCCCAACTGTCTAAGCCACGTCAACTTCCTATTGCCTACAGGATTACTTCATCAACATACTCGCTCGACGATACGGAGAAAAAATACCCTGTCAATCACGACACACTATTCTCCGCTAAATGCACAGGACTTATTGAAAGCTGTCTATCACAAGTTGTCTCACACGTTGTCAAGTGGCCCGTGACGCAATGGACTCCAGCCCCAACGACAACTCCTCCGCATCAGCCCAGGATCGCCAGAAGCGCTCGCGCATCGTCCTCTCCTGCTCGCCCTGCCGCGCCTCCAAGCTGAAGTGCGATCGCGGCCAGCCTTGCAGCCAGTGCGCCAAGAAGGACCGCGCCAACCAGTGCCACTATGCGCCTAAACCTGAGAGGAAACGCCCTGCAAAGGGCATGTCAGCCCGTCTCAAACGCCTGGAAGGCATGGTCCGCGAGATGATGGATACTGAGGCCTCTGCAGAGGTCGCTGCGGAAGCCTCTGTGCCTAAACCTGGAGATCAAGATGACGCGGCACCGGCGGGACCTGCGGTTCGCGGGCGAGTTGTGAGGGGAGAAAATGCAACGACGTATGTGGGAGCGACGCACTGTATGGCCATGCTTGAGGATGTAAGTGAATGCCAAGATATCTGGTATGCTTTTTATGCGTCCAGAGTTCTGACAACATCTAGATCGAGGACCTGAAGAGCTATTTCGAGCAACCGGATGATATCGATGAGATTGAAGCTGGGGAGCTGGACTCAGCAGAGGTGCTTCTGTTTGCCCGGGCTGGCCCTAGGAATCGTGAGGACTTGCTGAGCTACTTGCCAGAACGAAAGGTTGCAGACAGGCTTATCACGAGATACTTTTCCTCTATGAGTCCGTCTCAACGTAAGCATAGGCCCGGGGAATCAACTACTTGCCAGAGAGCTTACAAAGGACAGATATTATTCATCGACCAACCTTTACCAGAGCCGTGAGTGAGACTTGGAAGACATAACCCTTGGTATATCTGACATCGAGACCTAGTATGCGAAGTTCTGGCAAGATCCCAGCAAGGCCTCTCTGCACTGGATAGCCCAGCTTTTCATGATGCTTGGCCTAGGCGTCCTTTTCAACACATTTATGAACTTCAGCGAAGTTGAGGGTGACTCTCCGGACCAGCCTCTGGATAGGATGCGTCTCTACAAGACCTGCGCCGGATGGGCGTTGGCTTGGGGCAAGTATGCGCAGCCGACCATCACTACCCTTCCGGCATTTCTGCTCTACGTTGAGTCTCACTTCCTCTTTAACCGCGCCGCCCAGACAAATTGCTACATCCTCTCTGGCGTGTGTCTGCGGCTGATGCTTAAGATGGGCTTACACCGGGACCCGAGCAAGTTGGCCAACATATCCCCCTTCGAGGGTGAGATGCGACGCCGCATGTGGAACATGGCCATCCAAGTCGAGCTGATCGTGTCGTTTCATATGGGCCTCCCGAGTATGCTCCAGGGTTTCGAGACCGACACGACAGTCCCGCGGAATCTACAAGATGAGGACTTTGACGAAGACTCAGTCGAACTTCCACCCAGCCGCCCCCCTTCCGACTACACCACGATGACCTACCCGATCTACAAGACCAATATCCTCCGCATCTTTGGCCAGATCGCACGACAGGCACACGCCCTTGCACCACCAAGCTACGCTGACGTCCTTAAGCTTGACAACTTGCTGCGGGAGACGTGGCGGACTGTGCCGTCGTTCATGCAAGTTCGCCCACTCGACGAGTGCGTTGGGGATCCCCCCATGCTTTTGATCCAGCGCTTCGGGATCGCTAGCCTCTATAACAAGAGTCGCTGCGTGCTACACCGGCGGTACCTGGCTGAGGCAGTTCCTAAGCGCGAGCATGACTATTCGCGGAAGCAATGCCTCGAGAGCGCGTTGACGCTCCTCGGCTTCCAGCATACCATTTGGGAGGCGTGCAAGCCGGGTCATGTTCTCAGCCAGAACGGCTGGTTCATATCATCGCTCGCAGTGCACGACTACCTGCTGGCAGCCATGGTGCTGTACCTTGTTATCAGAAACGAGCAGTACTCGGAGACAGGAGGCGAGTTTGACTGGATGGCGCAGACGACACTGACACCTACCAAAGCGGAGCTCACTGGCTTGATCAAGCGCTCATATTACATCTGGGCCGACGTAGCTACCGACGTGCCCGATGTCAGGAAGACGGCCGATACGCTGGCCACCATGCTGGCCAAGTTGGGTAGCCCTGTGGATGGCCCGGCCAAGATGCCAGGCGAGACACCGCACCCTCGGACAACGAGCACCGGCAACTCCTCCTCCTCTCTGGGAACGTCCATGGGAGCACCGTCGATGGATCCTAGCCCAATGGACACTCTTGGAAACGACTCAGATATTCTTTCGACTCTGGGGCTTGGTACGACGGTTCCGGAGCAGATGATACGGGACAGAGGTGCTGACTGTGACCTAGGTTCGACATCAGGGCTCGGGGTGAGCCAAGCTCCCTTATCTCTGGGCCAGCCGGCTGAGGCGGCTGCCAGCATGAATTTCCCAGGGGTAGATGCCATCGCTGGTGGATTCTCAGGGGGGCTTGACTTTGATCCGTCGTGGATGGAGGAGACTGCGGCTACTATGGATTGGGTAAGAGATTGGGACATGACAAAAGGGACAGGGACACAAGCTAATGAGTTTGAAAGCGTTATCTCGACATTTCTCTCGCTCACAGTCATGATTCTGGGCGAAACGAGGACACGGGCCAAACGTGGATGGAGCGTCCTCCGCCACTGGAGGACTTGGACATGATGGGACCTGGCGGATGGGGACAAGCTCCCTCCGGAAACAATTTTTAGGGGATTTTTGGTGAGATAAGGATGAAATGAGATCTTGGGCAGAGCTGAGACTGCTTCTATATCCGGGTTGGCGCGGAAGATCACGTCTGAGATTAGGCTGAGGGGGTGGGCGAGCCGTACCTCCGTTCTAGTCTGCGGTTCTCCAGTCTGCGGATCAATCCGGACAGCCGCTCTGTCCTCCTTCCTGGCTGGACATGGACGCCTCCTGCGCGGCACGGGCGTAGTCGTGCAGGCAGATGAGCTTATCAGGAGGATGGTGTGGCTTGGAGTTAGTCGTGTGGACGGACGGACGTTCGCGCGGCGCAAGGAAGCGTCAAGCGTTATCTGGGGAAGGCAAATCTGGGGATGACCCCGCATCGCATCGCAGCACCCGTCTCACCACGCAGCCCGAGGATACCGCTGGAGCGAGTCTTTTGGCTCCGGAGCGTCATGGCTGCCATGCCGTGGCATCGTGGGATGTTGTGGTTGGTGCGTCGCCGTTGTGCGTCCAGTGCAGTGTAGCCACGACCTGAAGGGGTCGCCGACGGGAAGTCAGCTTGACTATACACACGATATCCAGGCCTCCAGGGGATGAGCTTTGTGTGGTGGCTGATAGCAACGAATCCAATTGTTCCGCCCGCCAGTGTGAGGTGACAATGCCTGCTTTTTGCGCCATGCCGCAGTTTCACTCAGGCACTACACACGTCGGTGAGTGAGCGATGGCGTATTCGCATACGCCTTGCTGGCCTCAGTCTTTGTGGCTAATTAGGCTTGGACCGCCTGGCTGATAACATGGCGACACAACATGTCATGTAAGGAGGTCTCGCTCAGAGATACGCTCAGACAGCCATTAATTACAGCACAGAGCCAGGACCCTTCAGCGCACAGGGCTCGTGCCACGCAAGACAAAGCCGCAGGGGTCATGACGTAGCACATGAGCAACCCGCTGGGCAGAGCCGCGCACCCGGCCGACGCCACAAGGCCGACCGCCGAAACCTCCGCGGAGATGTGCAATCCGGACGGCATCGCCCTGTGCGCCACGCTGGGATCGGGACGACTGAATCGTTTGTTGGGCGGTCGTGAGCGTGTCAATCCATGCCCGCATCAGGATCAGGATGGGAGTTATTGTATCACTTGCATCCACATCCCAGAGACACGCAGTCAAACGACCAAGAGGAGAGGGCCTTTTGTACGTAATTGCATACACGACTCTGGCCGGAGGGGAGGCATTTCCTCATCGACGATGCAGAGATGCCCGCCGGCGTTGTACCGAATACTTGCTCGGCTACGCTTTCCTACGCTCTGCTTCAACACGTGTGTATGCGAACATGTCGGGCGGAAATGACGATGGGCTTGGCTCCGGTGGGAAGGGCAGAATCCTGTCACTGTCCCGCGTCTAGGTCTGTTTCGACGAGCTCGACTCGACTTTCACCGACATGAGCATCAACCCGCAAAAACAACAGGTGACCGAGTTAGTGTACGCGCCTCTCTTGTTTTGGTGATGTGAATCTTCCAGAATGGCGGGTCGTTCTAGGGCCACGGAATAGCGCGCCGATTGCAGCATGGGAGGCGAAGCGTCTAATCTGGATCGTGGTGGACTGACACCCCGCAACGAGCTGTCGTGACCCATCTGCTCCGTCTCCGTCACCTTGCGGGACGGCCATCGCCTTGAGCCGCCGGCTTAATTAGCAGCTGTAAAAAAAAAGATCGAAAAATCTCTCGTGTCTTGGCTGGTGGCGGGTGCTTGTACCATGGGTACTGGGAAACAACACGGCTTAGACAGCGCGGCGGAGACACATGGGCGCCCGGACATGGCAAACTCGCAGTTGCATGTCGCTGTGCCTGGCAGATGGCTCCCGGGAGACGGGAAATGCTAGCAACAACACCATGTCACCGAGACAAGAGATCGGTTCCAGGGCGTGAAATGGTCACAGGGCGTGAGATCGCCATGCTGACAGGAAATTTGATGATTGAAGCCCTGCTGCAGCGAGGCTTGAGGAGGGGTTGCCATGCAGCCATGTGGCGAGCTTATGCCTTTGGCGCCTGTTCTGGTCGAGGCCGCTTCCAACACGGGCCTGTAGAAATGGGCATGGCTGGAGCTGGGCCACTGATTTGCACCAAATCTGGGGGAAGAGATGCAGTACAGGGAAGTCGAGCAGGGTGCAGAGAGCAAACTAGCAGGCTGAATGCGAGCTTGCGTCCAAGGACGAAGTGGACGCCGCCGGCGCAAGGAAGCGGCGTCGCGAGGAAGCGGCGTCGCGTCAACAAAAAGTTGGTGGTTTTCACGTCGGGTGACCAGAGGCGATAGATCCATCTCCGTCGACGACGCCGCTATCAGAGGCCGGGTAGCAAATGGGCAGGGCCAAGGCTGGCGCGTTGGTAACTTGGATGAGAAATGGAATCGGGGTAAAATTTTCTGACTGGAGAGCTGCGCGGAGCGGCCTCGAAACTTTTACCTAATTCCCACGCTACTCGGCATTTGACTCCATGTTCATCGTGGGTGTGGTCGTGGACGGGGTTCGACCTGTGTGTGGACTGTGGGCTGGGGGACCCGGCTGGCGGGTGCGTGCCTGGTGCGCTTTGCCTAGTAGCTAACAGCTAACAGCTAACAGCTGTTGGCGCGCCGGGGCTCTCAAGTGACAATTCTTGGCTCTGGCTAACATGCATGGGTTTTGGGATCCGGGCTCTTGTCGAGGGGGGCCGTCAAAGGGGAGGGGACTACTGCGTAGTACTACCACGTACGGAGTCGGTTGGAAATAAACGAAGCTGATGGTCACTCGGTTCACGATCCAAGACTAAAGAGACCAGTCTCGGCCGGGCGGGCGAAGGCGACATGAGATGAGGCCATGTCATAGAATCGAGTGTCATTACATGTTACCTACGTAGGTAGTACCTCCCCGGCGTCACTTCCTATCACCTAGGTACCGAGCACGCCGGGAAATGATGGCTGTTCGCATTGATTGTAAAGGGCCGTTGTCTCCTTGTCCCGCGACTAGGCGTTGCCCCTGCCCTGGTGAGTTTGGCCGTTCGGGCTGTCGGTGACCGTTTGAAGGGTCATCACCTTCTACGGAAAGGTACTCACCTTACATCCTACATACCAGGTACATATCGCACACGCACACACCTTCGCATCGCATACCTTGCTCCGGATCCCTACCACCTGCCTTAGCGATGAACGCAAGTCTCATGTACCCAACAAGACCTGGCATGGCGCAATCGGGCGCAATCGTGGGGACCAGGACCAGGTTGGTAGTTGTTGTTGTTCTGTCGTCGAGCTTGCAAGCAGCAACGAGGGGGGTTCGTTTAACAAGACTACAAAGGTGAGGTTAGATTGAACCCCGTGAATGGTCTCGTGACAAGTCGGACACGGGCTAATAGGTCAGAAGAGAGACTGTAGAAACGAAAGTAAGAGGAATCAAGTAAGTCCTATGTAATAGAAAGCGACAGGCGGCTACGGGCCAATCAGGACGCGGGGAATGCCCGATGCCGCAATTCCGCACGTCGGGGGCTTGGAGCTTCCCGCCTCATACTACTACGTAGTAAGCATCGCATGCCATAGCATGGGTCCTATGAGCACCTGAGTGTACGGGGATACGGGGTACGTACATGTCGAGGAGGCATCTTATCCTGTTTCTTTTTTCGGAAACGACCAATAATGACGGCACCAAGCGGCGAAAGGACGACATGGTTGCCACAGCTTCCGTCGCTTCCACCAGCTCGTAACCTGGGATGCCTGCCCTGTCGGCCAGCGTACCACTACCACATCGGCGGTGCCGACGATATATTGTGAGGCGAAAGTTTCTTTGTCACTTCATTTGCAGCGGTTTCGAGTCGTTATCGCCAGGAGCTGGGAGCGGCGCATCGACCTTCCGCAAGCCGTTGGTTCCTTGGGTTGGTCTCAGGAGCTATCTCTTGCACCGCCTAGGTAAGATTTGCCGTAAGCACAGGCCGTTCTGAGACATGCGCAGAAAGTAAGACAAGTCCAAGAAACTGGGTGGACGATTCAGAGACAAGAACGGCACGCTTGCGGCGGTCCGCTTGATTGGCCACCCCCGGACTTTTTCCTAGGTAGGCCTGGGCCTCGGGCTTTTTGGTCCATCATGTGCCACGTCCCGTGGCTCCATATGGGCTTTCCGATCCCCTCTTGCACCGAGCCAACGAAACAAGACCAGTCAGCGAAACCTGGCTCGGGGGCGTGGGCATCGCAGCGCAGTACAGCCTCAAGCAGCCAGCCCGGCGGCCGGGATTACCTTCCCCAGCGGACCCTCTAGCGGTGTTTGGCGGGGTTCTCCAGCAGCTGTAGGGCAGCTTACGACGAGCACTACACCCATCAAGGACCCCCTAGTGAAGTTGGGATGCGCTGCCTGCCCGGGTGAGCAACGGCCTTGTCCATGCCACGAGTGACCAGCTTTTGTCCCGATTGGTCCGAGCTCATCCAGGGCTTCTGCGCTGCTGTCAGAAGACAGCTCCCCGATCCAAATCTGTCGACGGAACACTGACCGGGTCGGTCGGTCGGTCTGTGCTGTGCTGTCCTTTGCCCTTTATGGAGCTTCTGATTTAGTACGACATTCACGTAATGCCCAGGGTTGCAGGCTTCGGGAGGGGAGCGAGGGAGGGTAAGGTATTCTTCTCGATGAACCGCCTAGGCTCATGGCAGGCTGGTTGTCAATGACATCCCCATGCAATCACAGTGGCCAGCAACAGCGGAGGGCCTGCAGCCTCGGATTATTTGGGGGGGAAGCGGGGGCGGGTTGTAGTCGTGACCTGGGGTAAATAAGGCACCATCAGCATTTTCTAATTTTCCCATCTCTTGTGTGTGTGTCTTCTCTGTGCTCTATCTCCTCATGGCATGACACGGCCGAGTAGACGACGAGGGAAAAAAGGTACGAAACGAATGTACTGATAAGGAGCCGAGGGTCCGGGGGTGTGGGAGGCGTGGGATGGTGTGAGAGGCGTGTGCGTCAGGCGCCTTGCACACCAAATAGGTAAAATAGACGGCCAACGGGGAGGGTGGCGGTATTAATTCGAAGCAGGTACGGCCTTCGGTGGACAAGTACGACAAGGCCGGGAACCAGGCCGGAGCGCGGGCATGATACCGCAGCGATGCCGCAAAGCGTAATAATAGGCTTAGGATAACAAGGCGAATCCGTGACACGGAACATGGCAAAGCAAACGGTGGGATCGGCATGGGGAGATTTGATGCCAGCCAAGAGCAATGCCATGAGTAAGGTTGTTTTAGTTTTTAGTCGAGCGAGAGGGAACGAGGGCTGGGCGGATGTCGTCCCGGTTCCTTATCAGTCGGTCACTGTCGCGGTCACCTGGGCCGAGTGCATCATCCGGAGGCCGAGTTGTGTCCCATTTGCGCCAGCGACTTCTGGGGACTGCTGCGACAGCATTGGTTCCAGGCCGGCGCTGCTGGGTACTCGCGCTTAAGCAGAATTGCCCGTTATCTTGTTTCCTCTCTCCCCCAACTCGACTTCGTACTGCGTGTCTCGCTCGCGGCCCGTAGCACGCCCTTTCCCGAGCGTCAATGTTCCCCCTTCCGTGTCCATGTTCCCTCCACCCCCCGTTCCATCCCAGGCTCGTTCCCCCTCTTTCTGCCCACCTTGGCTGCCCGATTACCGACCGACTTCTGGCGGTGCTGGGCTGTTTTTCCCTGCATATCTGCGTCTCATCCCCCTCTCTCCGTCCGTCCTTTTGTCGGTGCTCAAGTGCCGCACGCCAAAAACAAAAAAGAAAGGAAAGAGGGCACAAGACCACCCGAGTTTCGCGCCCAACTGACGTCGTGTCAGTACCCGTGTATGTACCCCGCCGAAATAGGGAAGAAAGTGAGAGAAACGGCGGTTTGGAGCTGATTGATAACGGTACCGCGTGCCCTTCTATTCGTCGCTGGCCCCATCACGTCACCCGCCAGTCCCAAAGAGTGTCGACCCTTAAAAAAAAAAAAGTTGATCCACGCCCTGTTCTGTCTCAGTCGGTCGGTCTCAACTCTCAAGTCACTTTGACAAAGTCCTCTGCGCTGTACGGGGATGACCAGGGGGCTGGAGGAAGGCCGCATTTACACCACAGCACCACAGAGAGAGCAGCACCTACGCCGTCTTGCAACAGAAGCCACGGCTGTTGACCGTCGACTCCAGGTTTACAGGGCTCTAGACCTCTGGTTTCCCAATCTGTACGTCCACGGCCGCTTCTCATCAGGGTTCTTCACCGGGCCGGTCTGGTCTTGTCTTGTTCGGTCTGGTGCGGTTTTCAAGCGCGCCGTCCAGACACCGTCATCGCACCGCCATCACGCCTCATCTTCCTCTGTCCCCAGATCTGGAACCTTACCTGATCCTTCTACGGCTGCGCTTGATCCTCTCTTAGCCTCTGGCCGCCGTCGTTCGTGCGCGCTACTGTTACTCCTACGCCTACTATTCAGACACCACACCCGCGCGCGCATACCTTATACATACACCATAGACCTCCCACGCACTCCCCACACACCGACTCAATAACAGCCGTACTGGAACCCATAACCCATAACCCAGAACCCACAACCCATCACAACCCGCGCCGCAGAGCACCGCACCGCAACGCAACCTGCCTTAGATTTTACTCCAACTCCTGCAGAGATCGGCCTGCCCGTTGTAACAGGTCTCCATTGCTCTCCTTGGCTCTGATTTGTTTCGATTCCGACTCGGCCAGACTCAACCAGGCTCGACCAGTTTCGACCAGTCCCGCTTCGCTTCAGCTACTCGCCCGGCCTCCCCTTTCGACTGCTCGACTACACCGACCAGACACACGCCGACACGCACACACGCGCACAAACACACGCAGGGACATAATCTTCAACAAGGTCTCCTAGCTCGTGGCTCTTGGCCCGTGGCTCCTGATCCTGGCGACTTGGCTCCGCTTCTACTAGAACTCTTCGAGGCCAAGTTCCCAAAGGGCCCCCTCCCCCAAAACCCACCTTCACCCACATCACACGGCGCCCACAGTCCACTTCTGCGCCGGTCGACCAGGGTTCTTTTGCGTCGGTCGTCTCCTTTGCTCTTTTGGCCCCTCGATCCTTGACGCTCTGGCCCCCGCGACGCTCGTCCACACGATCTCAGAGCCTAGAGGTGTGCGCATTGAGCATTGAGCGTTGAGCGCAAGCCCGCCGCAAAACGCCGCGAAGCAGCATCGTGACCACCCTCGTCCGGCGTCTTTCCCTTTCTTCTTTTTATTCCCCTCCTCTCCTCGTCCCTGTCTCCCTCTTCCCTCTTCCCCTCCTTCACACGATACCCTCGCCCCTCTCTTCCCCTCAACCCTCCCACCCTGGCCGACTGACTGCCTCTGCGACTACTGCCGCAGTCCTGCGCTGCTGATTCCGTCTCTGCACCTGCATTGGCCGGTTCGCTCGTCTTCGGCGCTCCCAGATCCACCGCCATACGTTCGTTTTACGTACTGCACTCTGCTGTCGCTGTCCCATGAACTTCTGTTGCCATTTTCTCTCGGTCCTCCCCACCAGCCGTCCGAATCACGCCCCGACGTCGTCGTCCTCGTTGGACAAATAAAAGCCCGGCGCCAGCTTGGCCCAGTGCCCGTGGCATCCCACCTTCGAAAGAGACGCGCGCTTCGACTCGCCTCGGTTTTTGCGACTTCCCCCTCCTCTTGCCTGCGAGCCACGCGCTATTATGCCCGCTCAACTAAACGGGTCCATGACCGCCAGCATCCCCCTCCGAGTCACCGGCGACCAGACCACTGTCCTCTGCAAGCAACACAAGCACTCTCGATCCTCCTACTCCGAGTCATCCCCGCTCACCAACTCCCGAAATAATTCCCTGACGTTCCGTCCGCCCAAGAGGCTCATGTCGAACCCGGACAAGACCATCGCTGTCATCAATGCCAGCGGGCGGCAGGCAGCATCCTTTATCCGCGTCGCAACCGCCGTCGGCTACCATGTTCGCGCCCAGTTGAGGAATCTCGAGGGGGTCGTGGCCGCCGAAGTGTCGACCAACCCCAACGTTACCGTCTTGGTCGGCGAGTTGTACACGAGAAACAGTCCCTCAGACGTCAACCGGGACGTCACCAAGTACGGCCCGCTGGCTGGTGTAGGAGTCAACTATGACTTGATCCACAACCTCTTCCGCGGAACCCAGCTGGCCTTTATCAACACCACGTTTTACGGCGACGAGATCCAGATCGGCAAAGCACTCGCCGATGCCGCCAAGCGCGCGGGTGTCCAGCACTACGTTTACTCATCCATGCCCGACCACGCTGCCTACAACTCTGGCTGGCCTTCGCTGCCCCTCTGGGCCGCTAAGCACGAGGTCGAGCAGTATGTGCGCCAGCTGAGGCTGCCTGCCTCGTTCGTGTACACGGGCATCTATAACAACAATTTCACCTCACTCCAGTACCCCCTGTTCTGCATGGAGCTCCAGAAGGACGGATCTTTTAGGTGGCAGGCACCCTTCCACGAGGACGCCAAGCTGCCCTGGTTAGATGCTGAACATGATGTGGGACCCGCTATTTTGCAGATCTTTAAGGACGGGCCATCCAAGTGGAACGGGGAGCGTATTGCGCTTGCATACGAGTACCTGTCCCCCCGGGAAGCATGTAAGCTCTTTTCACGAGGCGTCGGCCGTCCCGTACGATATGTTCGGGGCCCCATCAATATCAACGTTAGGATCCCCGTCGGCTACCGAGAACAGCTTGTCGGCCTGGAGAAGCTCTTCAGCCCCGACGAGAAGGATGCCCGGAAGCAGCCACCCTACTTTGGTGACCCCAAGCTTGAGATCAGCTGCCCTAGCGAAGCTCTGGAGCTGTGGGAGGGTCCCCGAGGACTAGAGGAATATGCAAGAGAAATGTTTCCCTTGGAAGAGGAGGCCAACGGCTTGACTTGGATGCTTGAGGAGGAAAGCGACGACGAAGACGTACATGCCGCGGCGACTTCCGTCGAGCAACTAAGAATCAACGATGTTGATGACGATAGCGACGACGACGATAATGATGACGGATTAGTCATGCGAGGCCGCAAGCGAGATGAAGAAGAGTGGTTGGCGTAATGAGGCTGCCTCCACTTAGAGGCTTCCCATGATTCCTCCAATACGGCGAAAAAGAGCGAGAACAAAAAAAGAGATCCAGCCCCAACCCTGAGATGTCCAAGCAAAGGGACTGAATGGTGGCGAGGATCGGCGACGATTGCATTTGGGCGGAGCGGAGTTGTGTTTATTTGGACAGGGGGTCCAGGATATTGCGTGTCTTTTGGAGAGGCGTCATATGGGCGGTTTGGTCTGGGAATGAAATAACATGGCTGGTTGACGGACGACTTTTGAAAACGATGGCGAATCAGCATCTGTCTCTCTCCCTCTTTCTCCTCTGCCTTGCGTGATGTTCGTGTGTAAGAGGATTTGTTTCATTGCCATTCCCCTGAGCCCAATTGCCTCGGCGTCAAACTCGTCGTTCTAGTTTTCGGACAGTAGCATTAATGTTGGTTCGTTCGAGTGGTTGACTAGGGTCAGTGAGAGCGAGATGGATGGGATATATCCATCTCCCACCCGTTATCGCTTATCGACTCGGGCACAATGGGCTGATAACGCTGATATGGCTGATATCGGCCGCTGGGAGATAAGGAGGTGGGAGGAAAATGAGGGTAGGATCAGATGCCAGGTGAGGTCAGGCTGTGGAAGTCCCTTATCCTGCCCTTGTACGTCGTCCAGCTCGCACGACGGGACACGCGGTCAAGCGCCCAGGATGAATCCCGCGGCGTGACACTTGTGATACCGTGGCGCTTCTCGTCGGCTTATCAGTCAGTATCTTGCACCGGATCACAGCCCAAACAACAAGGCAAAAGCACACTCTGATTGTTACAGACTACTTTTGTAGAGAGGACAGCCTGGGACAGGACACGGCACACCTTCTTATACCGGCCTCCCCGCCCACACCTCGGCCACACACGACTCCCCCATTACCATCCCGCCTGTGGCCGCCCGCACACAGCGTGGGGTTGGCAGCGGGAAAAAGCAGCTGGACGTGGGGGGAGGAGGCGCGAGAGCGACACGGGCCGGCGAGAACGGACGGGGGTGGCGGGACAAGGGGTCAAGGCGCGCGGGGTGGGAGCCTGGCAGGAGGGGGATTATATGTGGTAAGGTCCTCTGCGGCCGCTGTGGGTTCTGGCCGTGGGTGCTCGTTCGTTTGGTTATTTCATCTGATTAGGTACGTGTGTGGTCTTGGGACAAAGTGAAGCGGGTTCCATGACCAAGGATGGCGTAGTTTGGTGGTTTATCGCTCGCGGATCCAGTCTCCGGCCCCCGCACCGGGAGCCTGCCGTGGGAAGGACGGGGGTCTAGACGAAGGAGGATGCAGAGGCGCCATGTCATTGGAGAGATACGAGTGTCGGCGGAGAGGGAGATAGGGGCGGTTATGTGGACAACGATATGACATTGGATACCACTATTTGCAAGTCCTGGCTATCGAGCAACAACCCACCAACTTGTGTCACTCAATAACTCGCTGCCTTGAGACGTAGCACCACACATGGTCAATTAGTGTCTTAATATGATGTGAAAACTTAGCCCGTCCATCCCGTAGAGGCTCTGGACCGACGCCTTCAAAACCACACGTATTCGTTCTCGTTGCCCATACCGATTCTCCTCCTCGACACTCACGCCCGCACGACCCACACGACCCTCTGGTAGCCTTATTGAACTCATCTTCATGGGCGGCCAAGTCACGGAACTGGATACGACACGGGGCGCAGAGGGAAAAGGGTTGTGCCGCCTGACGTGGGTGTGAAGATTTGACCCGTTGGAGAACTTGTCAATCTGGATAAGACGCCAGAATCGATTCAGAAGCAATCTGGCACAAACATCACGCAGCTTCACTTTTTTTCTTCTTCTTGAAGCGATAATATAGCTTACCAGCCTCTATTTTTTCGAGTTACCATTTGCCTATAACGAATGGACTATTCATCTCGATCCAATCGCTAGCAATATTAGCCAAGCTTTGACTGTGCGTTGGGACCGATTTCACCACCAAGACTACCTACCGATAAGGTCAGCTTAGAGGTCACAGAGGAGAAGCCAAGGCCGGCGCAAAAAGGGAAGGTAAATCATTTCCGAAGTATTCACGCTGGCTTTCATCTTGTGACGTAGCCAGCATTTTAAGGATTGAATACACGCCTCTACCCTCTTTCAGTAAATACAAGCACAAGCCAGTAAATCTCGGCGACTTTTTTTTTTTTTTACTTCGGGAACACTTAGAGTGGCGTGTCTCAGCCAGTACAATGGCAAGTTCCCCAAAATGAGCCGCCATAACCTAGCGACGACAAGAAATATCCCCAACAGGACTCACGCGATTCTCAGGTTTGACAACTAACATGGAATTTAGAAAACAACTGTCCTGTAGTGAAGGCCACGATGGTAACCACAGTGTGGTGTATTTACCATTGTCAACACTTACTCACGTCATGCGTAGGCGACTAGAGAATATGAGAGTCTTCATTTACAGAGGATGATTCCAGGCTGGGAGATTAATTGGACTTGGTTGAGAAGCCAGGCCCACTTTAACGTTGGCATTGCAAGCGAGTTCGGTGTTCTAAATGTGCCACAGTACCGTGGAAGCATGCGATCCGGCGATTTTTTGAGTAAAATGACTTAATGAGACTCGAGGATTATATAATCTTTCCACCTGAAGCCTCAACCTAAATCATGAACGCGCCAAACCAACTTTCGACACCAAATCCCAGCACCGGCACCATTCCCATACGTAATACGTGCACTCGAGGAAATGAATAAGAGCCACTACAAGAGCTCAATCAGGGTTATCAGGCAAAACCAAAAGGGTACTACAAAATAAAGAAGGGAAAAAGTATGCCCACTCAATGCTTGAGCAGTACGGAGTGCAGTCACTTAAAGAGGAGTGCCTAGTCTTAATCGGCTAGCCCAGCCATTATTAAAACACTGACGTGTGTGTCAACAACATCACAACAGTTAATTGATATCTCCACGTAATTTAAAGGTTTAATCCATCCATACTATAAAGATTCCGAACTAATAGCTTCTGCATAACGCACATCTCATTAGTTCTCAGCACCCTTCAGGTCATACCGATTCTCCTCGTCGGCAGTGACGCCCGCACGACCCTCTGGCAGCTCGTTGAGCTCGTCTTCGTGGATATCCAAGTCACGGAACTGGAACCAGAAGCAGGTTCCAGCAATGAAGGCGAGAATGGCCACGATACCGTAGTTCCAGACGAGAAGGGGATCAGCCGCAAGACCGACCAGGGCCTGGCCGAGGGCAGATGAAAAGGCAGTCATGAACAGTGAAACGGCCTGGACCATGGATCGCATGTTCTTGGGGGCCTTAGAGAAGGCGTACTCGAGCGAGGTGATGGAGGCAAAGACCTCGGCGAGGGCGATGAGGACGTAGGATCCGGTCTGGGCCCAAACATTGATGGGAGCTGGGGTACAGGTGACCATCTCGCCCTCCACATCGCTCCAGATCTTTCCAGATGCGTGGTCTCCACACTCGGACTTGTCGTAGATGTAGTGCTGAACAACAGCGGCCCAGATCATGGCGGCACAACCAACAAAGAAACCGGCGGTGATCTTCTTAATAGGCGTGAACTTGATGCCTGCCTTGCGAAGGGCGGGATAAACAAAGAAGTCGTTGAGGGGGATAAAGATGAGAAGTGCAAAGGGGTTCAGGTTGGACAGAACATCGTTGGGCACTCCGTGGAGCTCCATCGTCGCGGCCTGGGAGATGAGGTTGTTGTTGACTACGCAACCAGTTAGCAACTTTTAAATCTACCATTAAAATCGGAACACTTACTCTGATTGTAGCAAAGCCAGAAAATGGGGTACCAGCAGAAGACGGCGCAAGCGGCGAATCCACGCTTCAGCTCGTCTACCCAGGCGTCGTCGAAGTTCATCCACTTGGGGCGGGTCTCATCGGTAAAGTGAGAGGGCTTGACATTCTCCCAGAACGTGCCATCGTGCATGTTCTTCCAGGTCTGGAAGGGGTTGATAGACCAGCGGCCCTTCTGAGCGAGGAACCAGGTCTTGAGTGCTGGCTTGATGAGAGATCCGCCTGGTGGGCGCCTCTCATACTTGTCACGCCCCCACCACATGACGAGTGGGCAGATGCAGAGCATGATGCAAGGAAGAGTATAAGATAGCCAGAAACCAACGTATTTCTCAGCGTACACCTAATGCGTTTTACGCTATTAGCAATGTTCTAGGACTCATGACGAATTCCCTGGGGTTTATTTAGTCTTACCATACAAAGTTGGCCGACAAGGGCGCCAACGTTGATGCAGAAGTAGAACCAGTTGTAGATTCGTTCGACAGTAACGGCCGGATCAACAATAACACGCTCGCCTGACTTGAGGGTTTTGACATGCATGAATTGTTCTCCAAGTTGTTCCACAATGAGCGGGCTGACGTTGGGCTTGAAGCCGCCGGTGCCAAAGCCAATGGTGAGGATAGCAATAATCATGGCACCCAAGGCACCACTGCTGTTCTTGATGACAGGGGGAACCGCGGAGACGATCAGAATGATGTGGCCGATAATGTCAATTCCCAAGGCGTAGTTGATGGTCTTGTAACGTCCCCAGTACTGGTCAGCCACGTACGCACCGGCGAGCGGCATGAAGTACTGCCAGAACTGGTTGAAGGTGGTGAGGCCGGTGGACGCTCTCTGGCCCATGCCAAGGGCACCGGGCTGGTCATCTGAGTTGACAATAGCACCAGTGGTAGAACCATCGGGAAGAGGCTGCTGGATGAAGTTGGTGACTTGAAGAGTGGTCAGCTTTAGTTTGTCTCAAGGGTTGAAGGGTGGGGGCATCAAGACTTACACACGACGGTGCAACCATAGTAGGAGAAACGCTCGCACAGTTCGATAAAGGCAATGCTGAAGAGCTTGAGAGGGATGTGGTTTGGCACTCGTCTCAGAGTTCCCATGTCTTCAGCACTTGGGAGCTCCAAGCCCTGCGTGGTCTGAATATGGAAGGCATTCTTGTGAGGAGCTTTCTCGGTGACGGTAGGCTCAATGGAGATGGAATTCTTCTTCTCGTCAACGAGCTCGTCCTGGAGCTCAGCACGTAGCTCAGCTCCGGCGATGGAGTCGGTCACGTCACCGGGGGGCGACATTGTCAATGCCTCGTCTTTGCTAACAATTGTTTCCACGAGAACGATGCGGGACTTGATCAGGCTCGGTACCACGGGCTCGGTACTACGGAGTTCGAGGGGGGAGGAGCATTTACAGGCGTGATCCAGGGCCTGTCTTTATAACTGAGACCCGGCGGGAGGTTAGCCCGATGAAGACATCAGCGATCACACTATGCTACGCTACTTAGTACAAGCAGCCGAGGGCCGAAAGCATGGGATACCTAGACGACACCTACGGAGCGGGGCCCATCCCATCCACAAGGATTGGCAGCTTGGGAGCTTGGGGGCTTGAAGGGGGCGTATCGCGGGTGGCAAGGATCAGAATGAAAGAAGAAGGTCGAGTCGCGCACGCAACGGGGTTGGACAGGACATCAGATGCTCGTGATGAGGCGAAATAGCGAGCTCTGACTGGTCTAAACCCGCGAGAAATGGTGTTGCAGCATGGCAGGGACTGGCCAAAGGGGCAAGAACTAGCCAGATGGGGGGCTCCTTCCTCAATGGTGATCATAAGGCGGGCACTTACACCTGTTGGGCACTTGGCAGTGGGTTGCTACCACGGCCTGAGAAGCTTGGCTTCTCCATCTTGCACACTTGACCATTCGCTCTTTTTTCAACCAACCCCCATGTCGATTCCAATTATGGCATATCTACAACTTCTTCCATCATCGGCAAGATTGCTGCGGGCGTTGATGCCCTTGTGAGCCTGCCAGGGTAACACCTGGTTGTCTCGCGTCCGTGGGACAACTTCTCGGCAAGCGCCATTGGTTCCTCGGGGTGGGACGTTGACGAGAGTGAGTGTATCGGAGGTTGGGATGAAGATCGAGCCATTGAGAGGGTCGCTTCTATGCTTGCGAGGACCCTACTTGCTTGCTCCGCCATCAGATGAGGCATGATGCTCCGTTCGTAGGACAAGCTTGGTATGCAAACGCCCCCCTCGCCCCATTCCGAATCGGGACTTGCCAATGCTTCCAGAAGTTCTTTGCCTAAGGCTGAGGAGAGGGTACAGCTTATCTAGTTTCCCCCCAACGACGAGACCGTCCCGACGATCGTTGCCCTCTTCCAGAAGCTGTGTTGCCAGAGCCAAGACCCGACGGCCAACCAGAGGCATTACGGATAGCCATAATCCCTCCCGAGGCGACCTGGTGATGCCCACTAGCGAGACAGCAAGGAAGCAGCAGAGCAGGGTAACAGGGCAGCAGCAACTATCGTATGGTGAAGCAAAAACCCAAATCAAAAGTTCCGGCAACGTTGCAACGCTGCCAACTGTGTGCCGCCCTAGGGTGCGAAAAGCCGCCCACGATAAGGAACCCCAGGAAGCCAATGCATGCGCCAAGGTTCCGAAGGTGTGGCCGAGTGGAAGATGCGCGTCGGGAGGCGGCCGCGTGGACCAGGTCATGTCTTCGCCGTGTCTTGGCCATGTCGCCTGGGCAGGGGCCAGACGTTCAAGGGGGTCTCTTGAGCGGCAATCTGCTGATTCTGGGGTTTGTGGCGGATGGCTGATCGTATCCTTCAGGGACATTGTGTTGCCAGACCCGAAATGCAGCTACTTATCCGACATTCAACTCTTGACGGCGGTAACCCGCCCAGCACCGAAGCACCACCGCAGCCTCTTGATCCGCCACTCACCTCATCCTTCCACTTGAAGAAGACGCCATCCAGCACCTCCTCTCTTCAGCCACTGCCGCGGAGCCGGTGGATGAACCGACGTTGGCATAAACAACGACGCTTGCGTACGTGCTCTACGTAGGACGTTTCGACAGTGTGGGGAGATAGCATTCAGAGATCCATGCCAAGTCAGGCCCCGTGCACCGCTTCGCAACGCCACCTTCCTATTCGCGCCTAATTAGAAGCTCCTGTGCTTCTAGGCGCTAAGGTCCTTTTTTTAAGGTCCCTCCCTCAAGAGTTGCTGACAGGGGTTGACACCCTCTTCACCAGTCTCTGACCAGTCAACAGATACGAATAATTCGGATCTTGTACAAACTCACCGGCGGTGGGGGATTGGATGCTGACATTTCAATTCCAAATCGGATGTCTTGTTGTCGATCGGTTGGTCAGAATGATATCTCTTGTTTCTCGCGCCAACCAGGCCCCTGTGCAGTGTGGCCTCAACTTCGCTTCGTCCTCGCCACCGCTCACGAGCATTTCGGTTCGGTTTACGCCGTATCATACAAAACACATGATAACCGAACATCAACCACGAACTGCGCGTATCGACGGGTAGCATCGGACTAGAAGACAGACGCCTTGCAAGTTGGTTCCAACTGCACTAACTTAATTGACCGTCATCACAGTTGATTTTTCCTTGGATGGCGTTTTAGGTCATTGCACGATTTGCAAATATTCTACTACCCTCTCTGAGTTAGAGGACCACGTCTTCTGCTCAAATCGCTTCGATCTTGAGTTCTCAATCAGCAAGTACCATGAAACTATGAATCCCAACCCCACGGGGAGACTAGTCTAACCACCTCGGTCTCGGATACCGCGAACCTCGAGGCGCACGCACCCTCAGTGTTGGATCTACATCTAGAGGCAGGTGATAATGCAAAGGCACACTACGTGCTCGAAATAAGGCTTATCGTCTAGCCATTCCAACAGAGCTTAAACTTAACCGTGCAGCCAAGACCTCGTGTTGGTCCCAACGACTTGGCACACTCGGTCCGCAAGGATCAAATGTGGATTGTAGGTACTTTTGGTTCTTACCTAAAGATCTAAGAAAGTACCTTGGGTCTTAGCCGAAGATATAAGACCATACCTCATGTCTTGGCTAAATACCCAGGTACAATACTTCTCCTACTGTTTAGGGAGGTCGAAGCATTACTACAGTCCAAAGCCGCTGCATTATGGCGACTGCCGTAACGAGCAGTCACCGCGGATATCGTCAAGGATGCATGCACATATTTAACCCTTGTGGCCTGTAACATGCGACAGGCAGCGCCATTCCAAAACAGGGAGCTCGAAAACTTATGGTTGAGTAATTTCGTTCACATCTCGCGGTGCAAATGATATTTCGTCCACCAATGCTGGTTTGCATTTTTTTACCCCGTCTAAATTGATGTCCCTCTCTCTTACTGATCATTTACACTATCGTACACCCTCTACAATTCGACCTTGATGGTATCTGAATGTGTTTGAATGGTGGCCTGGACACATAGCTGACTCATTGTTTAGGAAGCTGATTCCAAAGTCACTATACCCAGCCGCGTCGACAATCTTATCCCCCTCAATCCTTGAGAGATATCCGTTGCTTACAACTTCGCCTTCAGCAGGTTGGCGATCATCTCGCGTCCAGTGATGCGAGTAGTGTGCCACAGCGTGGGGAAGTCCAGAGTGCTCGACAGACCATCCGCGAATCCGAAGAACAGCATGGGAGGGATCCATCCGCGGGCGTACTCCATGGCGAAGCAGCCCTCGGGCATCTTGTACTGCTTAACGTCGCCGCGGTGCAGGTGGTGGATGCTGCCCGGAGGGTAGACCTCGGCCTCGTATGAGCCAGGCACGTATGCGAGCTGCGTTCCCGACAGAATGTGGAAGTAGTCGTCGGCCGTGTGGCGGCCAGAGTGACCCTCGGTGCCAATTGCGGTTCCTGTTCGTCTCGTTAGCTACGAAACCCTCATCTTCCTAGTAGAAGCATGAGTTGTAAGGGGAGCGGACCGAAGATGATGAGGTACTCAGTCACACCTAACGTCATGTTAGCACCCCGACGGATCGACACAACACCGCCGGGCCCTTACTGGCGTGGATGATGTACATGGCGCCCATGGCACCGCCTGCGTTGTTGAAAACCCACTCCTCGTGCAGGTTGATGTGGGCAGGGTGCTTCTCGTGAAGCTCTGAGGTGATGTACTGCACGACGGCGCGGGTATTGTTGCCATGCTCGGCAAGCGCGCGCTTCGACACGTCGTCCAAGTGCTCGAGCTCGAAGATGTAGAACTTGTCGAGGTTCTGCTCCAGGACGTAGAAGACGGACGCCAACAGGCCGGTGAGAACAGCCAGAACGGCGAGGAGCCGGCTGAGGCCCGCAGGGGCGCTGTCGGACTTTGGCATCGCGGTTGGTTCCGGAAAAGAGAGACTGAAGAAGAAGGTCAAGTATTAAAAATGTAAGTGGTCTGCAAGAAGCGCGACGACAGTTCCAAGTCAATTGGCGCAGACCGATGTGGTATGGAAGATGTGCAGAACAAACAAAACGGCCGGCGCATCGTCGACGGGAATTATACTGAGGCCCTTTGCGACGGAGATTCGTCGGGGGTCCCTGAACGGGAACTGCCGGATCTCACCGCTCGGGTCCGCGAATCCCGGGTGACGCGATTTGTGATGCAGGAGATGAACGGCAATTAGCCGGCCCGCCCATTGACGTATGGCACAGCTCTCAGACTTGGCTTAATTTGCGCCAGTCAAACCCTCGCGTTCCGTTTTCGTGTTCGGGTTTGGAAACGGCGCCGGTTGGTGAATCCATGAGTGAATGCAAGAGATGGACGGTAGACACGGCCACAGATTGGATGCGAATAGGCGTCTAATAATCCTGTATTTTTGGTCTTCTTTCTGTATCCCTCTGGCGGCCTTGAGAAAAGCAACGCCAAGTCCCGAATAGTTCTCGTACATCTCAACGCCTCGCACATTACAGGCTGCGCCAAGCACGCAAGCAAGATAAAAGAGCAAATAAAGGCCAAAAAAGAAAAACTCCTCAAGTCCCCCGATCCTGTGCGATCACCATTTTACATCGCCATTGAGACCGCCTTCCCTCCCGTGCGCTACCCTACCTAGATTTACAGACTGTCCCTGTGACAAGTCGTCGGTAATGGCCTTCAGTCAATGTCAGAGTCGCCCATAACCTCCGTCCGGTCGGGGTCGTCGAGATCATCGTCTCCCCTATCTTCGTCATCGTGGAGCATGGTCTGGTCCTCCATCTCAGCATCGTCCATTGTCATGTCACCCATTGTGACATCTCCGACTGTCATGTCGCCCAGCGTCATGTCGCCGACTGTCATGTCGCCATCCATATCGCCATCGCCATCGACATCGCCATTGAGTTGGCCATTAGTCTTCTCATCATCATCTTGGTCCGCACCGTCGTCCTTGTCCTCTTCCGTCTTCTTCTTGGGTCGCTTAATCGGGGGGACGACACCAAGCTCGACGGAGCTGGCGCCCCAGCGGGACAGGCGTCGGGTTGTCCGTCTCAAAGCAGACGCGTATGAGCTAACTTCCTCACCATAGTCATCGTCTTCGTTCGTAAGTAGGCAGAGCCCACCAAGTCCCCTCTCTCGGAAAAGCCCAGGGGCCTTGTCACCAAGGAATGAGAGGTTTTGCGGAATGGCACCCTCCTCATCGCTGTCCTCAAAGGGGTCTGTCTGAGCCTCAAGTCGACGGTATGCTCTGAAGATGGCACCATCCTGTCGTCGAGCTTTTCGGCTCTTGTGGTGCTGCCTGCGGAGACCACGGTCCAGAATATACTCAACTCTCTGGCTCCGGTTTCGCTCAACAGCCAATTGATGAGCGGTTGGAGGTCGAGGCTTTCTTGCGACCACGCCCTCACCTCCTGCGTGGTGTGCTGGCGAAGAGCCTTCAAAGATTTGGTACTTGAGGGGAGCGCCTCTCCGTGCAGAGCCTAGACCTCGACCAAGCGCTCTTGGGGGAGGGGTAGATCGGGTGCTGTCCATATCAGACTCATGCTTTGAAGGCCTAATCCGAGGAAGAATGGCGGGCCCCTCATCAGCAAAGGATGGGCGGATCTTGCCGCGCTTCGTCTCTCGCTCATTGAGATACGCTTGATCCATCTCCAGAATCTTGGCTCGTGTCTTCTGCTTGGCTCGGCCAAATTCAACCTCCTCAGTAGTGTCCACATTCTCCTTGGCCTTTTCCTCCTCCGTCATCTCTTCCAGGGCAGGCACGCCCTGGTTCGCAACGTCGAGGCCGTAGTCTACACCCGGACCAAAGGGGTTCTCCTCACACCCCTCTTCGGTGAAGTCGGACTCGAGGTAGAACCACATGAGCCAAAGGAAGGCATTTGCTCGAGACTTGCTGGAGTACTGCGTCTTCATGATGAGATCATGGAACTCGCGGTGGCGAGGGAAATGTAGCTCGGCAATCTTCTGGGCCGTGTTGCACATGACGAAGATGAGATTGACGGGGTTTGTGCGGGGAACATCTTCGCCCTTGATCTTGTCCAGTGAATTGGGCTCATTGCGGTCCTCAGCACCACCCTTGAGAATGGACTTGAGACGGGGTGCGTCTTGTAGTTGCTTGTAGGCATGCGCGTCTTGATGGGCCTGGAGAGAGGGGATGGCGTGGTAGGTTCGGAGCTGTGCTCGCATCTCGGGGAAGACTGAAGCGGTTAGTATGGCCAACATAGAGCAGGGTGCGGGAGGGTCTGCTCACAATTGAGGGTGGTGTTCATTCGGCCCATGTTGACCAAAAGGCAGACCATGGCCATGCCCTTGGCAGCTTCTCTGTCGCTCAACAGCTTATCCCTAAGGACCTTGCTAGTCTTTGTGCTGCGAGACATGGTATCGATGTAGAGGTCAGCAAATGTTTGCTTCTCCATCTTGTCGTCGTAGGAGTTGGTAAAGACGACCATTTCGTTGTCGAAGACAGCCTTGAGAAAGTCGTACTGGATGTCCTCTCGCCAAAGGGGCTCTCCATCTTCCTTCTTCAGGTGTCGAATCTTGCCAATCTGCTGCTGGCCGCTCACTTCTTTGGCCAGCGACCCCTTTCCCTTGCCACGGGCGGGCTTCTCGACGGGGTCGGGCGTCGCATCGGCCATCTGCGTGTCGTCATCCTCGGTCACGGCCCGAGACACAAACGACTTGCTCTCGGCTTGGACGGGGGAGCTTGGGGGTTCCATGTCGGAGGTTGCGCCGACCGAGCTGGGGGACGCAGCCATGATGGGTGGTGTTTTGGACGAGTTTGGTTGGCGATGGAGGGCGGGAGGGAGGAGGAGAAACTCGGCTGGGCGACGTGCGTCAGGGCTAACGGCGCATGGCGATGTCGCGAGGAAGATTGGTCAAGTAGGCTATTGGCTATTGGGCTATTGATGGACGGAGCGAATCGATAGTGAGGGGATTCGTGTCGTGGGTGCCGATGATGAGGCCGATTGTGATGAGGTGAGAGCAGGGTTTTGGCGCGAATGCGAAGGTTGAGATGAGGAAGATGCCACAGCTGCGCGCGAGAGCCTCGCCCACCAGAAAGCGGCTCGTGGGAAGTTAGTGCTGAGGCGCGTCAAAGATGCGCTGAAGTTTAGTGGACTTGATTACCCCTGGTTCCCTGTGGCTGACAACCGTAGCTGGGCTGGTAAAGTGGCTCAACGCAGGGCTTGGTGTGGCTCGGTTCCTCTCCTCTGGTTCGTGATTCGGCCTCCAGAGATTCCATTTTCAAGCTTCATTACGTGGAAACTCGGGTTTTGGAATCCTAACGATTTTATTTTAAAAACTACTTCAGCTAACCCTATATTCGCCAGTATCTACAAAGCTAAGCATCCTCCCACAATGAACAGCATTCAGGTGAGCCACAGACCTCTGTGTTCCTCAGTTCCTGGAGGTGTGGCTTGGCTGGCCCGTGCCTGGTCGCTCGCTGCAACCCGACACCCTAGCGCCTAGCTTGCCTTTGTGTTTTCCCCAAGGTCGCCTGGGCTTCTCTTTCACTCCAGCAGCAACGTCAACGTCAACAAATCTACGACCAAGAGAGCAACCGCCCTCCCCACGGCTTCGGCCTCCCCCAGTGACTACTAACCCGCAGCAGATTTAGCAGAGTGATACTTGTACAACTTCGCCTTCGCGTAAAACGTTGGACATCGCCGCTACGGTCGAACTCCCAATCGCCTCGACAACCTTAACCGGAGCGTGGTGATCCGACACACCCCAAATCACAGCCAACCACGACTGTCGCGTGCGCAATTCAACCTCTGGACTCACTCTAACGGAGCCTGCCCTTCAAGATGTCGACTCCTATCCGGTCGACTCCGGTGAAGAGCCCTCCCGTCGCCGACAGCCCTGGGACATGGCGACATCCGCGACTCAATGAGATCACCCGTCGGCGCAATGCCACCGCTTTCTCCGAGAAGAATGTGAGGCAAATAGCCTACAATATCGTCGCCCTCCTCGGCCTTTGGTCCACACAGGTGCTCGCCAAGCTCAACGTTGGCTCTCAAGCGTGAGTGCTCAGCCTACCGTCTCACCTAGTCTCCTAGCTAACCTTCTCCAGTGTCCCCCTGTCCATTCGGTGGTACCTGAGCTGGGCATGGTTTATCCTCCAGCTAGTACCCTTCTTCAACATTGGCATCGCATGCCTCCCTCTCGTTCGGCCACAGGACGACCTCTCCGACATCGCTCTTACTCCTGCCCAGCGCCAGTTGCTCGGTCTCCCTCCCGCCTCGGCGGCACCCACACCCGATGCCAAGTTCAGCACCCCTCCTCGATACTCGCGCACGCCCTCGATAGCAGGATCTGTGGGAAGCAGGGGAAGCTACAACAGCTCGCCTCTGTCTGGTCGGGGGAGCCCTATCGTGCAGGGAAGCACTGGCTCCCCTCTCGGCAGCCCCCTTTTCCAGAAGAGTGTCAATAGCTTTGGAAACAATAGCTTTGGAAATGGTCGTCGATCATCAATCGGGTCTGGCAGCCCCTTTAGCGGGAGCACATCCGCCAACTTGTTCTCGGATCCTACTTCACCGAGCCCGTCTGGAGGGAAGCGAACGAGTGTTGGACTGAACAGCAAGTGGCTGTACGAGAAGGGGAGGCGATCCTCGAGTAATGCCTGGTTGCACTGAGCAGTGGACCTGTAGCAAAGGGAACAAGTATTGGCAAGCATCCTCAGTACGGGTATTAGAAGTGAGGTGAGAGTGGGCCAGCTTATATACCGTACGAACTGCCCTTTACGTCTTCTCAGTCGCATTGATGTTCTTGTGGCTGATGGCGTTGTGTTTATGATCTAATCGGGGAATGCATTTTGGAGTACGTGATGTCCAGGTGTCTATATTGTATGTATGAATAATTGTCACTTAAGACTTGATAACTGGACATATATCATGAGTAATAAGACGAACCCTTGAACATTCACTGCTACCTATCTCGTACCACATTTGATGAAACATTCTTGAATTACAGACCCAAGTGCTCCAAAACGAGTGACTGCAGCTCTTCAGTCGTTGTCTCGGTGTTAGGGCACTGGAGAAGATGCTGGTCTGGCCGCACAAGCAGTGCTCCTCCAGTCGCAAAGCCACCATCCTTCTCAAACAGGGCCTTCTGCTCGGCTCCAGTAAACTCGAAGTCGACGCCTGCCACCCAAAGCTGGACTTTGATATTGCGAGTTGCCAGGGACGCCTGCAACTCGTCGACCTTTTGTGTCCAAGGCTCCGCAGTCGAGGCAATCAGCGTCAAAGCATCCATGCCGCAGAGATCCAGCGTGGAGTACTGGCGGGCCGCGATCTCGCCTGCGGTAAACTCCTTGACGTATGAGACGTCCAGGGCAGGTGTCTCGTCGGTGATGGAGGCGTCGATGGGCTTGATCCAGGCGTGAGGGATACGAGCGCCAGGCACAAACTTGGGGGTGAAGTTTGAGGCGTTGGGGGGCGTCTCCTTGTTGCCATAGACGTATCCGATGTGAATCTCGAGCTATTAGGTTCGCTTTTAGTTACTGAATGCAAAAATGAGGTGGAGAAATCTCACATTGTCAAAGTGCTCTCTCTGGCCTTCCACCTCTCGGGCAATCATGTCCTGCTTGGCAGGATCATGGATCGACTTGTGCAAGTTCTCCCGAGCTTTCTCGACGTCATCAATCCCTGCCGTGCCAAGCGCCTTGAGGAACGAGAAGATCTTCTTGCCGTTCTTGACGCTCTGTGCAGAGTTGACGAGCGCAATCTGCCGTCGATCCGCGTCATAGGAATCAAGAATAGAATCACCCGCCCAGCCCTGGTGTACCGCAGCAATCTTGTAAGCGAGGTTGTGTGCGTCTGCAATACCAGAGTTAAGACCGAGGCCACCAGTAGGCGGGAAGGAGTGCGCAGCGTCGCCGACTCTGTTGCGGCAGTGTTAGTTGATGGAGCTCCGGTTTCCAAGGTGGACATACAGGAAGACGTTGCGATCGCGGTACTGCTTTGCAACTTTGCGGCTGAGGAGCCACGGCCTGTAACTCAAAACATTGAATGGGATGTCTTGGCCAATGGCTGCCTTTAGAGTAGTTCGACAGAGGTTTTGGTCCCAAGTCTCTGCAGGATGCTTGTTCGACTGCTTTTCGTTAGTTTACTCTCTCGAAAAGAGGTTGTGACAACCTACGTCAAAGTTGCTAATTAGCACATGATTTCCTCCCAAGTCGTATGCAATAATGAAACCAGAGCAAGCTGGGTCAGTGATCCAGTGGAGCATGCCGACTCGGTCCTTGACGACGGGGCGCAAGTCAGCGTTGAAGTGGATGGTCATCATGGTCTCGTCTATTCGCCGAAGGTCAGTTGTCATTGATCGAAGATGTCATACATATTGTAAATACTCACAACCATCCTCTCCTTCGCTTTCAATACCCAAGTCCTTGCGAACCTGACTCTTTGCGCCGTCACAGGCAATGACGTGCCGAGATGTGATTTCCCATCGGGTCTTTGTCGCGCGCTCTTCAACGGTTGTGGTCACTTTGTCTTTTTGCTGCCATCCCATTAGATCAGATTGAACAATCTGCTAGATACGGGTCTATCAAGTGACCTCACCTGTTCACAAGTCACAAAGGCGACGCCTTTGCGGATCTGGACGTTAGGATCATTCTCCAGCTCCTTAGCTACGAACTGCTCAAAGCCTGGCTGGGGAATATTATGGATCATCTGCCCGAGTTAAGTCCAAGCCTTCTTCAATGGAGTCTGATTTTCTTCGTACCTCGGGTGTAGCTTCGAGGACTTTGGTGTCCATCCGCTCGTAGGGTAGCACACCGATGCGCTCGCCGCTCAAATTGGTGACAAAGTTCACCCAGTACGCATCATCGCGCGGCGATCCTTGCCGGCGCATTTCCATCGTGTCGAGACCGAATTGACGACATATTTCCAGGCTTCGAGGGCAGAGGGCGTGGGCTTTGGGGGCGGCTAGGCGTTCGGGATACTTCTCGATCAGAAGTGATTGCACTATAGTCAATTCGTCAATTTCAATAGGACCGAGAGAGCTGTAAGTTCTATGACTTACCTCCTAGCTTAGACAGCATATAGGCTGAAAGTAGTCCCGCAGGACCACCGCCAACAATCAGCACCGGGACATGGATGGTAGTGTTGACTCCGTTTGTAGAGGGGGTCTCGAGTAAGCCGGGCATGGCGAAGGCTTTGGCTGGGTTCCTATCTAATTTCTCTCGGTGACAATGTCTAAATATTTGGTCAACTATCCTGGAGTATCGTTTTCGTCGCCGTCTATTTTAATTATTGATCTTAATGCAATGTCCAAGTTGGTCTACTCCAGAGCCCAGATCGGCCAAGGTCGGCGTCTCCACTTTCCGAAAGCCGGAGGCAGTGCGTCTCTCCATATCCTACAGCCAGCATCGGCAAGTAAAGTCGGAGAGCGGACCGTCACAGCAGGACTCAGAAGCTTCTCCTTCCTGTGCCAGGATTCATCGGCACCATTAGTCGCATCGAGCGTGGTGTTGCAGTTCCCGAAGCTCGGCTTCCGATTGGTCCGCTCGGGAGATACTTGGGGAAGTCATCGTAGGGAAAAGCTGGGGTATTCCGAAGAACGCATTCCGATTTGTTCTTGTCAACCTCATCCCAGCTCGTCTATTGAAGGAATTTGAATGTGACAACGACCCTGTCACGTATATGACATGTTCACGGGGCTCCAGGCTTGTCATGGGATTACCAAGCGGTGCTATCATGCATCCCTAGCAAATCCTAGATGCTTTGATGGCGGGCTATGAATTGAGTGTTCCATGGATCTTAGCTGTGAGGCACAAGATCGCACCAACTGACAATGGCAAAAGCCATCAATAACAGAAGACTCTGAACAATCTTTCTAAGGAGAATAATATCTCATGAATAGCATCCCATCCCATGTCCACGTAGTCCCTTTGAGTTGAGGCGCCCTTCATTTAGCCCAAGATGGAGCAAGATGGATACCAGCCACATCCCTCGTCAGCTGTAGCTCGCCACCAAAGTATCCAGCCCCGCTCCACATTTGCACCTCGCCCATCGCTACAGCATCATGACACACCCGTAATCTTGCGACCACGGGGATACATTCGCCTAGGCAATAGCTGTATATCTCGTGTTCAAAGCCAAACATGTCCCTGCGATCGTTCGAAACGTCCAATTCCGGGGAGCCGTCCTCAGGGAACCTCAAGCGGAGACGACGGCCCCGAGCAGCAGTTGCCTGCGACTCATGTAGAACTCGCAAAGTCAAGGTGCGAAATCCCATCCAAACCTCACTCTCCAAACTAACTAAAATTTACTTTGCAGTGCGACGGGCAATTACCATGTTCCAGCTGTGTTCGTAAGTCCCATCTACTCTCGCGCCTATGTAGCTAATGCCCCTGCTACTTCATTCCCCTACTTACTCATGATATAGAACACTCTTTCGAGTGCTCATTCAAAGAAAGACAACCCGTTGTATATGTGGACTATCGCCGGGGGTCTAGATCCGCTGAGAAGGCGCGGTAAGAGCCAGACACGTCTTGTATGAGCTTGCAACTGACCACCAGATCAGGTCTACAGATACCGTTCCTGCATCAGAGAAACCACCAGTTACTCAGCCTCCAAGGGTTATGGCTGAAAGCAGAGCTCCGTTAACGTCGCCAATCAGCTTGGAAGGGGCTCCGGCACCACTCTCGCCAATTACACCCGCAACTCAGAGCTCAGAGGCCCGTCATTCAGCAGAGCGTGAACCAGAAGGGCTTGGCGATATCAACCAGCATACGGAAGGATCCGAGTTCTACGGTCATACGGGGACTTTTTATTTTCTGTCTCGCCTTCAATCCCGAGCAAAAGGACAAAGATCACGTAGATCAGCTCCTGGAGGTGGAGATGGGGGCCCAGGGAAGGCAGCCGGAGACGATTCCGTTGTCAATCTTCTTCACAGTTCCGATTACTCAGTCTCCGGGGCTCAAGAGAATAGAGGCATCGGCCAGTCATCCGATATCCCTAGACCTCCGCACGGTGGCCATTCCTACGCCTCTCTCTCAGTTGATACGTTTGGTCAGACCCCCGTGGCGCCTAGGTCGTCAATTGGGACCGAACTCGAGCGTGAATGCGCTCGCCTATATTTCTTGAACCTTCATTGCATCCATCCAATCCTTGATCAGGCATCATTCCTCAGCCGGTGCGAAAAGGAAGTATGGATGGGTGAAGCCATCCCTCCTGAGGCACCAACCCCTCGAGTACGAGCACGAACTCGGTTCCTCGCGCTCTTCAACATTGTTCTAGCTATCGGTTCAATAACGGCAGGAGAAACTGCCTTGGTAATGTGGGATGGTGCTGCTGGGTTTCTGGACGAAATATGCCGTCAAGATGGAAAGTCGATTAGCCCAAACACCTACGTGCCAATCAGAGCCTCACAGTTATTCTTCGAGAGGGCCAAGTTCCATCTTGAAGATACATTTGAGTCGAGTTCCTTTGAGACCGCTCAAACTCTTTTCCTTATGGTATGTGCACCAGTCTCTATACAAACACCCTCCTTACTCATTTCTTCACAGTCAGTGTTTTGTCAAAATGCTTTGAAGCCCCATAGCTGCTACATGTACGCAGGCATGGCGCTTCGCACTGCGTTGGCAACTGGTATACCCACAAGTCTCCATTCCGAGGCTAGTTTAGAGAGTCGTTTCTGGTGGTGGGTTCCTTGATCCGTCACATCTCAGATATGCCAAGACTAAAATTTCTAGGGGCCTTTATTCACACGAGATGTATGATATCAATCAATCTAACGGGGCTTTGCTTACCTTGACCTAGTGAAATGTGTTCATCTACCAGTCGACAGTCATTTCTGCGAGAGCCAGGGCACTATCGTATTCCCTTGCCGCGAGAATCGGTGAGTTGCTACTCCTCAAGTCGAAACAGATGTGCTAATAGAACCCGTAGGGGTCACCCGGGCCGTCCTTGTATCTCATCAATTGCATGGTTGAGCTCGCAGAAATCTTGGTAGACGTATCCGCCAATGCTTGTCGACCTGATGAAGACGCAACCTTGTTCCAGAGATCCAATAGGTCCTTTATTTTGGACGAACGTCTCTCAGCCTGGAAATCTCAGTTGCGCGCCCCTCTTAATTTGGAAAATTCGTCGTTGGATGAGGCAGAGTTGATAACGAAGCAGAAGATTGTGCTGAAGTTGCGTGAGCAGACCTTTCAAGAGAGAGAGTATAGGGACGTGCTAACAATACGTAGGGTTTTTAAACGCAAGAATACTTTTACACAGACCATTTTTAATCTCGGCCACGGCTGAGTCGCATCGCGAGCAATTTACCATGCATACTCAGTCTTGCGTTGAGGCGGCGAGTGAGACTATTCGATTTGTTCATACGACCTACCTGTATCGCCCGTATTTCCGCACTTGGTTTGTAATATCTTGATCCGTTTATGTCAGTGGAGAAATAGCTAACCGCGATTGTTAATTACAAACAGGTGGTACAATTGCACGTATGTGCTCGATGCATCCATGGTGCTCCTGTATGTCATCCTATCAAATATCAGCCCAACAACGGCGGAAAGCATCATACAAGACATAGAGAAGAGCCTTGAAATATTTTCATCGATGAAACGACTAGCGGTGGCTCGTCGATGTACTGAGATCGTAAAAGAGGTCTTGGCCATCGCTAAATCACATCGCGACCGAGGCAGCCAACCAGAACAAGACTCCAGTGCCGACATTTATAGCGATGCCGCCTTGCTGAGTTATCTCGCCAATGCTCCTCCAGATCCACCTGGAGATGGATCAGGGGGGGGGGTTGATCTCTACGAAGGAGATCCGTTTGCAAGCCTAGTAGACACGAATCTTGTCTTCAATTTTCTCAATTTTGAAGACTGGACTGCCTGGTCGGATGCTGGAAATGTGTAAGTATTATGGGCTTAAAAATAAGGTTATGGGTTTGTATTAGAAGTCCAGGGTATTCTTAGCACCCAGTCAGGTTCGGGTTGAGGGCAGTATTAGCATATGGGATACGTGTTTGCCGAATGTGTCGTATTGCACAAGGCCGTAAAGCGAGCAGATAGCATAAGCGGCGCGACCACCATTTCTATTTAGTGTTGTTATATCGCACACATCTACTAGCATTTTCACAGATAGCTACATCCTCAATCCTACTGATAATTGTCTTTATCCTGATGTAGCAATTTAGGAAATAAAATTTATACAAGACTAATTCTTAGTGATTATTTCTTGGTTTTCTCGTCATCGTTTTTTAGTCTTACAACAACACCTCTTTCTTAGTCTTATAATAACAATTTATTTTAATTCATTAAAAGAGTTGATCAATTACAACATAGTCGTAAAATTCATTCAAGTCATACGTGACTGTATCCTGTATAATCTAGCACTTCGTTGTCATGGCCAGATTTTGTAATATGGTACTGTATAGGGTAAGGCTATGAGCCTGGAGGTTCGGATGTTCTACATTAAGTTTCGGCATAACCTATTGTCACCTTGGGCTTTCGGGGTTTCGGGCTCAAGCTCTTCAATGTGAAATTGTGTTCTCTGTTATTGCATGTAGATGTAAGCGGCGTTGTCTGTGTCATTGGGATCCGTCGGTGCGTGGCTAGACACTTCTGTACCACTCCGCAATCAGCTAGAATCCGACGGTAAACGATGATCCCGGCGGTTGGCTTCACCGTCGGTATGCTTCCGATCCAGCGATACCGATTGGCTCATTGGGGATCTAGACCCAGAGTTGGGGTTAAGGAACGGAGCTATTGATGCTAGCGACCGCCACCGACTGTGCTCTACCAGAGAGCGTCGTTTAGGCACTGCGTGATTGGAGATGTCCCGCCAAATGTCAGTTATTGTCCTTCTATCTTGCTACATAGACGAGCTTTCACTGCGAGCTGCAGAAAGCTCCCCACATCCCCAAGCTTACCCCAGACTTAGAGGCTAGCACAGTACCCTCATCCGGAGTGTGGGGAACCCTGTTGCGAGGCTTCCCTACAAGGTTTCTTCTATCATATAAGACAGTCCTCGAGGCCGGGAGTAGAAGAGCTATGTCTCCCTGAGTCTCCGCCATCCTTCTCCAGGTCTCCTGCTGTTACCACAACGTCCAACATGGCAAGGCATCAAGATTCCACTGCAACCGAGGACATCTCTTCGGTTGTTCTGCGACGAGCCCCAGGAACTGAGCTGCTTTTCGACGATGGCAATGCTAGCAAGGCAACGGCCGGCCTCCAGTTCATTCCACAAGGCGACACACATATCCTACTCGTCCCTCAGCCCTCCCTCTTAGACCCAAACGATCCGCTCCGGTGGTCAACGGTTAAGAAATGGGGCACTTTTCTCAACGGCGTTGCATACGCTTTCATGGGCAGTGTGACCGGCCCTATCATGGCTGCCGGCATGCTCCCGCTTGCCGAGACCTTTGGCGAGAGTCTACAAAAGCTAACGTATGCAAACGGTGCCACGTTAATCTGTCAGGGAGTTGGTAATATCTTCTGGATGTAAGTCTTCGTCACTGGTGATTGACTTATGTCTTAGACTAACAATGCCTTCGTCCTTAGGCCCCTGGCTCTCAAGTTTGGCCGTCGCCCGGTCTACATGTTTTCATACGTTCTCATGGGCATTGCTTGCGTTTGGCTTGGACTTGCATCGAACGCCACATATGTTTCATTCATCACCGGCAGGGCGTTTTTGGGCTTATTTGAAGCACCCATCGAATCTATCGTCCCTACCACAATCACAGACATCTTCTTCCTGCACAATCGCGGAGAGAAGGTGTCATTCTATGGACTCTCAGTCCTTGGTGGCAACGAGCTTGGGCCGTTGGTATGAATGCCCTAAATCCCCGTCTGCATTTTCAGGCAGCTTTCTAATAGTTCCGGCACTGCAGTTTTCGGCCCTCATCATCCAACGTTACGGAATGGATTGGGCTTTCTACATCGTGGCCATGTTCATTTGCCTCAGCTGCATCTCCATGTTCTTTTTCATGCCTGAAACCAAGTACACTGGACCTCGACCTCAATCGTACCCCGCCGGAACTGAGGTGGATGATGAAAAGGTGGGAGTGGAGAGGATTGAGAATTCCCGTGATAACAACAAGGAAGGGTGCGGTGAACGCATCGAGAGCGCTCCTCAAGGCCCCCCCAAGCGAGGGTTTCTTCGCAATCTTGCCTTGTGGGAAAAGCCAGATCCTGATGTGAGTCTGAGGAACGCCTTCCTGCGACCCTTCATCCTCGTTACGTATCCTACTGTGCTCTGGGCGTGCCTTGTTTACGGTGCGTCCCTTGGCTGGAACGTCATCCTTGGGGCGACGGTTGCTCAACTGTTCGCTGGACAATACGGCTTCGACTCTCAGGCTCAGGGTCTCGTCTTTCTATCACCATTCGTAGGCTCACTGATTGGATCTTGGCTTTGCGGATCTCTGTCCGACTCCATCGCCAACTACTTCACCAAGAAAAACGAAGGTATCCGAGAGCCTGAAATGAGACTCCCTGTCTGCATTCTCGCCACCATTTTGACATTCCTGGGTGCACTCATGTCGGGCTTGACGTATCATTACAATACGCATTGGGCTGGCCCTGTGGTTGGCTATGGAGTTCTCAGTGCTGGTGCACAGGTGGGGGTTTCGTTGTCAATGAGTTATGCGCTGGATTGTCACCGAGAGGTATGTGGTCCGAATTCCATTGATACGCTCCTGAACTTAATACTAACATTTTGACAGCTCTCTGTCGAGCTCATGGTTACAGTAGCGTCACTCAAGTCGCTCATGGCGTGGGTCTGGACGTGGGTGATTAATGATTGGATTGACGCCAACGGGATGCTCACTGTCTTCATGGTGATTGCCAGCGTCAATGTTGCCATTCACTTGACGACATTCATCCTCTATTTCCGGGGAAAGGGCATCCGTATCTGGATCGCAGAGACGGATATGCTGGCACGATGTGGATTGAAATGAGGTATCTCGTGGATTGGGGTGTACATCCAGATCCCTAAGCTTTAGGCCTATCTGTATTAATAAGTCTAGTTTGATAAAGACAATTATTGTAGAATAAAGACCAAACCTAAAGGCTATATAAATATTATTTTTAGTTATTTTTTTAAGTGTATTGTCAACAATTATATTTCCACTCTAGATATAGTAGATATTCTAGATAATCGGTACTGGTTAAAGAGAACAATAATAATAAAATACACATTAATTACATTTCACCTTAGAGTATATGATCTTTTGTGCAAATAGAAGCATGGGCACATTTGATCTTGAGAACCAAAGACCTCAAGAACATTCACCCCAGCCATCTCTTAATTTTGATTCACCCGAGCGTTCTCGCCAGCCCGCTTTCAGGACACCACAGTGCCACTCTCGTTCATCATCAGGAAGTTCGACATCTGCATCTCAGGTGTCTCTGCTGGGTATCCCTCCAAACCCGCTTCTCCAGACGGAGGGTATCCGGCTGTTCGGTCACCCACTGCATCTAGTCTCCGGGAGAAGGCAATCAGAAGAACCTTCATCAAATGTCATGCGAAACAAATTAAAAATTTCGACCTCGATGATGCAAGGAGAAGGTGGGATTCTTGGAGTATGGAAGATGGCGAAATTTATGTGTTTTCTGTAGTTCTAAGGCCCTCTTGAATCCGACAATTACAATGTAAATTTAGACCTGGTCGATTCTAGCATTGGCTTTGATGAGTGTCAACCCCGTCCATCTAACAGCCCAGTACCAGGTGTGCCATGATTGCCATTCCCGTTCAATCTGAAAACGGTGAGCAGATGGCTACCCCAAAACCGTACCGAATCCATGGGAGGTTTGAGGCGTCGCCGCATGCCATCCATCTTCAATCACCGGGCAAACAGCATCCGATTCGTCGCTCGCCATCAGTTGGAGCTCGGGATATCCGAACTGCCCCATTACCACAGCCCACTTGATAATGATCCACCATCTCCGAAGCCGGGCTATGGTGGAGATGGATGTTGCGGGAATTCCGGAGATAGAGCCGGCCACTATTCCCCCGCATTTCTGACTTGATCGTGCCGCGGTGCGATCTCTTAGCGAACCCCGAGCTTCGCCGAACTACAAACAAACCCCAAAAATCCAGTGACAATTGATCCCTTGTTTTGTTTACATCCCTCACCGATTGAAGTGTAGACAACCACCATAACAAATCGCTCATCATGTCTGTCCGAAGCGGCCCCTGGAGACTCGTTACCGTCAACACCGCCCCCGAGCGGGCGAAGCGACTGATCGGCCGTATGATGGAGGCACTCAAGGACCGATATGACATCGAGTATGTCGCCAACTGTGAGAGTAAGTCGCAACCTACTGTTTACTCAATGTGCAGTCGCTGACACCAATTAACTACAGACATGGCCGAGGTCCTCCCTAAGGTGACCGAACACAAGCCCAACGTCATTGTAACTTCTTCCTGGCAGACAAGAAAGATTCCCTTCGACTAATGAGACCACAGTTCTGCGCCTCGATGTGGACTCCCGAGGAGGCCAGCACCATCTTTGCGACAGCGAAATCGGTCGTGCCGGATATCAAGACACACGCCATTCCCACGGGACTGCAGGTTGAGAAGGGCCCTGACGCGATCGTGGAATACCTGGTTGAGGAGGTCCCCAAGCTGCTGGGTTAATTAGGAAATTGTTTAAGATACCAGAAATAAAAATATAAAATTGACCGCCATATGGGCGCCGGTTTGGACGAGGCTAGACAATAGATCCCACTTCGCATACCAATGATGTCCTTCACCACGCAGTGCAATGCAGTGAATGATTAACCCTAGGGAGTTTATGAAATATGGTGCTGATGACTAGATAAACTCCAACAAAGCATATACAAGTACCGCAGCTGACATTATGAATTGTCTCATTTTACAACGTCCCTCTCAATCTAGAATACACACTGCGAGTACTCAGTACATCTAACGGTATTGCTTTTGGATTGCAATGGTCTATGTGTATTTGTAGATGTACATTGTGAGATCTATATATGTAGCCTCTCCACCTAATGCAGATCAATTACTTTACTTTTCATTCTCAAACACATTGACGAGGGTTCCGATATGGGGCAAAATCTCAACTGCGAATTCATCGCCATCGCGAAGAGTCTCCTTGGGTTTCCGACCCAATCCTACACCAGCAGGAGTTCCTGTGATGATAACGGTTCCGGCAGGCAGAGTAGTGCTCTGAGACAGGAAGCTAACAAGCTTGGGGACGCTGAAGATCAAGTCACTAGAGTTGGAGAGTTAGAGACATCTGATGGTAGAGGTGGGAGAAAAAGCGCTTACTCAATGCCGCAGTCTTGGAGGACGGTACCATTCTTGAGGCCCCTCATCCACAACTTTGACGGGTCAGGGACCAGAGACTTGAGAGCGAGAGTCGGTCCTAGTTAGGGGGATTTAGATGGCATCCTCAGAGAAAGGTATACGGTAGATTTAGGAGAGCACATACCAATGGGGCACGCTCCATCGAAGCCCTTAGAGAAGGACCACTGAGACTGGTTGAGTTGAGAAGTACGGCTTGAGACGTCGTTGCACGCAGTGTATCCCAGGACATAGTCTAAGGCATCAGCCTCGCTGACATTCTTGGCCGTCTTTCCGATGACAACCGCCAGCTCGGACTCGTAGTCTCCGCAGTCATCGACCTGAGTAAGCTTCGGTAGGATCGTGGGGGCGGGCCAAGGGTCACCGAGGGAAGTGTTTGGCTTCCTGGAGGGTGCGTCAGAGATGGATCTGGCCGCTCATTCAGTAAGTTGCTTACATGAAAACTGTGGGAATGGTTGGGATGTCCATCTTGACCTCGATGGCATGCTGCTTATACTAGAAGCGGCCGCGTTAGCACTCTGTTTCACACACAATCATTCGCAGACTGCGGTTGGATGACACTCACATTTAGGCCGATACATCGAATGGTGCCAACCTCGCTTTGAGCCAGGGGCGAGAGGACTCGGCCAATGGTCTCGGTCGAGCCAGTGTCGTTTCCAGGAGACAGAACGGAGGAGCCGGAGAAGACATTGACGGCAACTTCGAGGCCCTTGCGCATGGCAGCGCCAACATCGACATCCTTGTCGGCAGGCTGGCCGATGAGGATCTTGGAGGGGTTTGACTTGGGGACGAAGCGCACGAGGCCTGTTGGCAAGTGTTAGTTAATCAGACGAGATCCCACACTACAGCAGCGAGATGTTGCTACAGCGGGCGAGTGGGCATGGACATACGCTGGAGGGTTGCTGAAGCCATGATGGAAGAGTTGAATGTTGGAGTTTCTAGAGATCCGGATGCAGAGTCTAAGTGATGACAATGAGAAGCGCACAACGGACAAAGCTGTCTCGGTCTCCGAGAATCAATGCCGGGTAAAGTCCTAGGTCTAGTCCACGTTGGGATGTGGGAGCTGCGAGACGAGGCCAACCCCGTGACGTCGACGTAGCAACGAGAAAGATGCCGGTCCTCGGAAGAAGTGTCTCGTGGGGTAAAGTCTAGATAGAGTCTAGACCTTGCGTGAGAAGCCGGAAGCTGGGAGTTGTTGCAGAAGACGGGAATTCCGGTGCAAATGAAACGGGGATAAAACGAATGTGGTGTTGAAGCTTAGTGGGCGCTGCGTAATCCGACTGCCCGGCTTCGGCGGAGACGAGGCCGACGCCAGCGGGAAGCGGGGCGGAGTGCGGGGGACTTTTAGCGGCGTGGCCCTGTAAGCAGCCCCTCCAAGGAGTCCCGGCGATGAGCTTCGGCAACTGGAGAGGAAATACGGCTTCTGACCGGGAATCCAATCCTCAATTGGGACGATTCTTTGCGCCGAGACAACCATCTGTCTTGCATATTGTTACTCTTGTCAAGGCTGCTACATTTCCTGGGGATCGAGCCGGACCATCGGGCGCAACCTACGAGCTACGTACTCCCTCCATCGTACCATCATCGTCGGATCCAACGCCGCCGAGCGCCCGGTTCTTGAGCGACTCGACGTAGACGCCCGCCATAAATCTCACCTCATTCTGCCATAATTTCCTACTGCTCAATTGAGCTCGAGCTTGCTTGATTCTTGAGCTCACTGCTTCCTGTTTGAATCGCAACATCGTCGCCAGCAACAGCAACGGCCAATCTCGCAGCCATGGCGTCTCAATCCTCCGCCGCGCCCAGCGCATTCCGCCAGCATCTTCCCGACCTCAGCATCCCTCGCTTCACCAGCATGGCGAAGCAGGACCCTTATGAATATGCCAAGGAATTCAAGGAGGGCGGCCAACCCCCGTGGCTTCACGGCCTCTTCCTCCACTGGCGAGACCTGCTGAAGGAGCCCTACAAGGGCATCACCAATAACGGCATGTCTACCTCTTCGTATAAGTCGCTGTCGAGGTTCGAATACAACTAACCCTCTTCCTAGGCAAGGTCCGACCCGATCTCTTTGACTTACACGATGATGGTGTCCCTACCGCAACCATTGTCCAGGCCACCGAGGCCCTTCTTAAGCTCCTCGACCACGGACAGCGCGAAAAGACTTGCTACCACATTGACTCGCCCGAATGGCGCACTTGGTCTAATCCCGAGTTTCTCTTGAGTGATAAGGGCATTCGCCTCGACGAGATCAGCGACGAACAGAGAACCGCTGTGTTCAAGGTCCTGGAACTGACTCTCTCACCCGAGGGTTACCAGAAGGCTCTTGGCGCCATGCGCGTCAATGGCTTCCTGGGCGAGCTCTGCAAAGTCCCCAGCATCATGAATGAGCACTCGTACAACTTCGTCCTCTTCGGCGAACCCTCAACCGAGACGCCCTGGGGCTTCTCCTTCTACGGCCACCACCTCTGCCTCAACATTCTCCTTTACAAGTCACAAATCGTTATATCACCTTGGTTCACTGGCGCTGAGCCGAACTTGATTGACGACGGCCCCTACAAGGGTACGCGCATCCTCCACAGAGAAGAGGCCCTCGGTCTCCAGCTCATGCAGGATCTCCCAGCCGAGAAGCAGGCGAAGTCCCAGATCTACAAGCTCATGAAAGACCCGGCTATGCCCTGGGGTCGATGGAACCACGATGACCAACGTCACCTCTGCGGCGCCTACCGCGACAACCGAGTCGTTCCTTACGAGGGCGTTCTCGTCTCCGAGATGACCGCTGCGCAACAGGATCTTATCCTTGGCATCTGCAAAGAGTTCCTCCTCTATCTTCCCGAAAAAGCCCTCCAGCTCCGTCTGGACCAAATCCGTAGCTGGTTCCACGAGACTTACTGGTGCTGGATTGGCGAATTCGGCAACGAGGATCCCTTTTACTACCGCATCCAGAGTCCCGTGGTCATCATCGAGTTTGACCATCACTCGGGCGTCTTCTTGGCAAACAAGGAGCCCGCCAAGTTCCACATCCACACGTTACTAAGGACACCGAACGGCGGAGATTACGGCATGGCTCTCCGGCCGCTGATTCCTCGTGTGAAGCAGGAGTTTATGTGGGAGGGGTAAGGCAGAGTGGATGTGAGATCTATACCAGACGATGTATTTCAGGTAGCAAGCGCTTATGAATGAAGATTCCAGAACCGTGGCTGTGCGAATCTAAGCTGTGAGCATGCCTAACGGGGACGCTGATAGGTCTAGTGATGCCCAATATGTTTTGAGGAATCTGGAGATTGCCTGTGCGAACCATCCATACGCCCATCATCAAATGAAATCAACCTATCAAACCTCTTTCTAGGCACCGGACACAACGCCACAAATCAAGCCCTTTTCGGAAGCAACTGCCTCAGCTGATGCCCTTTTTCAACCTACAAAGTGAGGGAGTAATTCTTTTATTCTCTCTCCATGCTTTTCGCCAATTCCTACTTAAGTCTGCGATAGCTTTTGCATATTCTTCGTTCAACAGCTTCCCGTATGAATGCGCTTCGAAAGTTCGCCCTGGAAGATTTCCAGGAACAAGTCTTCCGCGACTGTCCTCTACAATACTAGATAATCACCGTTGAGTCTATCCGGGGACTTGATAACGAGCTGGTTCAGCATACCGCAACCCTCGAAGAAATCGAACGGATTACCAACACTAACGTGTCCTTCATTCTTGTCAAGATCTTTTTTCATCGGTCTCTTGATCAGCACATCTTTCACACTAGCCAGACGGACTGCCAAATGCTCTAACAAATCTTTCACATCGATGCCTGCGGGCTTGGTATGGTCGCTTCAAGTATGACGGGCTTCCACTGCCTGCAGGGAGACGCCCCGAGTAGACCTGCAAGTTATTATATGAAATGTGCCACCTTCAAGCTTATCTGGTCGTACGACCAGGGCGGCCATTTCGCAAGAGCAATCGGCTTCTACAGGACTCCAGATCCGAAGCGCCGGATATTTCAAGGTTTCGTAACTACCATGGAGTCGAACCTGGATCTCGTCTTACACTCACTTTTCCTGCCTCTTTCCGGAGCCACCCAAGCGGTAATAGACATATATAGCAAATTTCGAGAATACTCTCTGGCATTTAAGACTATCGAGAGATTTACGGCTTCGCGCATCGACTCCGAAGCTGAAATGGAGCCCTACGAATTCTCCACAATGTCACGGCAAATAAGCGCATTGCTTGTCAAAATTGAAAAGAGCATTCACAAAACTCGGCAATAGATGCTAGCTATGGACTCATTGACGAAGTTTCAACTCAATCAGGGCTCTAAACCAATTCAAGGTCTTACCATTGAGTCTAACGAGAATAATTCTGCGTCGGTTTTGGGCGGTATACAACTTATCCAGAGCAAACTGGATGTAATGAAGATCAAATTCAACTACATCCTGGCAAGAGCTAAAGATTTACAAATGGCTGCAAGTTCTGTCCTGAAGCACGGCTGAAAATCTATGCTGACTCTCTAGCAGATTACCCAGAAGATGACTCGGGATAATGCCGTCGCCAGCATCAAGCTGGCAAGGGCGACTTCTCTCGACAGCTCGTCAATGAAATCTGTCGCCATCATGACCATGGCCTTCTTGCCAGCCACATTCTTCGCCACTCTCTTTGCATTTCCATCGCTAAATTGGAATGCCAAGCCTGTAGTGCAAGATACTTTCTGGGCGTACTGGGCGTTTACGCTCCCATGCACTGCATTGGTGTTCCTTCTTTGGGCATTTCTCACGCAAAGAAAAGAATTAGGATATCTCTTTGCTTGGATCAGGAGGCAAATCAAGGCGCCTAAAGTTGATGAACAAGTTGCAGAGACGGTGTGCACCTTGGATGAAACCTTTACCGAAATCCCTTCAAGAACTTCAGGGTCCTTTCCAGAGGATGATGTTCTTAAGGAGTCGACATCTCGAAACCTACCGACAGGGCAGGTCTAGGGTTTTTTTATCTGTGCTGTTTGGATGTAAGGTAGACATTCACAGCGATACATTGGATTACTTAGACAACCTAGATGAAAGCATATATGCGTTGAAATTGGGAATCCACCTCATTGTCTGACTTATATGAGAGAAAAATATCGCAATGGATACAGATCATGAACATTCATTGAGAGTTTTGCAATTTGGACACCAATATATACTCCTTCACGAAAACATCAGCTGGACTAAGCTGCCTACTATATGTGGCATATTAGGGGTTAAATCCTTGCCGTTCTAAGTAACTTGAGGCTAATAAGTTTAAATAAATAATTATTATTATAAAAGATAAATACTAAGAATTGGTCCTCTGAAGATTTATATCCTCAACTTCTTCATTTAGGATAATATATAATTATCGGTAGAATTAAGGAATAAAGTGATATATGTAAACAGTAATCGGCTTGTGCGCGAATAGTAATACTCTTATTTAATAATCACTTTTTTCAGTATTGTGTGATACTGACTCCTCCCTTCGTAATGGCGTACGGAGCCACTTTCCAACGCGGCACTTTTCAGCCTGCTATCTAGTCCTTTAATGCTTTCATCGTGATGGCGAACATAAAATCTTAGGTCAATAACATTCATTTAGTTTACAATTGCTACGCACCTAAGGTTTCATTGTTGCGGCAATGTTAGAAAGGCATGTATTTGGTCCTTGTGGGCTGTGCTGAGCTCGAGATGCAGCAACTTCCAACACGCAACCAAGGTAGATGATGGGTATCCGCTGATGCAACCGTCGCACATCTATTAGCGAGGGTCGGTATCGGATTGAAAAGATCTTTCTTTTATTCGAAGAGTTATGCTCGCAATGAGTCTGTTTCAGACAGCCTATATGACTTGAGGCGGCCTCTTCATGTTGCAGTGGGTGCAATTCGGTTGAACCGTGATGACTAACGCTGAGGTTGCGGTACGCTCTTATCACGTGGTGTCGAAAGCTTGGGCCTCGTGCACCATCGCAACCCCACTACGGGTCTCGCCGCAACTCTCTTCGCGTGTCCACCACACCTCCCAGATGCCCCATTCAAGAACGGAGCGTGAGAGATAGATGCAAAAAGATATGTCGTCGCATTCTTCAAAAAAGGAACGCTTGCGACCGCCGGGAATCGAACCCGAAGCTCAGGCATGGGAAGCCCGCATTTTACCATTAAACCACGGAGGCTGTTGGACGCACGACTGTACGAATTGGCAGAGCACCCGGAAATCCAAAAATATGAAGGTAGACCCACAATGTCGCATGCAGCCACACTTGTGTGGGGTAATCCAGAGCTGGGGAATTCAGTGGAACTGGCAAGTCCAACCCCTCCAAGCAACACTCACCAGCTCCAACTCATCATCGCGGCTCTCGCTTCTCAACACGTACCCCGGCCGTTCCTCTTCACCTTACCTCGTACCTCTCAACCTACCGCGCTTACAATCTCCGACCCTCCTACCGAACTCCCGACTCGCCTATCATGGCTAACAAGGTCGACCGCATCGTCGCCCGGCTGCAGAGCAAGATCACGGAAGGCGACTACTACGAAGCCCAGCAGCAGACCCGCGTCGCCGCCTCCCGCTATATCAAGACCTCCAACTGGCCTGCCGCAATCGACATACTCGCCAGTGTCGCCCAGCCGCTGCTCCGCGCCGGACAGGGCGGTAGCGGCGGCGACCTCTGCATCATGCTCGTCGACGTCTACCGCCAGGCCGAGCTCAAGCCCGACGCCGCCGCCAAGGGCCGGCTGCTGACCTGTCTACGCCTGTTTGACTCCGAGGAACCTACGCGCAAGAAGTTTATTGGGGAGATGATTGGGTAAGTCATTGAAGGAAGGGTTGGGGTAGACGCTGTGCTGACGAGGGCTTGGGATAGCTGGTCTGCCAAGTTTGGCGAGTTCCCGGCTGGTGACTCGGAGCTGCACCACGTTGCGGGATCGCTTTACGCTGAAGAGCACGACACATACGAGGCGGAAAAGCACCTGATATTGGGAACCAAGGACTCTCCCGAGGTCTTGACCAAGATGGAATACAAGTGGTACAAAGAGGGCGAGCCGCACCAGGCTGGCTTGTTCGCCGGCCGTGCCGTCCTGCCCTACCTGCTCATCGGCAACGTCCGCGCCGCCAACACATGCTACCGCCTCTTCACTAGCACGCTGAGTACCGAGAACCCCAACTTGGGCGTCCAGGACGTCTCGGGCATCAGCGGCGACATCCGCGTCTTCCCTAGCCTTCCGCTCCTCAACTTCCTCGGCTTCCTGCTCATGGCCGTCCAACGCTCAGCCCCCGAGCTGTTCAAGGGCCTCATCTCCAAGTACGCAACCCAGATCAATGAGGCCGAGTCGTGGGCGGATGCGCTCCAGATGATCGGCGAGATGTACTTTGGGATTACCCAACCCCGTAAGAGCAATCCCTTGATGGACATGATGAGCGGACTGTTCAGTGGAGGCGCCCCTGGCGGTGCGCCTCAGCAGCAGCAGCGGAGACCGGCTGCGCGGGGTATTGATGCCCCGGCGCCAGAGGGACTGGATTAATGGACTGTCTGCGTGGGTCGGAGTTCGTGTATCATAGGGACCTGAGAGAAAAACATAGACAGCAGGCGTTGAATAGGCAAAGGCATGGTTAACCACGGGGCTGTTCTTCTGGTTCGAACATCCAGTTATCCTCGGCCAAAGCCGCGACTTTGGCTCTAAGACTTGCCCTGACAGCTTCGAGGAGTTCTGTGATTGCGTATTAGTGACCGATGTTTGCTTACTCATGAGCGAGGCTGTGAGGACACACCTTCGGGCTGCTCAGGAACAGTGCTTTGGTTAATCTGATGATGCTTCACGGCTTCAGCCAAGCGTTGTCTCTCCTCTATCAAACAATGAGCATTTCTAGTCGCAAGCCGGCATACACACATAGAAACTGGGGGCGCATACTCTCACTCTCTTGGCGATGATCCAGCGGCACCTCGTCCTCATCCTCGAGCACTGGCGTTGGCGGGTCGCCAAGCTCAATCTCGCCATGCTTGTCGCGAACGACAATTTCAGACGTGTCGGAGAGCACGTCGACGTCGAGGTGCAGCGTCTCGGTCGAGGCAGACGAGCTGGCGGTAGGTCGCCGGGTCAACTGGCTCTGGAAGAGGTTGCGACGGACGCTGGCCGAGGTGCCGTTGCGGCTGCGAGAGACGCCGCCGTTGGTGGTTGTGCGAGAGCGGTCAGCCATTAGTGCAATTTTTATCTGAGAGAGGAATGGAAGAGGGGTTTCATAGGAGGTCGTGTGTGAGGTTTGAAGATGGGGGTTGAGATGAGTAGGTTGAAGTGGGTTGTGTTGACTTTGGTGGGGACGCGACAGGGACTATGAGGTGTGACGTTAGCCGCCGGTGATGGCCTTGGATAACATGACAGATGCAACATTGCCACACTTGTGACTGCGTCTAAAATCGAGATACGCGTTACTAGTTCCTAAGCGCTATTCTTTCTCCCATTCTGGTTCTGAATATCGAACCTTGACGTTCGTGATCTTAGCAAGCACTTGTAGATGGCGCTTCTCATTTAGCATGTCGCATGGACATCAACGTAAATCTGCAAGTACAAATGCATTTGCCTATCAATTACGCTAAATCACAAAATCACACTTTAGAGTCCCATCGCCGTTCAAAATGACATCTTGTAGAACAACCCGAGCCTTCAAATCGAGGCTAGCGAGACTAGGTTCTGACTGTCATTTCTCCATGACACCTGGAGTCTTGATCTCTGTGGCTCATCCAACGCCCTGCAGTTATGATTGCCTGCCACTATTGTACACGCAATATCGCCTTCAGACCCCATTCGGACCCTTGAAATGCGGGTGGAATTTGGCCCATCCTGTTTCAATCTCCCTCCCTGGTGACCTTAGTTGGGATTTACAGGGAGAGGTTGTAAGCATACTCGTCCTCCATGTTCTGGCTAACCCAAAGGACGACGGAGCTGAGTCGTGTTAGCAAATTTATCTCCAGATTTAGAGGAGAAAGCGGATTTAAACTCACCTCAGGCCAACCAAGGCATTGCTCACGACGTTCTCAATGCCCATGCTCAAAGCAGGCATAGCCACGCTAGGGACGACAAACTTGAGGACGAAGACAGTGACGCCTCCAGCCATGCCACCAGCGAGGGCCGCAAAGCCCAGGAACAGTACCACGCGAGCCTTCCACGCGACACCAGACCCACTGTAGCTGAACGAGTCCGCGCTGAGGCGCTGCTTCTCGACCGAGTTGATGATGAGCATGCCCAGGCTGGAGAAAATGAAGGGCAGCCAGTCAACAAACTTGACATGGACATCAGAGCCGTTGTTGGCAGACTTGGACCAGACGGCGGAGTCGAGCATGACGTAAAAGGCGATGGAGAACTGCGTGCAGCGATCGGGTTAGCCAGTTGCGCCGAGAACGATGGAATGCGCTCAGTGCCGTGATGGCCAGTGTGTCCATTGCGAAGCGAGGGAGCCGCTGACCGTGACGGCCAGTATGTCCATTGCGAAGCAAGGAGGCCGCTGATATCGATGGCTATTGGGGGCGCAACCCGGGATTGGCGACTTACCAGAGCTCCGGCGCCGTAGACACCGGCGTTGCGGGCCCAGATGCTGTTCAGCCACTCGGGCCGTCTGAACTTCCAGAGACGCTCCTCCTCCATGCTGTCGTGTACGAGAATGGGTGTCGGGATCGTCGGGCTCGTTGGTCTACAATATGTCGGAGGATGACGAGGTTGTTCAGAGATGCGCGAGGATAAAAGGGCGGGCGTCGAATTAGGCACCTGACGTAGGTTCGGAGGATGAGGCAGCTCAGAAGCTCATGATGACGAGGCTGGGCGGCTCACGACGGAGGTCGGATGGCTTGGCACCGAGATGGTCACGTGCATATTCGATGCGATACTTGGTACTTGGCCCCACTGCCGCAGCGACCGCAAAACGCAGGGTCGGAGTGATGCAATTGCCCGTGTAGCAAAACATGGTCCATGCTTGCACAACGTGGGTCCAGTCGTCTAGGACCTTCGGCATGCAGCAACTAAGAGAACAAGAAATAACAACTGGAACATGTTAAACGGCCAGTGGATGAGGAACGAGCCATGTCGCCCCGCTGGCCAGTGAGCTTTGGAAGGAGGCGAAAAGGATCGTCCTAAACGAACGGGACCCTGAAATCTATCAAAGCGGCCCAGCGCCGGCCGTACAGGAAGGGTGTACAACGCGGGGGGTCCCATCGTGTCCGCACTGTTGGGTGCGAGAGCGAGAGCGACATGCCTGGAATTGCTGGGATGTGGCGTGCCTGTCGAAAGTCAAACCTGTTGAGCATGTTTCCCACATCTCGTCCACGGCAGTATTCATGCTGGATCAACGGCTGTCTGCATGATGCAGTACATACCCGGCGGCAGCAACAACGGTAGTAAAGCATGAACGGAGACGAAATGTCGCAGAAAAAGCCACTCGGCTAGCAACGTGCGAATATGCGTGTCTAGGCGTATCAGAGAGAGAAATGGCTCCGCATCAAAACAATTGAGGCGACCTTCTCCGACCCTCTCTTCGCTTGTTGGTTGGGCCGATGGTGTTTACTTACACTGCCTGCAGCCATCATCATCGTCGTCAAGTGAACGAACCCGCGGAATACCCACCCACCAATAAATGAGCTCATGGATTGCGCAGCCTGCAGCAGTCTGCAGCGCTGCAGCAGCCTAGAGCGGCGAGTGCGCAGCCGTCCAATGTATGTGCACACTGTACCTACATACGGTGACATTCCAAGAATCCAACGTCGCAAACTTTTCCACGGCAACCATCAACAACCCGTCTCCCGTCCCGCCGCCACACTTAGGGCAGACGTGCAGAAATTCCACTCTCTTTGCACTGTGCCCTTACGGCAACGCTGGAATAGAGCTGAACTGCAGTGCTGCACCCCAAAATAGCGAGCAGTCCACAGTTCTGGCTGCTTTAACCCGCATGTCGTACCCGACTGGGGTGGCGCGTAAATGGCGGCTTGGACGCCAGGGGGGATTGGGGGCGACCCAAGTTCTCGACAGCAGCACAGAAATAGCGCTGGGCGGCGCAAAACGAGGCGGCTTAGAAGGGTAAGAGACGGGCGGACCTGCTGCGAGGGGCGCTGGAAATTGGCTCGATTTGCGGCAGACACGGGAGTGCGGAGGAGCTGGCGAATGAGGGACAGGGTCGCATCCGCAGGGGCCGTAGAGCGGCAGCCGCGCTAGTCCTGTTAGGACTGCGGGGCGCTCGTGCTACTCCTATTTTTCCTTCAGACTGGATCCTGGGTCCTGCCAGCCAGGGTAGCGGCTCTAGCGAGTGTGGGAAGGCGCACGCAAGACGCAGGGAAGGAGACACGCACCAGCCGAATGGGGCTGTGCGTGACTGGGCAGGTGCGTGAGCGTGGTGTGCGTGGGCGTGCGTCGCTGTCTGTCGTGCGACCCCGTTTTCCTTTGCTCTCCTCCATTCTCTACCGCCCAATTTCATCTCCCATCAGACTTCGCCCCGGATTATGTTTCTGCGGTACTGGTAGGCGTATCACCCATTCGCTGGTTACGCTGTGTCCTGCTCTGCCCATCACGTTCTTTTCTTCCTTTTTTTCTTCTTCTTTTGGCAAGGAACCCCCCAACACTATTGGCTATTCTTTCTGTAGTAGCCTTTTCTCTCTCGCTTCTCTCTCGCTTCACTCTCGCGACTCGCGACTCTCGACTCTTGACTCGACTTAACCCCCTGTAAAGGGTTCTGGCGCGATTCATCCATCATCGACGTCCCTCAAACACTCCGTGTCCCTCGCTGTTCAGCCTTGATTTTCACCCTCGACCCGCCCTCGCTCGACCAATCCAAAAGGAGGACCGCCTGTTGTCTCTCCCGTATCCGCCCTTTGGCATTCCTCTCGACACCCCTCGACGCCTCTCGCATTGACTCGACGTCCGAACACGAGTCGAACTTCCTATCTGACCAGTTTCTTCTGTCGAATTATTCGTCTTGAACATTCTTAGCGAATCGACAACATAGCCATCCGCCACCATGCGACCAGCCAACTTTCTTCCCCGGCCTGAGCTGCTGCTCTCCAGCCTCGCATCCCTGTCCCTATTCGGATCCGTCGCCTATGCCCAGTCAGACAGCAACAGCGACAGTGCAACGAATTCTGATGCCAGCACCCAGGCCGACTCCAAGACCACCGATAAACAAAACTCATCCAGCGCCAAGGAGTCGACCACAAACAAGGAATCCGCTTCTTCGACTCAGAAGGATGAGCAGACTACCACCACTGAGGATACAAAGTCGACCTCTACGGAGGAGGCGGCCAGTTCCACCACCGGGAACGACTCCACTGCCACCGACCTTGCGACAAAGATTTCCACGATAGCATCTTCCACTGACGCTGCCGTCACTGGCATGCCCACATTGACCAGGGTCACGTCAATTCCCACCTACCCGGCGCCGTCTGTACCACCCACCAGCAACGCCCCTTTCATGCAACACTCCAGTGCTCCCGACGGAACTGTTTTCATTGCAGTGGGTGCCATCCTCGGCGCCTTCGGTATTGCAATTCTACTATGGCGCGTCATTGTCGGAGTCCTTCTCCACCGCTCCGTGGAACGAGCTGCTAAGGCCCAGCACGATGCCAACACCAAGGTTGGCTTTCCCGCTCCTCCTGCGCCCTTCTACAAGTATACCGACAATGGTTCCAATATGTCCATCTCTGCTGGCCGCGGCGTCCGCCGAACCACCCGCGGTCCTATTCTCTCATCAACCCCCAGCGCATCCAACTTGTTCTTCTCGCCCACCGCTGCTGCTTCTGGTAATGCTGCAGGTAACCGGGCTTCGACTTTCCTGCCATCAGGCTTCTATGCGGCTGGCACAAGCTCTCCTGGCGCCAACCCAGACCACTCTATTAGTCTAACCAACCTTCGCCCCGATTCTCGTGGCTACGCGAATCCCTCACGCCACACATTGAACCCGTCCCCTCCCGACTCGCCTGCTTTCAACACCCGACGTGACATGAGCAACACCTCGCTGAACCGACCCCCGAGTCAGCGAGCCCCCAGTGCGTTCCTCGATGACTTGCTAGCCGACGACCCATCAGCACTCCCTCCGCCACAAATGCCCACCTCGAGACATTCGTCATACGGCAACAACTCCCCCGGCCAACAGAACCGGTTCTGAAGTGCAGTTGCATGCCGACGGTGGGCAGTATGCGACCGACTGTTTTCACACCATTGTCCTCGGTCACCAAAATCGGTTTTTGGGAAGGGTTCATCCATTGGTTCAATATACGGCGTCAAGGATCGGCATTTTCAGGGAACGACTTGTGGATACTCTGTGTTTTCTTGTTCTCATCGAGCACATGGGAGTAATATTTTCTTCTTCACCCTAGGGACTTTTTAATGTGCTGGTACCTGGGATTCCAGCGGGGTTTTCTTGTGCAACTTTGTTGTCAGCGGAGGAAGCGGTTCCTCGCGAGGGCAACTTGCTGCGGTCAGCAGTGCCACGACGCTCGTTGTGTTGTATAGCGGCTCTTAGACGAGGAAAGGAGTTGGATCCGACTGGCTGGTGGTCAGGTGCTTGGTCTATCCGTGGAAGGCTTTTTGGTTCGAGTCGTACATACTTATTTATGGCTTAAATATGAGATATTCATTACAAACATTACCAGCCACAGTGATTTACCGCAGCAACGCATCGACTCATGGCAAATGGTGAGGTATGATGAATGTAAGACAGCATATGACACTTAAAGTCAACCCCGAGTTAGCGCAAGCATGGTGTTGGACATGGACGAGCGACCACTGCATGAAAAGGCAGAGGGCTGCTCTTCTCACATTCATAACCACACCACTTCGCCCTTTCGTGTGTAAAAAAATTATGGGGGAATCTGTAGTGTTCACAAGAGAAAGGACTGGTTCAAAAATCGGAGAATAAATGTAAATAAAAAATCCACAATAGAAGGGACATTATAATCAGTAACTGATATAGGATACGTCTTCTGCTCGCAAATAGTAATGAGTGTGCCTTCGAGGAGCAATACTCAAAGGGTATAAGTTCTATTTTTCCCCCCTCCATGTCGACTTTGTTCAATTCTAGATGTTTACCATCATAATTTTGTTGCTGATGTTAATCATGATTGAGATGTTCATCATGATTGACTACCCTCTCCACCATCCAGTCCAGCCAACTCCTCCCTGGCGCCATGGATATCCTCGGCACGGATGCCGCTACGATCACACATGCTCCTGAAAATGCCGCCCTTCTTCCACAGCTCGAGCGGCGTGTCGAGCTCGGCGATGGTACCCGCATCCATAACGCAGATGCGGTCGTACCCGATGATGGTACGCAGCCGATGAGCAATGCATAGCAACGTCTTGCCGCGGAAGCCCGTCGCAATGGTCGCCTGGATCTTGTCGTCGGTTTCCATGTCGACAGATGACGTCGCTTCGTCACAGACGATGATCTGCGAGCCACGCACCAGGGCACGCGCCAGAGCCATGAGCTGGCGCTGGCCGAGGGAGAAGTTGAGACCGTCTTCTTCTACGACGCTGTCGAGGTGGATGCGCGAGGGGTCTTGACGACGCGCCTCACTGGGCGACTCGCTTGCGTCTGGAGAGACGAGATCGGCCTGGCGCAGGGCGGACCACAGTGCCAGGTCAGTGTGCTCCTGGAAGGGATCCAGGTTGCTGCGGACAGTACCGCGGAAGAGCGTCGGATCCTGTGGGATAATGGATAGGCGCGAGCGTAAGTCGTGCAGGCCAAGGGTAGAGATGTCAAGCCCATCGATGGTGATGCGGCCCCCTGAGATCTCGACCAGGCGGAACAGCGTGCTCATGATGGAACTCTTGCCCGCACCAGTACGGCCGACAATACCAATGCGCTCGCCGCCCTGGACGTGCATCGACAGGCCCTGGAGGACAAGCGGGAGGTTTGCCCGGTAGCGCATCTCGACATTGTCAAAGATGATCTCGCCCTTTTCGGGCCAAGATTTGCGCACTTCGACGGTATGCTCAGGGGCCTCCTCCTCGATCTCAGTACCGTAGTAGTAGAGACGCTCGACGGCGTTCATGGCGTTTTCAACTTCGGCGAGTTGACGCACTGAGAACTGCATCATGCCGACAATGGACAGGATGTAACTGAGGACGAGGCCGCCGATGGACGGGTTGATGGAGAAGCGGGATGTGACAACGAGAATAGCGACGGTAAAGACCAACAACACGCCGATAATGTCGATGCGAATAGACAGCCACCGCTGGTTGGCAAACGTGATGTAGTAGGCGCTGTTCATGTCGTCAATGGCCACGCGCAGCTCCTTAATGAAGCGGTCCTGCAGTCCGTACGCGCGGATCGAGGCCACGCCACTTAGGCCCTCACCGAACTTGGCGAAGACGTGGGAGCGGAGGATTGACTCGTAGCGCTTGACCTCGCGGGCGGAGGCGCGGTAGTACGAGGCGGCGAGGACGAAGAGGATGTAGAGCGGGACGAGGGCGATGGCGAAGTAGTAGAAGTAGGCGATGATGAGGATGAAGACGGAGGTGATCATTGCCATAGTGAGAAAGAACATGCGGATGGCATCCGTCAAGTTGTTGTCCATGACATCGACGTCGCGCGAGAAGCGGTTGGTGATGCGGCCCAGGGGCGTCGTGTCGAAGAAGGCCATGGGCGCTCGAAGCACGCGGGTGACAGCTTGCTGGAGCATGTACTTACTCGAGTTGGTGCCGAGGATGGACAGCATCACGGAGAATATGAACATGAGGATAGCCTGGGCGACACCGAGTGACGCGTAGATGCCAATGTACGTGCCTGTCGAGAGGCCGTACTTGTCAGAGGTCCAGTAGGAGAGCCACAGACTCGTCATGATGTTCGCGCCCTGAGAGAGGAGGAGAATGAAGACAACCAGGGGAGCGTTGAGCAGAGATCCCGAGGCGCCGATGTATGCCAAGTAGACTGACCACGGAACGCTGGACTGGGCTCGCTCCTCCTGCTGCATGAGGGCGGCACCCTTCTTATTCTTCTTCTTCTTCTCCTTGTCGTCTTCGGGCTTCACTTCATCGGGCTTCTTTTCATCCTCACTCCTATCCTCCACAGCGGTCGTCTCCATCAGGGCCTGGAAGCCGCGATGCTCGCGCATGAGGTTATTAAAGGTGTCGATGGCCTGGATCTTGCCGCCCTCCATCCAGACAATGCGGTCGCAGCGATTGAGCACCCAAAGCTGATGAGTAGCGAGGATACGGCACTTGTCCTTGAGGAGACCGAGGATGGCGTTGTCGAAGATGTGCCGGCCGACATGGGCATCGACAGCGCTGAGGGGGTCGTCCATGAGGACGATGTCAGCGTCGAAATAGATGGCTCGCGCAATGTTAAGGCGCTGCTTCTGACCGCCTGAGATGGTGATACCGCGCTCGCCAATTTCCGTCTGGTCGCCGTTGGGAAGCATGTCAAGATCGGCTTGGAGGGCACAACTATTAAATGTTAGCTCAATAGATCTAGAGGCTGAAATCAGTTATACTTACGCTCGCACAACCTCCTTGTACCAGCTCTTATTCATACCCTTGCCAAAAGTGATGTTGTTCTGGAGTGTCGTGTTCTGGATCCAAGCGTATTGGGGACAGAAAGCTCGAGAAGCGCCAAACACCACATCGCCGTCGGTCTTTCGCATATCACCAGCGAGGGCAGAGAGGAGAGAACTCTTGCCGCTGCCCACTGAACCGATGACAGCAACCAGTTCGTTCCGTTTCACGCTCATGCTTAGATCATGCAGTTTGAAGGGCTCTCGCTCTTCGACGAGGGTGCTGGCGGTATCTTCAACTGCGGCATCAGCCGCAGGGGGTGCCGCGTGCTTTTCCTTCTTCGACTTCTTTCCCTTGTCTCCAGCTGGCTTTTCGGCCTCAGTGGTCGGTGTCCTTTCCCAAGTGAAGGAGGCATTCTCCAGCCGAATAGCATCCTCGCCCTTCGATTCAATAGTCATCTCTTCAACCATCTCTTCCTCGAGGAGGAATTCTTCAATGCGCTTCAATGAAGACCAGGCGTCAACCACCTGGCCAAGAACGAGGGGAAGCAGGTTCAGAGGGATTCGCAAGCCGTTGAACAAGGCGAGAGACGAGAAGACTTCGGCGGGGGAGAGACCATGGTGGGTCAGGGAGTATGCGATGAACGACAGCATGGATGCGAAGATGGGCAGCGACATGCTCACAGCGTTGAGAGCGTTTCGGATGGCCAGCAGAACCTGGATAGCGTAGATCTCTCTGCCGCGGTAATCACCCAGGCGCTGAAGGAAAGCCTTCTCCCATCCAAAGTACTTGACAAAGCGGACCGACTGCAAAATCTCCTGTGTGAGTGAAACGCGGTCATCAGTGATTTTGTTAATATCTCGACGGCGATGGAAGAGACTGCGGATAGCCTTGGTCAGGAAGGGCATGCCGACAACCAGAAGACCAAAACCAGCAAGGGCGCTGTAGGTGATGTTGACAAGAAGAAGAGCGAGAGTGACAAGGACGAGGACCGGCGAGGTCCAAGTCATGTGGAATAGAGCGGAGGCCTGGTCGATACGGTATGTGTCGACACTCATGAGGTTCACGATTCGGCCATTACCCCAACCGGTACCATCATGGGCATCCGGACTCGGCTTCCCCTTGCCCTTTTTCGAATTCTCCTTGTCAGATGCCTTCTCTTCTTCCGCTCCTGTCTCTGCCGGCATTGTTGGTTTGACACCGCCGGCCTTAGCTCGCCCAGAGATATGCATCGACTTCTCGTAGATGAGCCCAATCAAGACACCTCGGAACTGGCCACCAACCATCATACCTTGGTAGATGAAGTGGTTCGTACCCAAACTCTGGGCCATCTGCATTAGGGTGATACCAATCGCCAGGCCAACACCACGACCGATGTGAGGAGCCGGTCCTCCGGTCCGGTTCGCCTCCCAGGCATCGGCGGCAAACTGGATGAGATATCTCAGGGTGAAGGGGCTGATGACCTGGATGATATTTGTAAAGAGTGCGCAAATGCCGCCGAGCCAAATTCCAAACTTGAAGGTCTCGTGCATTGCCCATAGAAGCGGGTACTTGTCGCCCCTATCGACACGCCTCTTGAACGAAGCCTTGAGGTTAGCGGTCAGTGGTCCAGCGGCCCTATCTGGGTTCACCGTCCAAAGGTCATTTTCTTCCAGCGAACGCCTGTATCCACTCTATTGAGGGTTAGCCAACTTGTTGCAACGAAGACTGCACAGGTAACGGATGGTGATTATGGGTCGCGCATAACAGCCACAAAATGATATGGACAACTTACCGTCATTAGTGGCGCCATCCATTGGAATGTCAGCAGACTGAAGAATCCAGCTTCGTACTCTCTGCTGGTAATCTTCTCCTTGGGAACTGGAGGTGGAGGGCCCCAGCGGAAAGGGTTCAGATTCTTGTGCCATGGCTTCTTTTCAGGAGCCGGGGCCAGTGTTGTGGCATGTGTAGCTGTAGTTGCAGCAGAGGCGGAGGTCCTCGTAACCCTCAATTCGGGGCCTTTATGTTCGTCCTCGTCATCATCGTCTTTAATATGACTGATGTTGTCACCGTCCTTCTCATCGGTCTTCTCGACACGGTCCTCATCTGAGTCGGTTAAGCGGTCCGTGTTAGTGGGTTGGATCGCAGCAGCCTGAACATCAGGCGCGTTTAGTTCCTTTCCCAAAGGGTCTGACATGGCTGGCTTAAGGAAGGAGAGGCTGGTTGTTGCGTCGTGCGAATGAGAACTCGGTCTAGAGCCCCAGCACTACCATTCCGGTGTTAAACCGGGTTCTGCAGCACAAATAGACCAGGACGGGATGTCGCCAAGGGATAGTTTCCCCGGAGGTTTCCCCGGAGGAGCTAGAACGGGGGTTCTTGGCAAGTTCAATATGTATGAGTGGGCAGTGTCTCTATTTCAGGACTGTGTCGGGTGGGCTCTTAGCAGCAAGATGATGTCGTCCTCGCGGAGCTTGGCATTAAGTCTTAATCCTCAGGTCAAGGGGATTGGAAACAATCAAAAGCGGCACCAGAACAGGTGACCGGGTCAAAAAGGAGAACAGGGCTGTGGTTGTAAGGATTGGGTTATGGTTGACCGTGGTGCCACCAGAAGTTATGACCAGAAGAACCCCAGAAGGCAATGGGACGGGGTTCGGAACAGAACAAGGAAAATCGACCGGTATTGTTGAGGGGCGTGTGGGTGTGGGTGGAAGGATTGAGTGGGTGGGTACTGGAGATGCACTTAAACTGAGGAGGCGTCGGATTACAAAGCAGACGACTCTCTGGGACGGTATTCGAGATGCGGGAGGCGGCAACTAGTGAAAGAGTCCGCTGCCGGCCAGGTGGCCAAGCGGAGTTCATAAACTGCAACATGGCGATGGTTGACGAGAGCGGTGATGATGACGAAACGCCAGGGGTGGCGCTGAAGGATATTTTCCCCCGATTAGTCGCAATTTCCCAGTAACCAAGACAGGAAAACAAGACCGCCCATACTGAGAACAAACGAAAGGGCGGGAACCAAAAAGTAGAGAGGTAGAGTGGCAGAATGAGTGAAAGTGCGTGGGAGTCATAAACCCGAGCTGCCGAGCTGCAACCAACCCATCGACATGCCATGCAACGCCAGGCCTCGCAGCACAAGGCAGCAACAGCTCGGACTTCGGACAACCTCGCACTCGGGAGCTATCCAGACCCAGGCCAAAGCCGCTTCCGCCGGTCGGCTGGCTTGCCTCCTGTATCCGCGTAATTCGTAAAGAAGAGCCTGCCAATATTTTTTCCGGGGCACCTAGGGGGAAACAGGCAACTAGGTAAGTTCTGATTAGCCCACATTGGTCTTGGCCGAGGCCGTGTGGAGTGTCTCTGCTCGATAAGGCACACGCCTCCGCGTAATATGGCCAGGGCCATGGTTGGCCGGTTCGGTTCTGTCGACGTGACGTCAAGAGAGATCCAATCGTTTGTGACGAATTTGTGCGGGGGATCTACTTCAACTCTCGCCGGCCCCTCTCCGTTTTGGTGTCCCATTCGGAAGTCGGCCTTGTAACACTTCTCTTTTTTTTCCCCTTGTTATTGCACTATCGTCCCGGCTTCCATGTCGTCGGTTGCAATGACTGCTCGGTGGGTGTCGAGACTCGACACGGTCCAGGTAACACCCAGATCCTTGCATTACACATCTGTCCGAGATCGACCACTACCCGAGTCCCGCTCCGGAGGAAAAGTATAAGCAACCTCATCAACCGTCCGGGAATGAGGAGGCGTTGGTCCAGCCGCCGTTTCTTCGGTCTCTGAATACTCCGACGACCGACTCCAGCTCAACTCAGCTCAGCTGGTTAGCCCGTAATGAAAATACGCCGCTAGGCAATTCGCTGCCGACTCTGCCAGAGCTTTCTGCTGACAGCCCACCTCCCGCCCACTCATCATAAATACGACGGCCGGCATGGGTACAGGGGTTGTTGTGGAAGCGTATGCGACGGCGAAGGTAATTTTCGGTTCGGCTCCGAATCGGCACGTGGAGGCTGTCAGATACTCATCCGTAGACGGAGTTAGTCGGCAAGGACTTAAGAGATTCGGCGGCGTCACGTGCCGGGCCCCGGCTCCCACTTTCCGGCTCCACTCTCACACCCACCGGCCGACAGAGCTTTTGCGCTGAGCTTGCAGGGCCGTATCCCGCCTCTGTCCCACGTCCCATGACCAACAACCAATCGACCAGTGTTGAGTGTTGCCCAATAGCGCATAGCATTGCGCAGCAATTCCTTGCTCGTTCTCCATTGCCTCTTTGAGCACCTTGGCTGTTGCTCTCGGAGACCGGGTGCTGAATTACCTCCGAAGGCCATCCGCATACACCTCGACCCAAAACACCATGGCAGCTATCGACGACATCCCGTCCACCGCCTTGCCTGGCAAGGTCCTGGGCCCGACCTCCAGGTTCGCCCCTGGCGCCGGCACTCACATCTTCGAGGGCAATGTCGTGTCCTCCCTCATGGGTCGCGTTACCATCATCCCGCCAGCCAAGGCTCCCGGCCCCGCCAAGCGTCTGAACAAGATCACCGCTCCGACCGTTGAAGAACTTGCCACCATCTCCGTCTCCCGACATGGTAGCAAGCACGAGATCCTCCCCGACGTCGATAACATCGTCCTTGCGCGCGTCGTGCGCCTCATGCCCCGCCAGGCGATCGTCGTCATCCAGCAGGTCGGCGAGACTGTCTTGCAGACCGAGTGGCAGGGCGTGATTCGTGTGCAGGATGTAAGGGCGACGGAGAAGGACAAGGTCAAGATCTACGAGTCATTCAAGCCCGGCGATATCGTGCGAGCCCAGGTGGTAAGACAGGTTCATTTCTTTGCGAGCCGGATCTCAGCTAACCGGAGTCGTTGTGATTAGATTTCGCTCGGTGACCAGGCCAACTACTATCTCTCTACCGCCTCGAACGAACTCGGAGTCATTATGGCGATAAGCGAGGCTGGAAACGATATGGTCCCCGTGAGTTGGAAGGAATACAAGGACGTGGAGACGGGTATCAGCGAGCCCCGAAAGGTTGCCAAGCCCAGTTGAGCTTGCTGTCCTATCACTATGTCAGTTCCTGGTGGTGTCGCTGGAATGCCACCGTGGGCTAGGCTAAAAGACGTCTCAGAGTAATTTAGCTTGAGACTGGGCTTGGGCAATAGCGCTGATGCCGGTATGCAGTTGGACGACGGTGCTGTTGATGCAGAAAGGGAGCGCTGCAGCATGCCATGTTGTTGCTTTTGAGGCACTGGACACCTCCATTAAAGAGCACACATGATCCATCATGTGGCACTATGATTGCTGACCGGAGACGAATCTCTACCTGGCGCAGTTGTTTTTGCGACTGGGTGGATATTTTCTTCCTGCCGCAGATTGCCCCCAAAAATAGATACAGGAGGTCATCATGGCCAGCCCCAATACCCCGCCAAGAATCCTTGCTCAGGCATCACCACCACCACAAGCGACCAGTTTGCCAAGCTGGCTTTAACTTATATCATAGAGGGAGAGAAGACGGTTACGACTCAATGACCACGTGTGTCGCATAATTACCCTTCAGCGGATCCTGTCTCATGTCGCCAATTCCAGAGATTTTGCTGTGATGCTTAATGTGGGGGGGATCGTTGATACCTAATTCTGTGGCTGCATGGTACTGACTGTACTAAGGTAGGCACCCAGGTGCTAGGGAGTGTACCACTGTACTCTACTGTACATGCTGGCTTGGTCCGTCAATCGTCATCCCCACTAGCGACAAACGCCCGAGGGGCTACTACTTAATACAAGGCGCAGCGACAGGAAACCAAAACTCTCAATGCCAGAAATAGAAGGTAATGGCCAGCTTATACTCGTAGTGCGCATACCATGTATCATCGAATGCCGCGCCTCCCTTAAGCACCTCACATATTCATAACCTGCGGCACGCGCCACCCTGGCTGCGACAGTAACGGGGCGTCGCAAAGCCACCACCCGCCTCGACAGGTCACTGACCTGACCTACCCACTCCCAAAATAAGACGGGCCTCGCCTCGCCGTCGTCATCCATCCCTTTGCTCTTTGTCGACCCCATTTGACCATTTGACCCTCGCAACCACACCGCAAACGCACAACTGTCCATTGCTACGCTGAGAAAGACGACTACGCCCCCTACTCCTCTGTACGGGCTCCCGCCATGTCAACGACAATGGTCATGACCATGGCCACACAGTCGATCCCCGCACAGCCGCCATCGTCCGCATGCTGCCCGAGCTGCGGCTACGACCTCCCTTCGCTCGACCACTCCCATGCCGAACTGCTCGATGCCCAGGCCAAGATCCGCGATTTAGAAGGCCAGGTTCACATCCTCAACCAAAAGGCCACTGCCGCCGTTGACCGCTGGGCCGACTACGAAGATGAGCTCACCAAGCTGCGAGCCCAACTCGCTCAAAACCACCAGCTCGACCCTCAGCAACAACTACAACCACAACCCCCCACGCCAACTACTCCTACGCCAAACCCTCGCGTCTCCTTCCTCCAGTCAGGGACCTCCCGCCTCTCCGCCCTCCTCTCCCCACGCAAGTCCACGCCGGATCTGCGCACCGTCGACACTTCCGCCCGCCCCGGCCACCGCAACACCAGCAACCCGATCCCGCCGCCGTCGCCCTCCACCGAGGACCTGATAGAGGCTCTAACCCGCGAGCAGGGCCTGCGCAAGGAGGCCGAAACCCAGGTTGCCGCCACGAGCCGCGAGGTCGAGGAGCTAAGCGCTGCCCTTTTCGAGCAGGCCAATGAGATGGTGGCTGAGGAACGCCGCGCGCGAGCAAAACTCGAAGAGCGCGTGGGCGAATTGGAGCGCAGGGACACTGAGAAACGCCGTAGGCTGGAAAAATTGGAGGGCGCAATGACCCGTATCGAGAGGGTGCGCCTGTTGCTGGCGGAGGAGGTTGAGATCCAGACCATATACTCGGATGACGAAAGTGAGGGGCACAGAGACGAGCAAGAGCAAGACGACAAAACTATTCACAACAATGATAAGGACGACCAAGACGAAAAGGAGAAACATAATATCAAGGAGTGGGACCACGTCGAGAAGCCGGGCGAACCTACGGTAATGGAAGGGGTGAGGACGTCGAACGGAGCCACGTACAGTGTCGTCTGACACCCGAGGCGTCTCTATGAAGGGACTGATTTCTTGCAACGCCAACTTGTCTTTTGATTTGGGAACTAGCGGGTAATGGATGCATGGTACGGGGACAGGATAGGCTGGTCTACGACACAAAAGCAGGTTGGGTTCCGGGTGGTTTGTATTATATTGGGATATGGTTGGAATTGGTTGGGTTTTCGATGCATGGAAACGGCTCTGGCGCTGGTGTTGGCAACGGCAAAGAAACGACATCACCGCCTCTCAAAAGGCATGAATCATTATGGATTTTACAGGTATTCCCAGTGTCCAGGACGCTTTTTTGGTCTCTTTTGTTTATTCAGGTTGCAATGGATAGAACCGCCCAACGTAATACATGGCTTGCTTTGGTTTTCGTCTAAATAATATCCATCCCGCTTCATGCATGCAAAGCAAAGCACATAGTCGTCCAGTCCTCTTCCCTGATGCACGTATGTAGATAGGCGCTCGCCTTGGCTCACTCGCATAGCCTCGTATTACAGTAGACTTCACCCACCAGCGTCAAGATCCGGTCGACCGTTCAGGGTCCCAGCGGATATATAATGACAAAAGAAACGAACCGAATCCGGACTTCCCAACTCCGACGCCTCAAGCCCCCTTTTTTTGTTGTTTGTGCGGAATATGCCGGCCTTCGTCGCTTAATCATCGAAGCCATTCCAAGACTTCTCGTCGTCTGATCGGCCCTGGCTGCTGCGCTTTGAGGGAGTCTGGTTAACTTCCAGCGCGGCGGCCTTGCGGGGTGGTGAGCCAGAGCCGTCGGGGGAGGCGGACCGCCGTCGCTTCTCGCCCTTGGGAGGAGATCGCGATGGACTACGGTCACGGCTCTTAAAGTCCTTCCCCTTGTTCGGCGATCCGGGGCTCTTAGCCTCGATCTTTATGTGCGGCTTGTCCGAGGCGGGCGCAGGGCTGGCAGGTGAGGTGCCGGGCCATTTACCGGTGGGCTCCCCGTTCCACCTGGCCAGCATGTCGGCGACCTTGGGGCCCCAGACGTTCTCGCCCTTAGCGAGATCCTCAAACTCAAGGCAGTTGGTTCCGCCGACGGTGAAGTCGCTCTGTCGCGAACGGCATAGCTCTGACATGAGAGCGGCCGACTCCAGCTTGGCACCCAGGTCGTGGCAGAAGCTGCGGATGTAGAAACCCGACGTCACCGTGAGTCGCACCTTGACGGCGGGAGGGCCCTCGTCGCTCCAAGGCGGAGGGGTGTCCTTGTCGGGCGCATCTGGAACCAGATTCGTGCCCTTTTCGGAGTAGGTAGGCTTTTCTGGTAGCTTGCCGAGGGCGCCAGACATCAAGACAGGCTTCTTGGCTTTTTGCGATCGCTTCGAGGGCGCATCCTTGATGAGCTCGTCCTGGCGCTGCTCGAACTTGCGCTTAAACGATTCGTGTGCTGCTATCGCCTGGTCCTCCTCCTCCTTCTCCTCCTGGCTGAGCTTCTTGTTGCCGGACTCCTGCTGCTTCTTGACCCTCCAGACTTGCTCAGCCAAGTTCCGCTCGGCAGCTTCTGCCTCCTCTGTAGGCCATCGGAAGTTGTGCTTGCCAGGTTCGTACCACTCGATCATCTCAATGCTCTTGACCTCGACGTTGCGGCCCTCGATCTCACGGGGGATGGGCTTCCCCTCTCGGGCGTACTCGTACAGCGGCTTTCCGTTCATCTTCAGCGCCGAGTAGAGGGGCGGGATCTGGACCTGGGGGCCCTTCATGCTGGCAAGCTCCTTCTCAACCTTTTCACGGGTGATGTGGTCGTACGGTCGCTTGGTCAGGACGCGGCCGACACGATCGTAGGTGTCGGTGCTGGCGCCGAAAAGGACGATTGTCTCGTACGTCTTGGTGCACTCGAGGAACTGGTTAAGCTGCTTGGTCGCAGAGCCGACGCCAAGGATGAGGACGCCGGTGGCGAGAGGATCGAGGGTTCCTCCATGACCGATCTTGACTTGGGAACCCCTCTTGATAGCCTTGCGACGGTTGAATTCTTTGCTGTTCTCTTGCATGCGCCTCGCGATCTCGGCGTCGATGGATGGCTTGAAGAACTGGGAGGGGTTGAAGACCTTCTGGCACTCGCGGATGACCTGAGCAGAGCTGTGGCCACAGGGCTTGTTAATGGCTGTAAATTGGCACGGTGGTCAGTCTATCGAGTCTTCCGAGTCCAAGTCGGTAGCGGGAAAGATGTAGGAATGGGATCAGATTAGGTAGACGCCGACTGACAGACACCGCAAGGTGGGAATCATGACAGACGCAGGAAGCTTCGACGTACCAAAAACGCCGTCCCGGACGAGGTCCGTTGCCATCTTGAGCTTGAAGGGGTATTTCATGCGAGCGACCCGTCGTGATGAAGGAGAAGAAGAAGAAAAAAGACTGGGAGACCGGCCGAGAAACGCGAGGAGGTGGAGCGGGAGCAAAGAACAGCCTCCGCTGAGCGCACTCGCTGGGTGGGCAGGCTCGCAGAAAAAAAAAGTGGCCGCTATTCGCACATGGCGGCGCGTATGGGCACCAAGTACATGCGGATTTCGATTCAGGTTGCGACTGTGGAGGGACGACAGACAATAGAGAGAATTGATGCACTGGGTTTGCTGATTGAAAATGCACTCAGATTGCATAATCCGTTCTGCTATGTTCAAACCTGATCGAGCTCATAAATATCCTTGGATGTCTCCAAAAACGCAGCTCTGGGCTTGGGATTCAGAGTTGCCTGCGAAACGTGCAAGCGGCGCATCAGCCAATGTACTTCCATGTGAGAATCGCAATTCCCACGCGTGCGAGCGCCTCTGCGCCCAGGGCCAAAGGCGGGAGGCTAAAAAAATCACAACGCCATTGTATCGCCCGCCTCTCGGCCCCAGTCATGGCCTTGCAGGTCCACTCGGTGTCCAGAGCGCCCCATTGGCCACTAAACAGACGCCCTGTCACGCCTGCGATGCCACTGAGGCCGGCCTGAACGCAGTGTAGTTATAGGGCATGCTAGCTCCGGCGATGCCCCGCCACTTGCCCTGTGGTCAGTGCCTAGGTGGTGTTGGTCGTCATAGCGAACGCGTGCGAAGCACAACCACCCGAGTCGACTCTCCAACCTTCAACACCTTCAACACCACCACCGTGATTCCGCAAACAGTTCCTTCGAGCACCGACCTGCGCCCAATTACCATTGTCTCAATCTCGCCTTGCCACACTTCCAGCTTCGGATCTACAACCGCCTTGCTCTCTGCGCCGCAGCCTCCCTCCCCCATCCACTCGACCCTTCAGTCCACTCCCACGACTCCCCGATCGTCATACCAATCCCCAAAGCGCCTTGGCAGCTGTCGATGGTCTACCGCAGGCCCCTTCTTTCATCATGACCGGGCGCAGTCGCCGGGCGTCCACGTCCAGCGTCGAGACGGTAGATGAGAACCAGATCCTTTGGCGCCAGGAAACGTCCGTCCTCAAGTCGGTCCCCAAGCTGAGCGACAGTAACAACTGGCCCATATTCGAGCTCCGAGACACCGTTATCCTCAACAAGGACGGCCATACCGTCGAGAATGCGCTGCATGTCGGCACTAGAGGGCCTTTCATCGTCCGTGGGACTCTCATCATCGATGACCCCTCCCAGAAACGGCATCGTGCGCCCACCGCAGTCCCTCGCGCTATGACGCCCCTCTAACTGATATGCGTAGTCATCATGAGAGTCCGACAATCTGTACCTATCGAGGTTCGACAAAGCATATCCTACTCAATAGGCGAGGCAGAAGATGGCCAACCCTTGATCTGGGTTTCTGGCAAGGGCGGCTGGTACGAGATCTTCCCTTCGCCTACCTACCTCCCCATCTACAACAAGATGTGCGAGGCTGCCATACTATACTATCGCATCATGGATATCTATAAGACTCAAAAGCCCAAGAAGCCTAAGAAGGGTAGGCGCCCTGATCCTATGATTGAACTCTCCCAACTATTCCATCAGGTATGTTGCCCCGATGCCCCTCAGATCCCAGCGCTAACCCATTCTCTCAGTACGCCGCCAAGGTTGGCGACGGTTCCACTCTAGATGAAGTCATCGAGCGATGTATGGAGCATGCGCCTTTCTTAATTTCTCAGTTCACTCAAGAAGACCCGGCTGAGTTCGATTGGAGGCCTACTCTGTTCTACAAGTGGTTGACTAACAAGCATGCGGTATGTTGCCTCTCACTTCGTAAATGTGTCTCTGGCCGCTGACCTTGCCTTCACAGGATCTCCTAGCAAAGGCCCACGAGAGACTGGTAAATCCGCCAAAACTCCCCCGATCTCCCTCTACCGAGATCGTTCCTTCTCCAGTCACCTTACCTTCGAGGACTCGCACTGGCTCCTCTGTCCCTGCCGTTATACGCAGCCAACCTCCGCTTCAAGTTGAAGCCAAGACTAGTACTCCTCGGGAACGATCAACAAGGTCACATTCAGCTACTCAAAAAGACGATGAAGCTGTGGTGGAGACGACCCGGCCGCAGCCCGCCAGAGTAAGCTCTGTTGTCGAGACTCCGGATGTTACCCCTGCTGTTGCCAGTCCTGCCGTCACTAGTCCTGCAGTTGGATCACCAGCTCCTGGGACACCAACTCCGTGGGATGACAGCCTGACACCTTTCGAAACCGTTTTGAAAGCGCTCGAGCAAGCGTATACAATACTCGACAAATCCCGCCAGGGAATGACTGTCCTGAGCACCCTCAACAAAATCTACTTTCTCTACAAGTTCCCTAATTATAGAGAGGGCGGAGCAGGGTCCCATAAGATTCCCGTGGAGGAGGTCCTTCAATACAACGCCGAGGAGCTCTTGCAGGCTATTGACGAGCACAAGTACAGCAAGTATGAGATCTACTCATGGCTTCAGGAAGCGACCAAGAGGGAGTTCAAGCCAATTGCCATCAAATCCTCGGACTTCCCATATCGACTCGTCCCTCGTGGAACGCGTCCCCCCCGCGCACCCAAAATCCCAGAACAACCACCAGCTGTCCAATTCGGCGGTGTTGCTTCTCAGGGCCTCGACGACGATGTGTCGAGTACCAATTCTGGACCCTCGTCCCGAGCCGGCAAAGGACCCAGAGAACGCCGGTCTGGAAAGAAGTCAAACCTTCGCCTGGCCACCCGATCGAAAAAGCGGCTTCACTCTGAACTTGATTACGATTCAGAGTCGGAAGAGTCCGGACCGAAGAAGTCTCACTATTTCGATGAAATGGATGCCGCAGGGAACACTAGCGCCCCTGAAGACGAAGATGCCCACCTCTCTGATCAAGAACCGATCAAGATCCTCATCCGAGCCGACAAGATCCCTTCTACTGTTCCTCATGGCCCCCATGGAACCTGGACCTGCGAAGAGGAAGACTGCGGCTATGTCGTCCGTGGCGGCGATGAGGAGGAATGCCAGCAGCGCATCAGGGATCATTTCAAGGTCCATGAACAGCAAGCAAAGATGGTCAGCCTCGCCATGTCTGAGAGCCGTGGTCAACTACCCATCAAGTACGCATACTTTCCCCCTTTTCTCATTCTCGTCGAATTACATTCTCCCCCTCCTCCCCCTTCTACTGCCATTCTTATTCCCACTGCTACTACTACTATCACTACCGCCGTCACGAAACCCCCCTCAGTTCAGGACACATTATCATCAAAACTCACCAGCCACCCGCCCAACTCGACAGTGTCGACACGGCGCAGCTTTCGCTCTCTTGTCGGCCAGTTCCGGAGGCCCCCTCGCCCAGTCTCAGATAGAATTGGCAAACTAACTTTATGAACAGTCATCTCATCGACAAGCTCAAGAGTATGGGCGAAAGGTCCCAGCGTGACGAGCAGATCGAGGCCAATGGCACTGTGCTCCCGCAACACATCAAACGCAACTTGTATGTCTGAGCAGATTCTTCTCCCTGGACTCAACCGAGCCCAATATATTTTCTTCTAGCTTTCGGTACTTCTCACTTGGGAAAATGATACCCTGCACTTTTCTCGGCGTTGTTCGGCATGGATAATTTATGATGAAGTGGGCATAACATTAGCTAAAGCCCGCTGCGGAATGGGTGAATCAACTGGTCTACGGTCTTGGGCATCGGGCATCTAGGAAGGGCCATACGTGTATAGATGAGTGGCTATGAATAGTGTATGAAAGGGATCAATCAATCAATCACCAATCTTCTTCTCATCCAATGTCCCTGAAGACAATTGGGTGAAGTTCGTCGCCTCAACTGGGCGTGTAGAAGCCATCCACTGGGCGCGTTATCGATTTATGAGCAGGTAAACCATCAACATGTGAGATACGGCAGAAGAAACACCGCAAGCTCGTATTCATTTAATTCCTATTTCGAGACCCTTTGGGTTAATCCATTTTCCATTCTACCATACTGTACACCTGATCCTCAACTCACAAACTCAAATCACAAAATCTCAGATGAAGTGTCCTAGTTCTTCTCCTCGACGTCGGCTGTGACCATCTTATCCTTGGCCGCCTCCAAAGCAAACGCCTCCTCAATGGCGCCCATGCGCTTAAACACGCGCAACCAACGCTGTCCCCATCGTCGGATCAAGGCCTCGCGGTCGGTAGATCCGTCGCCCTCTTCCATTAGCTCATCCTTGCTGCCACCGGCCCAGCTGACCAAAGCATCGTTCATAGCGTGGAAAAGGTCCCGGGTGGCCTTGGCCTCCTTGGTCCGAGTCTCTTCGTCGGCGTCCGGGGAGACGAGGAGCTGGCGCGTGCGACCAGTCACTTTGGCGACAGTGTTTGAGACGAGCTCAAAGATGTAAGACTCGGCGAGGGACTCGCCGCCGTCAGTGCCGTTGGCGGGCGTACTAGCAACGAGGGCCCAGTCGACAACAGAGAAGGGTGTGAGGATAGAGTAGTTGAGGAGCTTCTCCACGATGGAGATGGCAACGCCAGGGTGGGCGTGCCAGTAGGCCATGACGGCAGAGATGATCTGGGCTCGGGCAGCCTCGGACGAACTGCCTGCATCGAGGAGTCGGCCCTTGGTGCGGTCAATACAGGCGAGAACGTGGCTCAACGACTTGGAGCCAACCCAGCAAACAGCTGTCATGAAAACATCCGTACTGGCAACCACCGGGTCCAGGGCGAGCTCGGTAGCCTGGGTCTGAATGCTGTCAATGACGGCCTGGAACTCCTCGTCAGGAGCCTTCCGTCGCAGAAGAGCTCCAATTTCTTGGCCCTCCTTAGAAAATGGGGTATCTGTCTCGTGGCTTAGCTTGGTTTGTTTCATCGTATCATGCTCAAAAACAGTTACTTACCAGGGTTGCTAAACTTGAAGTCAGGCACATCCTTCTCCTTCTCCGGCCCGACCAAGGGAAGATAAGGCTCAGGAAGAGTCTTCTGGATTCTCTGTGCAAAACTGAGCCGTACCTCTTTGTCCAAAGCGCCCCGGAGGAACCACTTGCAAGGATGAAGGTCCGGTAGCTGCGTGTCCTCGGCCCACTCAGCCCACTTCCAAGTGAAACCAAAGTTGCTAAGATGGTGGGAGAACCAGTCAAGAAAGCGATAGCTCAGCTCCAGGTCCATCCGGGGGGCGGTTCGATACAGGTATCGAATCGCTCTGCCCAGGCTAGGAGCGATGGCCGCCGGCGCCAACTTGCAGGCCTCTGTCAGGACAGAGTGGTAGTAGACAAGCTTGCACTCGGGGGTGGGCAGCTGGAACAGCTGTGAGAAGACGGTATCAACCGCCACATCCTCGGGCTTCCAGGTAGATCGTCCTTCCGGGATGTTTCGGAGCTCATCGAAAGGAGTAGCGCGCTTGACAAAGGTTCCTTCAGCAAAATAGCAATCAAGGTCCATCAAGTACCGGGCAGTGACGTTTCGGTTGAAGTTCATAATGTTGATAGTGTCGATGAGGCCATCCCTGATCAGAGACGCCGCAACGTTTGTGACCGCAGGGACGGAAGGGACTTCCTGGTCTGAGTAGACAGACAAGTAAATCTCAGGGAACAGCGGACGAGACCCAGCCACAACAGTAGCAGGGATAGCAATTGCCGGGAGGGCGTGCTTCGGGGCATTGGCAAGCTTGTCCTGGGCTTCAATATCCTCCAATGGCATCTGCCAAGGTCGCGGCAGGCATGAAAGCTCCCAGTTGTTGGCGGCCTCGGCTTGCAGTTGCTTCTGGAGGAGCATGCACACGCTGAGAGACACTCCAGGGCTCTCCGTCTTGCCTTCGGGGTGATAGGGGTCGACCAGGGCTTGGAGCGCATGCGGTTCGGACGCGATGATATCGGTCTTGTCCATCAGGTCCGCGGCCTTTTGTTGAAATGTCCCAGGCGCCGAGACCATGATGTAGGGAATGGTAAGGAGAATGATCTTAACGAGCTCCGTTCCGATGGTCTACAATGGTCAGCCTAGTATTCAATCCGCCCTCCCTCGCATGACTTACATCATCAGAGCTAGCCGTCTGGAGGTCGGCGGCGCGACTGAAGAGCTCCTCCAGGACCGGGAACAGACCGTCGCCCTCCATACAAGCTTGCAAACAAGCCAAAAACTTGAGATAGAGCTTCGCGTCCCGCCACTCGCCCTGGCTGATCTTGGATTCGGTCGCCTGGGCCAGCTTTGCCAAGACCTCGTCAATGAGCTCGGGCTTCAGGGTGTTGATGACGAGAAAAACGGCGGCCACGAAAGGGGTCTTCAGGGGTTGCTCCAGAGCCAGCTGCATAGACAGGTCAAGGAAGGTGTTCCGCAGGTTTTCATCCTCGTAGTTGTCGGCCACCATGTGGGCGATCGACTGGACTTCCTCGTTCCATCGTCGCAGGGGAGAGTCCGCAATGCTGAGGAGCTGTCGGCGGACTCGTACTGGCAGGGGCGCGGAGTCTACTCGCCTTCGCTGGTGGCGGCGATCGTAGTGGTCATCGTCATCTGAAAAACGAAATCATGTTAGTACACGACGCGCATCTTCTCCCCAGGAATGACGCTGCAAGGGACAGGCTCACCTCGATATCTCCTCTTGCGGTTGTGGTAGCCGCCCGACTGTCGCCTATCGTAGTCAGCCATAATGCGCGCTTCGGATATCCTGGTGCGATGATGTGTAGAGTCGTCAATGGATGCCCTGCGCAAGCGCACGTCAAGGTTGTCAGGGTCGAGGCTGCGAACCTAGTGAAGCTCGCGAAAAGGTGCCTACCTGCATAAGCTGCAGCGACTCCTCGCTAGCGCGTAGTTGACATGCATGTCTTACTGCCTGAGGCAGAAAGGCAGCAACACGAAAACGGACCACTTCTCTGCCGAGGACCAACACCTCACTGCCGGCCGTAGGACATGGTGTTGCGAATTCACACCATCAAAAACCACTCACAAAGTCGGGTTCTTCAACGTGGCAGTTTCCATAATATAAGATTCATAGGATAGTTTATCAACCCATTCTTGAAACATGCATAAAACTACCTGGTGCGTCAATGTCCCCGTCATTCTTTTTGCCCTTCAAACAGGTGAATAGCCAGACCCGTTCCCATTTTTATCTTTCGTAGACCATTCGACGGGAGTAGAAGCCGAAATCTTTCTTCAGAAAAAGTGCCACAAGACCGTCCATGGCCGACTTCAATTGATAACTTCATCGTGGCATCTCAAACAATATCGGTGCCGGGCTGTATCCTCCACAAGCCAATGCGGGCTGAGCCTTTCACATCTCCAGCGCCTCCAACGTGTCTCAACATGAGAACTTGCAAGCAACCATGGCAATTTCAAAACGCGGTCCAAATGAAGAAGGTAATCTCCATCATTCCCAGGCCTTCCATGGCAGCGACTTGGCTCTCATGAGACGTGAAGAACGAAAAGCACCAGCCATCATCCGTCATGCATCGAAACGTGGTCTAAAAACGTGATTCCCTGTGATATGCATCAATGCGACCCTCCCTCATGGCGGCAAACCTCAAGCACACCAGAAAGTGAGTTCATAGGGAGCACACAAAACGCCCAATCCCCTTCCCTGCCGGGAAAGACTCCAACGCTCCCCAGAACATACAAGTCTTCTCGTCTGGCCGTCGGCGTCCAGCATGCCGTACTTTCTTCAAAGTCCGACGCCGTCAGCTTCGGGACTATATTGCGCCTACCCGTCCCCTGACCCGGCTTGGCTTGGGCCATTGCTTCCATCCACTCACATTCAGCTCAGTGCTGGGAATGGATGGCGCAGGTCTCTTCCAGAGCCGCGGAGAGCCTTAAGGGGGCGGCAGCATGATGCTCAACAACCCCCATCTCGACACGGGCGGTCTCAATCGAGTTTTGCTATCATCTCCTGCTTCGATAAAGGCGTGAAGTGATCAATGTCGAGACCTTGGGACAGGAGAATAGGGCGAATGTGCGCGGGCACCAGCTTGTGGTTCAGGTTCGGTGCAATGGAAAGTTCTGATGTCAGACGTTAGCTTTCCATACATGCATCTCACCATAAAGAGGGGTTTTTCTTACCATGTCGGGTGAAGTCGAACAGAGTGGGCATGTCCCGGAGCTGGCCAGTACCGTGTCTCGAGTCGGGCAGCTTTGTGCTAGGGTCTCGGAGCTCGTCGAAGAAAGGATGGACCATGGCGTCAACAGCAGCCTGCCTCTCCGTGGGAGTGTACTCAAGCAGACGGGCAATGAGGTCGATGGCGTTCGCATCAGCTTTGCGGAAGACCTTGCCGAAGGGGTGGGGCTTGATTTGAGGGAACTTGTGCTCCATGTAGTTGGGGTTCATGGTTCGGATCTGTTCTCGAGTAGGCGTTCCCAAGACCTTGATGATCTCCACTAGTTGGTCGATACCGGACTCGCCAGGGAAGAGCGGTTGACCGAGCATGAGCTCAGCCATAACGCAACCTGTCGACCACACATCTGCATAATCGTTAGCTTGCAAACGGCTGAATGGGAATCACCACTGAATATCCTTACCAATCTTGGTAGTGTAGTTGGTGGCACCGAAAATCAACTCGGGAGCACGGTAGTACCGGGAGCAAATGTATGACACATTGGGCTCGTTCTCCACCAGAATCTTTGCGCTACCGAAATCACAGAGCTTGAGGATGCCACTGTTGGGGTCGAGGAGGAGGTTCTGGGGCTTGATATCTCGATGGCAGATGCCTTGGGAGTGGATGTACGCCAGAGCCCTGAACAGCTGGTAGATGTACAGCTTAACCTCGAGGATCGGCATGGTCGTCTTCATCTTGTTGAAGAATCGGGAGGCACGGTAGACGGTTTCTGGAACGAACTCCTGGACCAAGTTGAGGTAGACTTCATCTTTCTGGGGGATGGTTAGCACGAGTCGGTTGGGTCACTGAGGGGGAGCCTCACGCGTTCACCGTTGGAGTAGTAAAAGGCCTTGAGCTGGACAATGTTGGGGTGTCGGACAATGCGCATTATCTGAAGTTCACGGTTCTACAAGGCTCATTAGACTAAAGGCCGTGGACAACATGTGATGCGATGGAAAATACCTTGAATCTCTTGTCCTGAAGAACACGCTTGATGGCGGCGTCTTCTCCTGAAGGGGACAGTTTGGTCTGGAAGACAACGCCGAAGGAGCCGTTTCCGACAATTTTGCACTGTGTGTATTGAAGATCCCGGGTTTCGCCAGTTACGCCATCTTGGACTTTCTCGCGGATCACCTCTATGCATTGTGTCAGTTCCGCAAGACGACCACGATGGCGGTTTGGGGGAATGGAATGTCATCGACTTACCTCCCATCCTCAGGCTATTGAACGCATTTGGCCGGTGAGCCGACATTGTGGATGCAATGTGGTCCAAATCAAAGCGCGCGCGCTACTGGTGCTGAAGGCAAGGTGCCTGGGTTTTCAACAGGTGAGGGGAAATTGATGTACTGATTGTTGCCGAAGCCGTATTGGGCAACCGAACTGGACCAATGAGGTTTGGATTGAATCGAAGCCGACGGCGCGAGTGAGGGTCTTGGTGTGATGGCCTGTCGAGGCAGAGCTAGACTCGAGCGCAAGACGGTGGCTGCAACAGGCTCAAGTGTCGATGGGCGAGGCGAGGTCTCGGTCGACGGGTTTACACGGCACCGCGTGAGCGAAGTCGTGAATTTATGGGTGTAGTGCCGAGGAGGGAAACTCCAACCCAGAGATGACGGTTGGAGTGTTTTGGCAGGCAGCGTGGACTAGAGGTGGTGAGTCGAGTCGAGGGTAAACGGCGACGCGCAGACAAAGACCTAGGGTATCTGGGGAAACAAAGAGAAAAACGAGGGGGGAATTGGTGGTGTTTTCCGTGGCACGGGACAGGCTGGAGGGGGGGCGGGGCGGAGGGGGAAGGGAGGGGAGGGGAGGGAACGGTGGGCGAGAGAAAGTGGGCAGGGGACGGGGTATAAAAAGATGTTGGCAACGAAAAAAAAAAAAAAAAGACGCCGGGACGGGTCCAAGATGGAGGTACTATTATGTGGTGGTGGTGGCGACGCAGGTGAGGGCCAGGACTCGCGAGGGCGAGGGAGCGGAAGCGGTAGAGGGACAGTGAGAGCAGTGGGAGCAGTGAGAGGGCGAGGGGCGTGTGGCAGGATGCGCTATTCCTCTGCATGCATCAAGCAGCATGAGTTGAGTTTTTTTTTTTTGGCTCGCTCTGGCAGTTTTCCCTGGAAATGTCGGGCAGCGATGCCAGGTACATGCATGCGAGAGGCAGCCGTCGCTGTAGGTCTTGGGTGTCCGTGTCCAGAGTGCAGCACGATGGAGAGACGGAGGAGAGCTCCATAGGACAGAGGCCAAAGACGACGGCGAGCTGGACGAGCTGGGCAAGCTGGGTGAGGGCGGGGGCAGGGCAGGTAGGTGTGTGCTGTAGGAGGTGTGTCATGTACCGGGCACGAAGGCTGGCACCAGGCGGGTCTGGAGGGCGGGGTGCTTGATGGAGCACGCTCGTGACAGCCCAGCGGCAGAGGCGAGCAGGAGGAGGAAGAGCAGGCCGTGATTTGGGGATTGGAATTTAGGTATTAGGGATAGATGAGGGCGAGGGTAGATGGAAAACGATGACCATGGCAAGGTCGGGGCATCTCGAGATGGACAGAGAACAAGAGAGACGGAGAGAGACTCACCGTAGGTAGACTGACGAGGGGCCGGCGACAATGACGACGGTGGTGGTCAGTGGTTGGTGGTGGACTGGTAGTCACGGAGGTGACTTTTTGCAGCCTTGACGCAGCGGCTAGCACGAACGATGGCGGAAGTGATGCCGGGAGGTAGATGACGACCCAGACTGACGGACAAGGGGGAGCCGTACTGAGGGGACGTATGAGGGGACGTAGTAGGGAGGAGTACGTAGTATGTAGAGTACGTAGTCGGTCGAGGCACAGAGACAGACTGCAAGGCAGGGTAGGGTGCTTTCGCTAGGCGTGCGTTGCTGTGCGTGCTTCTGCTGTGCTCTGTTGTGCGTGTTGGAGGCGGCGGCAGTGGTGGTGCAGCGGCAAGCAGGGGGACACACGAAAGCGTGTCTTTTTGGGAGGAGGGGACGGGCCGCAGGCACGGTGAGGCTCTCGCCCTTTGTGAGTTAGGTTGGCTAGGTTTGCGGGACGACGCTGCCAGGCTCCGAGGGCGGCTGAGACGGAGGCGGCGACAGGACACGGAGGACGGTTGGAATCGATGCGGCTGCGGATGCGAATGCGCAGGCAGTGTAGGCTTGGGCCGGGGAGCTGAAGAATCGAGGCCGCAGGTCGGGAGACTGGCCAGCGACAAAGAAACGATGGAGGTGATGGTGGAGGAGGAATGCTTGACGTGCGGCGGAATGAGCTGAGCTGGGCTGGCCCGGCTGGGCTGGACTGTGGACTGGTGGACTGTGTGGGCTTGTGTGGGCTTGACTTGGGTCGGCTGGGGCTCTAGGCTCTAGGCTCTCGGCGCGCCTGGGCTCCTGGGGACTGCTTTGGGCTTGGACTAGAGGCCGCGGAACCTGGGATGACACCCAAAAACAGCGGCGCCAGGCGGTACTGGTTCAAATGGCACCTGGCCCGTGACCAGCGAGTGGCCCTGGACGAGGAGCACGGGGATTGTGATGCGGGGCACTCTTTTTAGTCGACTTGGAGTTACGGCATGGGCATGGATGGCCATGGCCTGTGGATGTGAGCAAGGGCACTGTGGGCATGGTCTGGGTGGGAGACACGGAGCATGGGCATGGGCAGACGTCAATGAGCAACCTAACGCCAAACCGACGACGCTTCTGTTAGCTCCGGCCACTCAGTCGCTGACTGGTATTCAAGCGCAGTTGGAAGTGCTTTGGTGAGGGGTTAAACAACGCAAAATACAACACCAGGTTCTTTTGTCTCAGCGCCATGTAAGGCATGTCTCTGTTCTTGTGTGTTCGTTGGGAACTCGGGCCTACAGCTGATGGCCAGAGAGGGTTGAGAAAAAAAATATTGGCCAACAAGTGAGGCGAACGAGAGACAGGGGGGTACCACGAGAAGGGACGAGAGTGACTAACTGAACTGACAGACTGATTATCTGCCTGGCTGGCTGACTTCAAAATTAGACACGCAAGACCCAACTGCAGTTTACAGAACCAACTCCAACCCCCAATTCATTCAGGTGCCGACTATGTAAGTAACCCATTCGGTCGATATCCAAAGGTGGTGGGGTGTTGGTGATGAAGTGGACGAGGAGGCAAATTGGGAGGGCGCCATGGCGGAGCATCGCCAACTGGATACTGGCCAAAAACACATTTCCGTGAGCCAGCAGGTACCAGCTGCCAGACCAGGTGTCAGACCAGAGACGAGAATCAAGGCAAATTGACGACTGGTAAGCATGTCAGGACCCGCAGCCGCAGGCGTTGGGCTTGCTCATGTGCTCACTTTGAGACGTGCACCTGGCGCTAAAAAACTCCGCAGGCGGAAGTTAAGAGCAGTCAGGCTACGCTCGAGGGACGGTGTACATGGGAAGGTACATTCCATCGTGTACGTACCTGACTTGCCTTTCCCCTCTTGGTCGCTTCCCAAAATACACTTAACTTAGGTTGCCTCCACATGAGGTAGGGGAGGCACGGATACCTCTTGGCCTAGCGAGGTGGTGAGCAGACAGGTCAGCACGCCGTACCTGAGGCCATGTAGGCGAGTCAACGCACCACACTCAATGCGGCGAGAGAACGTGGAAGGAAAGCGACAAGGGATCCGTGCCGTGGCTACCGCTGTCAGTGGGAAAGTCTCACAATCGAGATGCCTTCCACGGCACTACACAAGGCGAAAAAGCAAAACACCATGCCAGGGCCTGCAACAACGGCTTTTCCGACTGGTCCAGCTCAACCCAGCCGTCCTGTGTACTTCTCTCCTGCCGTACTCGTTTCTCGAGACAACCGAGGTGGCTTTTCAGATCTTCCAACGGCAACGACGCCTTTGGTCAGCACCAATACCAAGACACCAAGACACCAAATCACCACCTCTCAATGACCTGCGCCCAACCTACGCCCTGTGCATCGCCCTGCCTCACTACAACCCAAACGCACAGCACATACCCAGGCCTCCCCTAGATCTACCTAGATGGACCCAATGCAACGCCAAACGCTTGTGGGCATGCACTGTGAGCTACCGAGACCGCCGCACGGGAGGTTCGAGTACCGACCCGGACACTCGCTGTAGCACAATGCTCCAACTCCGAGTTGCGTTCGGACTCCATCCTTTGCCAGCCCGAGGCCGAACTGCCGCAGCGCTGGCTTCCTCACCACTACAATCGGATCGAGTACCTGGCGTCGTCGACTCGCCGCGACAGGCCCGGCGAGGGATCTGAGAATCCACCCCCCCCCCCCAGTCCCGTCCCGTCCAACAGGACGTCCGGTGGTTTAGTCCCCGGTGGATACGACCAAGCACCGGCCTGCTGTTGGCCCTGCGCATGCGCGTCCCGTTTCTTTGTCCAGATGCTGCTGGCATCCCTGGCAGCCTCTCACATGCACACTTCGCAGGCCCCACTGGCTTGCCGTCCTGGCTCAGACGCTCATCGCAGATTCTGACACTGACGCGCGCATCAATTTCAACCAGTACAGTACTGCACAGGCCTGGTGTAATTCCGTTTCTGGGGCCTGGAAGGCGATGCCCGGGTATATTCTCTCAACTCACGGGACGACCACGTTCACATGATTATCAAAGGTGGCCCGACGCCTGTCAATTGCAGTGAATGGTCACCTCACCTCACCTCACTTCACCTTACCTCGCCTCACCTCGCCTCACCTCACCTCACCTCACCTCACCTCACTTTACCTCGTTCTCGCCTCGCCTAGCCAGCTTGTCGCCATACCCTGTTCCGTCCAGGGCAAGCCGCCTCCCTCTATTGCATCGTAACACCTTTGATGAAGGCGCTCACGCCAGGCGCGAAAAGCAACCACAGTGAGGTCTATCTTTGATCGGTGCCTTTCAACCTCCGATGGTCCAAGACATCTACCCAATGGTACTTGTGCACATCGGTCGCGACAAACGCGATGCATGCGCAGGGGTCACCCCTTGCCAGCCTAGCTTTTGCCAGCCTCTATCGATCAAAAAACAAGCAGTTACAGGGAACGGCGGTCGTCGACCGGCCACTTGTGGGCAGCCGCCCCTCGCCGGTGAGACTTGTCCGAGGCCACTGGGCTCCTCCGCCCCGGTCGAGTGCCGCACATCTGTCGCCGAAGACAAGATGACGATGAAAATGCTTCGTTCCAGCACATGCACGGCGGGGCCGTAACGGTGAGGCCAGGTGGATCCCTGGTCTCTGGAACTGTCAAGGAACCCGTCTTCGGCCCCGATGGAGCGGTACGACTACGAGGCAATTCGTTGGAGTTTGCAGGCCTCGTGCCCTAACCATACATCCACAGAACAGGACCCTATTTCGGGCACGTTTAAGAGCTACCGCCACGGCCAATCTCATGGGTAGATGGCGATTTTCAGGAGTAAGTGATCAGGTGGTCACCAGATTCGTTGCTACTGCGGATATACCAGGTACGGGTAGGCATTCCCATATGCTTGCCCCCTTGCAATTCAGCCTTTCCCCATGTTGTGCATGACAGGTGCTTTACGGGCGTCAAATAGAGGAGGGGCGATGTCCCCAACACTGGAGTTATGCGTGTGCATTTTTGGGGGCCCAGGTTGCCTGGGACTGACCAGCATGCTTGCCTGTGGCCAATGCTTGGTGGTGGTCGGTCGTTGAGATCCAATCTGCGTTGTGAAAACGAGGGTGGGTACAGGGTAGGCCGTGGCGACGCCAGAGGCGGATTGGCCGTGGTCAGCGGGAGGGGCCTCTACGTCATGATGAGATTGAACGTCATCCTGTGACACATGGCCGATGCTGGTAGCTGGTGTCACAACGACGACGCCTACGAATGTCGATGATGGCGGCAGGGGTGGACGAACTTGATTGAACCCTTCCGACCAAGAGAAACAACGAAAAGGGTGAGGAAGTACGTTGAACCTGGAGTCCGGATGGCGGAATGCGGAGGAATGGATTGTCGTTACTGGCCTGCGACTCCAACTCTCATGTCCATCAGGCTGTCGTGCATCTTGGGCGAAGGGGAAAACGATCCGGAGCCTGGACCAGGGTCGGTCTCCGCACGCCGCTCAGGAGCACATATACCCTTGTCCCTCTCCTCCAATACCAAACCACCCGCCGCAGCGATGGGAGCTGCAGGCCAGTCAGCAGTCCCGGGTGCTCGTTAACGATGGGAGGGAATAACATGGAGGGGCCAACTAACATGGAGGGGGACGAGGCCAGTGGTTGGAGGACTGGAGAGCATCGGGATGGGAGGGTGATGGGGAGTGATGGCCAGAGTGGGTAGGCTTCGTGGAATGCAGGTGGTCTCATGACCCCGTCCCATGCAACGCTAATAGCAATGGCCGATTTTAGGTTCGCAAAGGCACGGCCCATCTGATCAGGAAGCGAAAAAAAAGGGGAGACCCTTTGTTGAGCCGTCCAACCACCAAGGCGAACCGACTGACTAGGGTAACTTTGGGAAGGTAAGGCCAAGTCTAGCGGACGTTGGACGCTAGGAACAGTCTTCACAAGATTCCCACCCATTAAATACGACTACTATCCCGTCGATTTCAATTCGCCTTGACGATTGGTTGACAATTGTTTGTATGGGGGCAATTGGAAACCGGGCCCTCTCACATCTGAGCTCGACCACCCCACTCAACAAGCGTCCCACCAGAGTTGGGGCCTTACACCAAAGGGCGCTGCGGCGTGGCGGACGGCGTTGCGGCGTTGCAGCGGCACGGGGAGAGGAGGGGGAACGCCCAGATCAGATTTCCCTACCAGCCGCTGCGGGTTTGAAAGCTCGGAGTAAGCCCTGGCGCCACTTCAATGCCGGCATGACCAGTGGGGGGATTCTTGGCTCGCTTGAGGAGCTGGTGGCTTGAGAACTCTTGATGCTTGTTGGAGCTATTGGGTCCCAGACACGAGGTCATTGTTTCGGGCTGGCCGTGTCGTCTGAGAAATCCAAAGACCACGTCGGGCACCTGATGACTAATTATGGAATAAGACACACGACTCTCAGTCCGTTCTGCTGGCGGCGACTTATTAGTTGCGGAGGCCTGAGATGAGTCCAATGCCGATTTACGCTACCAACCAACAGCCCAACTTGTCTAACACCGCCCTCGACCCAGACATGGTGATCGGGACTCGGCATTTGACGCAACGTTGTGCATTAACTGCATAATGGTGGAGAATCTAAATCGGGATATCATGGATATGCTTGGAAACAACAATGTGCTTCTGGAGGGAGCATAAGCCAAGGCTCCGCGGACAGAACACCACCTGACATCTTCATTGATACAACACAACGTACCTCGTCCCCCCCTTCACACCTCAAACTCTTCCCCTCATTGCACCAACACAGGGTTTCAAGCCTTGTGGCAACCATTCATTTCTTTCTTCCTATTGGCTGTCCCGGTACGCATCCACTTACGCCTTCCTCGACCCTTCAGACTCTGCTTCCAGTAACAATCGGTACCTCCCACACCAAGTCATGGCCCCCGTCTTACTTTCAGGTACTCTCTCTTTGCCCGGGGTCAGATGGGCAACCTCCAGGTACCGACTTTGCTCGTGGACCACCGCTGTTGGCATCGTCAGCCCATCTCATCGCCTCGAAACACAGCCGCTCGTCCTTTGTTCCGCTTGAGGCTTCGGGTCTCTAAGCTGTGCAAAGCGAGCTCGTGTTCCATGGAACCAGAGAGTATCCAATAATGGATTGTCTACCGTTTCACGGCAAACGACTTGATCATCATTGTAATATCAACCCCACCTTTCTGACGAATCCAGCAACTTACAGGTCTACCTAGCTGACATGTAAGGACAAGATTCGCTTGATGACGCGTGAAGCTTCTCGAAATATGAGGGATGGTGCAAGGGCAAATTGACCACCTCGACTCATGGTGCAGACGTTTGTTACGAGCTCCATGTGTCATTGTGGCCCTTGTGTTGCCATGTTCGGCTGAGCCTGGTTCTGAAGGAGGATGATAGGACGAGGTCTATGGCGTGGACCACATCTGGTCATTTGTTCACGGCTGAGGCTGTGGGCGAGTGCAGGCATGCATGCACGCACGCACCTACCTATGTCGATCAGCCGGGCTTGGGTTATGGTCTTCCTCGAGTCCTAGATGGGCTGGTGATGGTGTCAGTGGTGATGGGTGTGTGCGGCTAGCTGTCCAGTGCCCGCTTGGTCAAGGTTTCTCACCATGGGGCTATCCCCCGTTTCGTCTCCGAAGAGGAGCTCCCCGGCGGCTTTACTCCAGACATTCACCGTGCCCTTTGAAGAAATCTCATACAAGCTCCCAGGATACGGGCCCTCGCTGGGTCGATACTACGGTGCCACAAACCCAATTGAGATCCGTGACACCCCATCACTCTGACACGACTCATTAGCCTGGTTCACCTCAGGATTTCTTGGCCCCCTCGGGCTGGGGATATGTCTTGAGCTTTGGATATTCATCCATTTCAGATTACGGTGCATCGCGGTCTGGGCCCACCCCAATGCGGCGCAATAATGGGCTGCTTTCGCACACCTCGTGCCTTGTGATCATGCTCCATTCACCGGATCAGTCTGCATCGTAGGTTCCGTTGCAGCTCGGGGCCAGATTCCACTCAAAGCACCCATCACGAGGTCAACGGGCATGCCGTTTGGAAACACGACACACCCGCCATCATCATTGTCGACATCACCAGGCCGCATTGGCCCTGCAGCCTGGACCAACGAACCGCAGGTTACTATGCCCATACCCCTGGGACCACGGCAGCATGGTCCCACCTGAGGTGTAGGGTAAGTCGCACCGGGGGGACGACATCACGCCAGCATCACTCTGCGTCCGTACCACAACGACGGATTCCCTTGCAGCTCGAATGCTGTGAGGGCATCGCCGTGCAATTTCCCGACTCGGAGGATCGATGGCATGCTTACTCTTTTGGCCTTTCCCTTCCTGTTTGGTATGATGCCAACCCGCCGGCGCCCGTCGAACACCCAGGATTGCTCACGTAGAGGGACGACTAAACATCCCATGTTGCTTCTCACGGCGACACCCCTGGGATCCTGTAAGGTGACGTGTTGCGGATATCCACTGATGCCTCAACGACGGCCCGAAGAGTTGCCCTCGACAATGTAGCCACGAGGACTCCCAGCATATTGATACACATGTGTTTGGCGATAGAGTTGGGATGGGCCCGCCCCCTCGCGCTTCCCGCCCGGGGATATGGCCTACAAACCCGAGGGGATGCAACCGAACACGATGCTCCATTGATAGCCGCGAAACTATGGCAAGTTCGTCATACGTACTCAATCGGCAGATCACGTGGGGTGCTCGTCCCCAGTCACGGCGAGACTGGCGCATCACTTGCATCTCTTGGCGATGGCCTCGCTTCAAAGAACAATTAGGGAACCTTCATTTTCAAACACCCCTGAATAATTGCCGGTGAATACGGGCCTCACAGGGCGTAGTCCCTGGCCTCCTCCCGGTCGTCCACTCCAGACGCAGTCTTTGCCTGCCCCGAACGCTCTGCCCGCGCGTGCTAGACGGCCATTAACGCTCAACGCAACGATGATTCATGTACAGCATGTTGGTGAAGGAGGGGGGACACGGGCACGTTGGAGGTCCATGCACGTCCCGTTACCCGCCGATCGAAGCGGACAGCAAGGGAACGAAGACTGCAAGGGATAGGAGAGAATGCTGGAGGACTGGCGTGGATCGGCCCGGAGGGAGCAATGGAGCATAGCAGCAGGCCAAGGCGGTTGAGCGCAACTTGGAGTTGAGTCTGTCGACACAGGCCACGTTCAGACCTGGCTCTGTCATATGTCATGATGCTTGCACACCACCATCCACTCCGGAATCTGGCTCTCTCCCCGGAGCTTGTCGTTCCATGCAGCGCGGTGCGGTGCGGTGCGGTGCGATGCGGGCGCGGTTCGGCTTGACTCTTCATCGGTCGGGGCGGCAATAAACCGTGGCTTTCTCTCAATTCGTGCCCTCACTCGTTCCGTCGAAGCAACATTGAAATCAACGCGACCCTGTCTAGCCCGGTTCAGCTCACCCCCCTACCGAGAGAGATCGTCATCTCCGGGACGCCCCTGGTTTTGATCCTGTCCCTAGAGACACATCCTCGTCGCAAGCTCGTTGCCCCGCGATCCTCTCAACGTCGCCGCATTGGAGTCGTAAACACCATAAAACCTGTCCAGAAGATACCACCCTCCCACGTCGCAACGAGAGTCTCTGGCTCTGGCCCAGCACATCAATCGACGACGGCCAGAACCTCGCCTCCCACACGCTCGCTCCCCTGTCCGGGAAACAATACCCTCACGCACCACACACCACTCACGCTCTCACACACACTCACACACACCCGTCGTACATCCGAATCCGCACATGCCCTGTGCCACTCTTCCCCATCCAGCGACCTGCATCAAGCGGGCAATGCTGTACACACGCTTCCTGGCGCGCGCTCCCCAGCCCATCCGAAACCACCGGGCCACACCCCGTTGTTGTATTCCGGTATATCGTAAGCTGGAGCTCGAGCTCCAGGTACAGAGGGAGAGGGTAAGAAACCCCTCCCCGTCAGGCAATTGGTGTACTGGATGAAGAGACCTGCCTGCGCGGGCCCGCTCTCACACACACTGCCTGCCTAGCCGCAGCAGCCCCAACTGCGCGGCAGCGTTGGTTGGACGGCATGTCGTGTCGTGTCGTGCTGCGACTCGGCGCGTGTCTGGCCTCTGGGGCCATTGGAAAGGAGGCCGTGATGCTTAAACCATCTGCGGCGCCTGCGAGAGGCAGTGTCGGAGCTTCTGCACAGTCTGTGTGGGCGGCTGGCTGCATGGCGCTCCGCACTGGGACATGGCAGCTCGCTCCAACTAGTTCACCTCGCATGCCCGCCTGGTCGCTCTCGAACCTGCCGTAGAAAGCCTGCATATTCCCACTTCGAAAAGGGACGTACTGGGACTGGATCGGGTGAGCAGAATTACCGGGAAGGGCTGGGCCGACCAGCCAAGGCGGTTGAGTAGGTTGCCCCTAGAGCTCATGGGTGCATCCTCCTTCTCTCCTACACTGCCGATCTTATGGAACTCGCGCAATTATCGTTGGGGGAGATGCCCGACTGGCTTAGCCTGGTGTATTGAGTATGTTTTGATGAGATATGATTTGGCCTTGTTGGGGATTATCGGTTTCTGACAACGATGACCAAGGCAGGATGGTAGTAGCTGACCGTCCGAGTTTGGTTCGCGAGCTTTGGCAACTTGACTTGTCATATTCCTGCGTGAACTCGAGAGAAACAGTAACCGACTGGTTCACCGGGACGCGAGATGACTAAATCATGTGATCATTCATGGATCATATCTGATATTCGGACTTCTTCCTGTTACCGCATCTCCCCGTTCCGTACCTGTGCATTATCAACATGGCATTTTCCATCTGACCGTGGCCCGTCCAACCTAAGCGAACTCGATAGCCCTATGCGCCGCTCCAGGTTCATGTCCAAGTCCAGGACCAGGCCCAGGCCCAGGTCCAGCAACTCTGGGACCTAGTCCTCATCATCTACCTTGTCCGCAACCATGTCCTTGGCCGTGTTGATGACCTTCTCCGGTGGCCGCCCCACAGGTTCGGCTGGGCTGACGATGCCACTGGCAATTGGGCTCAGCTGGGCGCTCTGGATAGCACTTCCTGGGACAGGGATCTTGATGTCTTGCGGAGAACCGGGAACCATTTTGGGGTCGAGGCCGGGGATGTGGATTCGCTTAGCCTCGTTCTGGTAAGCTGCGGGGATGATCTCGATGATTTCGTCGCGAGGGAACTTGAGTAGCGGAATGTCCATTGTGGAGCAGTGCATGAGGTAGGCGTAGAGAACACGAAGGACAGACTCGTGCGCAATGATCAGGAGGTCCGACTGCTCTCGCTCTAGTTCAAGGATGATGGGCTCGAGGCGGACGGCCAGATCGTGATATGACTAAGAACAATGTCAATATGCCGGGGAAAAAGGAGCACTGAGACTAGGGGACATACCTCCGCACGGGGATAGCGGTGATGGTACGGGTCAAGTTCGTGCTTCTCCACCTCATCAGGGTAGATCTGACGGATCATGCGTTCAGACATCTTCTCGCATACGCCCGGGTTAATCTGGCTCAGCTGTGACCGCTGTCGGATTTTGTATCCCTTCTCTTTGAGGCTGTCGGCCGTCTGAATGGTGCGCAGCCGTGTTGAAGTCCATACGGCGACGGGAGGCAGGGGCACATTTGACCCGCCCCCGGCAATATGTGTCAGTCTCTCCTGCTCGCGATGCTTTAGAAGTGTCTCAGTCATCTTCTCTCCGTACTCCTTGCCTTCCTGTGATAGGGGAGCATCGGCTTTGTACAAATCTTCCTCTGTGGAAGTGCCGGCCCGAGCGAAGAAGGTCTTTCGAGACTTGATGTGAAGGTTCGTGAGGTAGAAGACGATTCGGTGGGAGAGGTAGTTGAAGCTGACGTTGTTGTAAAAGAACTTTGTGCCTGCATTGATCATCTTGATGTAGTTGAGTTCCTTCTCATTCATAGTCTCGAAGACGGGTATCTTCATCTCGATCCGTCTCAGATACAGCATGGCTGCTTCGTCAGGTTCCATGCCGGCAAACTGTCCAAACTATGAGTCTTACGATACCACATCAGGGTTGGGCCGGATACTCACGTCGGGTGAAGATATCTTGACGTTTCTGGCATTCTCTCGCAGGATGCGCTCGTCGTCCACAAACGATTCAATGAACAATGTCTTTGCCGGTGCTTGTCAGTTGGGAACTTGCAGAGCGTGCAGGCAACATGGCTTACCTGGACATCATGCTTTGCAAACTCCTTGGCCAAAGATCGCCGTCCACTTGCTGTCGGGTTGACTGCGTCGTAGATAGCAACCTGGCCGTTATCGTGGTTCAACCAGGAATATATGTCTTCCCGGCACTTCTTGAGGATCTTCTGACGAAGGATCACCGAGGCGGGCGATGCATTGGGAAAGAAGTAGTCTTCAGGGACAGCTCCGCCAGGGCCAACAGTGGCCCTACGGTAGTCTCCTAGGTGAAAGATGCGGGTTTTGACACCTAGCCATTGCAGATAACGTGCCATGGAGACGCAGATGTGACTGTCGTCGTTAGTGTAGCTCGGGTCTCGAGAAGGAAACACATACGTCTTTCCTCTGGCGGGCGGCCCGACCATGGCGATAGCTATCCGACCAGAGTGGAACAGGCGACCTGACATGGTGCTGTATAGCTGGGCAGGGGCCAAATCTTGGCCCTCGGTGACATCGTGGATGCCATCGATGAAGGTTGAGCTTCTGCGGCGGTAGCGGGGTGCGTTGGCCGCAATCTCGGCGGTTCTGTCATTGTCAGCTACACTCACGGTATGGAAGCATTTTTTTATGAGATTCAGGTGCGATCGCTTGGGCGGATTGCGGGACGGCTTTGGTCATCCTCAACGTTATCTGGTTATCAGGTCCTTCTCGTGTTGAGGGATTGATGTGTAAACAACGATTCTCCCATCAACGTAGCCCGGAGGGCCATGTGAGTAAGATTTGTAGCTGACCATCTGGAAGGCTCGAAGTCTAATGCCCGGGGGCGCAGGGAGCAATGGGCTGGAAAAGAACTGGGAAAGAAACACCTACAAGAGAGTATCCATGTCGTTCTGATGATCCCTGCCAACACCAACTTCAGAGGCCGAGCTTGAGTGGGCTGTGACGAGTGGGTGTTATGAAATCAGCCGGAATTGTCGTGGCACACCTTAGGTATATGTTAAGTGAGGGTTGCTGCGTCGAAAACAAGCCCCAGGAATGTTCCTGTTGTTTATCTAAGGCGTTGCCGTGCTCCCGTCATCCGAAGCGATTCACCCTAGAGCCTCACACAGCCTTTTGTCCGACGGGGTAGTTGAAGTCAAGGCCGCCGGCTGGTGGAGGGAGAGGAAATCCTTCCGATGGTGAAGATCTTGGGTCTGGTGAAGGGGTAGACGAAGCGCTGCGAGTTGCGCTTCTGTAGAGATTGAACTGCTCAACCACTTGGATGCTCAACGCCAAGTGAATGTGATGTATGGGACAGGGAAGAGTGAAAGGCGGGCAATGCCGGCGGGGTGGTTCTGTGGCACTAGCCACCCATCCCACCAGCCACTTCTGGACTGGTTGGTTCGCACCTTCGTCACGGGAGAAGGACGGAAGGAGAGCTGAACAGAGCAGCATAAAGTTGTAAAAGGAAGAAAAAACAGCATGATCCAAGGTAAATAGAACAGAGGCTGCACATTTGTACACGAGATCTTTTGCGACGGTGTTGTGGCTATCAGTAGAGTCCGACCAAGTCCCGGTCCAAGTACAAGTACCCAGACACAGAGACGTCATCCACTCCCATGCAGCGTAAATCATCTAAGTGAGCCCCAAAATTCTGGGAAAGCTTGCTAGGGTTGAGGTACCCGCGACCTTGGGAAAGCTACACACGAATACGTTTCGTCTCGCGGCATCGGCATCGCTAACTTATGTACGGACCTAAGTTGCAGATATGGACTGTTTATATCAATGCTATACCTTCTGGAGGCTGTGCCCATTATATGTGAACCGATGGCATATTCAATTGACTCTCACATCATGGGCATTGGTGCTGGTAAGTCGCATGTCAACCTGAGAACAGCTCTGGTAAGACCTGTCGCACAAGTCCCGGAACAGCCAAAGTAGATATTTAAAGGTAGGTACGGAAGTATCTGAGATGCGTGTGTAAAATTGGAGAAAATGACAATAAAACATCAGTGAACAATACATATCTCAAGGGTCCATATATCCCCCAGCTTACCATTGCCGATTACCTCTTTGGCAGCAAACCACATGGTGCCGACCAATACTGCTGCCCGGAATTGTTGAGCTGCTTTGGTTTTGGCTTAACCGCTGAGCCACACGGTGCGGCTAAGCCTCGGCTGCCACTGGCTCGCCCACGCCCATGCGCCACGTTGACGCTCGGAAGATTCGTATCTCCGCTACACAAACTGGGCAGCCCGCCCACAGCGCAAGCATCATTGGTGGCTCGTGCTCCTCACTAGGGAGCTGTCCGGGGGGCCAGATGAAAATTATTCTCCATCTCCATCTTTCCAAGCCATCCGCGCGGGCATCACGTTTCTGGCGTTTACGACAAACGACCCTTTCCGAACGATCGAGGCTGCTTCGATTGCCCGCTAGGCCTTCTCTATTTCCTCGATACTCCGACCTCGCCTCGCTTCCACTTTCCTTTGTTTTCCCTCGTCCATTCCCCGACATATCTCCCGGGTTCAAAGCCACGGCGAACCTCGGTCAATATGGCTTCCACTGCTGCATTGGAGCCCTTCCGGGCCATCCTCTTCTCTAACCCTGTCGCTGCGGTGTTGGGTGATGCCATCAATTCATTCTCAGAGCGGAGGGCGAAGCTCGGCCTGTCCAACCCCGGAACCATTGAGGGGTTGGCTAAGGAAGTCCAGCGCGATGTCTTCCTCAACAACTACATGTTCACCGGCATGCGCGCCGACCTTACCAAGATCTTCAGCATGGCCCCTCTCTTCCAAGTTTCTCACCAGTTCGCTATGGGCGAGCGACTGAATCCCTACACCTTTGCCGCCATGTACGGCACTGGCAAGGTAGCCACCACCCGAAAGCCACCCAACTGATAGAATGCGACACTGACACCGTCTCACAGGTCTTCTGCCAGGGTAACCTCGACAACGAAGGCTCTCTTTCAGGCCGATTTAACTGGCGGTGGTCCGACAAGCTCGTCTCCAAGTCGCAGCTCTCTATCTCCCCCGGGGGCCAGGATATGGCTCAATTTGAGCACGAGTACACAGGCGACGATTTCAGCGCTTCCCTTAAGATGCTCAACCCCTCATACCTCGAGGGCGGTCTCACCGGTATCTTTATCGGCAGCTACCTACAGTCCGTTACCCCTAAGCTCTCCCTCGGTCTTGAGACCCTCTGGCAGCGACCCGCCCTCACCCAGGGCCCAGAGTGCGCCGTCTCATACTCCGCCCGCTACAAGTCCAACGACTGGATCGCCACCGCTCAGCTCCAGGCTGCCATGGGCACCCTGAACACCTCGTTCTGGAGGAGGCTCTCCGACAAGGTCCAGGCTGGTGTTGACCTGAGCCTTGGCCTTGTTCCCTCTCCTGGTGGTTTGATGGGCGGTGGTCTCCAAAAGGAGGGCGTCACCACCATTGGTGCCAAGTACGACTTCCGCATGTCCACTTTCCGTGCCCAGGTCGACTCCAAGGGCAAGCTGAGCTGTGTCCTCGAGAAGCGTGTTGCCCCCCCTGTCATGATGACCTTTGCTGCTGATATCGATCACTTCACTGTTAGTAACCCCTCCTTTGACATGCGCCCCCGCACGAAACTGACCATTTGTCCACAGCACCAAGCCAAGATCGGCCTGGGGGTGTCTATTGAGGCTGCCCCTGAGGAGCTGCAAGATCAACAAGAGGCTCTCACCTCTCAGCCTCCCCCCAACATCCCCTTCTAAGCGGGGGGCGCGACGACCGTCCCAACAACCTAGCGTGACAACAAAATTCCGCTCTCCGCTGGTGGAATAATCTAATTGTAAAACCCGATGTTGAACAGCGCAAAGAAGCCCCGACCTTGGACCTTTTCCCCCTGATGTCTTATTAGTCGTCCTTTCCTATTCCCTGATGATGTTACGGAACCGCTGGAATCATCCTCACCCCCCCTCTCCTCGAGATCTCCACTTGAGATCCATATTGCTGCCATGGCTTCCCTCAAGCCCATCCCGGACTTGGATTCAAGTTGTGGCATCTGTGTACATTACCCGTCCGAGGCCGTATTTCTATTATCCTGGTCTTGGCAAGAAAGAAAGCATGTTTGACATTCGGTGTGGGCACAGCAGGGCAAATTCGGGTCTTCTTTCTCCCACATACGAGGTGATTTTGTTGATGGGATGCATCTATAGGGAGGCTATTGGGAAATAGCCCCTGTCATGTACTGTGTATAAGGAATAGACAAGCTGATGATGCTCTTTGAACACATTGTGCATGTTTTGAGTCGGATGACCTGTGGTGGACTTGAATCTTTTCACTGTTAGGTCAAGCCTGAGCAATGGACTTGAAGTTTAGCCTTTTGGGGGTATGTGGAAGAAGGCAGGCACTATGTATGAGTGGACATGAATTACGAGAATAAACACGCCATTGTCCCAAGCGCCATTTGTGATTTGGGTCCGAGAGACTGTTTCTTGTTGTATATGTATCTTTAATGACTTTAAAACCGCTGTGGCTAACAAGTTGAGATACCACGCTCCGCAAACGCCATGCTAATCTGTCATTTTCCATGTAAATGCGTAATGCCAATAATGCCACCTCCTGATTCCTTGTCCCCATCGCCGTCATCATAGCTGACTGTTTCCCAACAGCGTGGTTCTGTCAACTCCCATTAAGACAAGGGGTGCGTCCCGGACCGCCATCCATACGGTCTGCGTTCTGATTCCGACAACTCCTCTACAAAAGTGTATGAAAACACGAAACAATTGTTTTTTTCTCTTCCTGACCGGTCTCCTGTTTTTCGCCTCCGGTAGTATTGCTGGTTCTGTTGTTTATATGGGTAGGTAATGTTTGGTATTACATGACCGTGCATTCTCGCTCGGGCTGCGAATTGTTTTTATTCTTGTTGATCTTGTCCTTGGACCGGATTCGCTTGTGACTATGCTTATGGGTATGGTGATGATGGACTTGCGGTTGCTCTGGCTCTGGTTGGGTGGGTGAGTCGCCCCCCTCCTTGGATGCGTCAAGAGTCAGGGGTCCTGTCGAGTTGGCTGATGAAGTCCCAAGCCCATTCGTGTCTACCAAAGGCTCCTTGCTTGGTCGCATGAGACCCACGTAGCGAGTCATAGAGAAGCTGATACGATTCTCTCCCGTCTGACTGGTTGGCCGACTCCGGTTCGACTTCGCAAACCGCGATGCTGCTCGGGACAACCTCGAGGCAGTTGATTCCTCACTTGGCGTGACGGCAGGGGAGTGAGAGTTGGGCGTGACGGCGGGAGTTGCCGATGTCGAGTCGGTCCAGTTCACACTTGGGCGACGAGAATCGCCGAGCAATGATCCAAAATGCGAATCCAGTATTTCACCACTTCTCCGGGGTAGCCTCTCGCTATCAGACGACAGCCGGATACTGGGCGGCTTGCTGTGGTGCAGTTGAGAGCTCGCAGCTGTAGGAGTGTTGTCGAAGTAGCCGTCGTCCTGTCCAAGAATTCCGAGCTGGTTGCTGTCAACCCGCGTTGGCGTCGGAGGTAGCTCAATGCTGACTTTGGATTCGTTGTACGACGGCGGTTCCGTCTCAGTATCGTCAACAGAAGGGGCGGTCATTTCGACCATTGGCACGATCTGGTAGAAAAGGAGGTATGGCATCTCGTCCTTCAGGGATTGCTTGATGTCATCCACATATGTGACTCGTTTCTCGATGTGCAGGTCATCAAAGCGAACCCATTGAGCCTCTTCGTAGTCTGGCGGCGGATCAAAGTCATGTCGCCTGTTTTTCGTAAGCAGCTTTGGCGCTACTCTCGAGAAAGCAATGTAATGACCGCTCTGAAGGGAATCCCCGCGATGGCAAATGACGGACTGAAGCACAAGCTTATAGTCACTGAGAGGATTGGGATCTTCTTCGAGCTTAGGGTCGTCACCCATCATAAAATGAGGAAGCCTGAGACTATCGGGAATGTCGATAAAAGTGTTGTGCCTCTTAGGTTGACCAGACTCAGTCATGGCATAACGCTTGAGGCAGATACCCACAACTGGTCTTTGGTCAAAGTTCAATGCAACATCTACATTGCTCTGCGGCTCGTTGCTTGTAAGAGCATGCCATGCTGTGTGATTTCTTAGTTCTTGAATCACGGTTTTACTGGTGATGTTGACTTGACTTACGAATTAACCTGAAGAATTGCCAGGCAGGGATTGTGACCGCCTTCACTACGGTTGAGCCCTTGCGCATAGCCTTCTGCAGCATTGTAGGATTGTCCGGACTGGATGGACGACCTTGCTCGTCCAATAAGACCCGTTGGATGACGCTCGTCGATCTTGCGCGTACGGTTGGTTTGGGTTGGGGAGCCACTAGCCCTGGTTCAGAGCCCACGGCCTTTCCATTCGTTCCTTCATCAGGGGTTTCACTAGGAGTTCCGTTCTCATCGGGTTTGGACTCCTCAGGTTTGGACTCCGTAGATTTCGGCTCCACGGGTTTGGACTCCTCTGGTTTCAACTCCTCGGGCTTTGACTCCTCGGGCTTTGACTCCTCTTCGGGCTTGGACTCCTCTTCGGGCTTTGACTCCTCTTCGGGCTTCGATTCCTCGGGCTTCGACTCTGTGGGTTTTGGCTCTTCGGGCTTCGGTTCTGGGATTGAAAGTTGGAGCACCTTTTCATTGGCGGGCGTTCGCTGTACTGGGGTCAGGGCAATAGGTGATGCCGTGACTGTCGGGGTGGATGATTCTCCCAACTCCTCTGTGATTAGCCGGATTGTATCTCGGTGGACCAACCTTGGGAGGTCGCTGCGGCTCATCTCATGCAAACTGGCCTTCTTGGCCTCCTCGCTGTCCCTTTGGACATCGACCTGAGCATTAAAATACTCCTCTAGACAGTCCTCAAGCTTGATTCCCTTTTCCTCGGGGTCCGGTGGGACAGCGAGATTTAGGAGGCGCTCGTAAACGACCTTGTGATCATCCTTGTCCCTCTTACCCTGATGGAAGAGGTCGACTTGCAGTGACAGGAGCGGCAGCTGGAGAGTTTCGGTGATGAAGGCAAAAGCCTCCGAGGTGTCTTGTTGCTCGAGCATGCGGGCGTCTGACCAACCGGAGTCGGCCAGGGCGTCTTGAATAAGTTTGGTCTGCGCGAGTTAACATGATGTTTGGTTAGGTGTGTATTGGATTCCTGCATTACCAGATCTGTGTGAATCAACTTTCCAGTCCTCAACATATTCACCCACATGCGCAAGAGGGTGACCAGCTTCGAGCGACTGTCCTCCTCTGGGAAGTCGGTTTTGAGCATGCATTCGAAGGCGTCGAGTTTGGAGAACATGGCGAAGAGCAGGGCATCTAAATAGCAAGTGACGTTGCCGCGATTCTCGGCGCCGACCATGTCAATGCTGGGATCGTAGGGCGAGATGATGCCTGCGGCTGCCTTCTGTTCCATATCGATGAATTCGACCGCTTTCTTGGGGTCACCGTCCGCGAACTTGGTGGCCATGATATCATTAATATGATCGGCTGTGACATCCGTAATGTTCAGTGTGTCCAGTCGCTTGAGTACCTCCTCAACCTAGACGTGTCAGAAATGAATGGTTTGATCGTGGGAAGCTGGGGAAATCGTCGTACTTGTGCCGCTGTATCCTTTTCCTTTTCGGCATCGGCTTTGGGGGATTGTTTTGAATTGTCGGTTTTGAACATGGACATGAAAGCGCCACTTGAGAGCGGGCGCGGCTGCAAGAGTGTGACGGTTAGCAAGGCTGCTCGATTGGAGTCTTGTACGGTCCCAGGGAGAGCCCAATGTCCTCAGTACTTTCGGCAGACACAGAACGCCCAGACTGCCATTACATACCTTATTGCTGCTAGGAACCGCTGGGACTGGCCCCGGGGGATTTGACTTGGCTCGCCGGCTGGAGCCATTCTTGTCGCGCAAGCTCAGGAACTTCCTGGGGAACTCCTTCATGATGGAGGTGTATGGCGGGGGGGGAAAGCGAGGGAGAATTAGGGGACGAAGGACGAGCGCTCGCAAGGTTTAGCGAGGTAGAAGCTGTCTGCCAAAATCCTTCATCATCAGAGTCGCATCCGCCAGCGTAGTGTGTTGGGGTCGGGCTTCGATGTGCGCATGCGGTGGTGGATGGTGTCACGATTCAAAGCTCGACGGGGAGGAGAGCAACGTGTTTGTTCGGCGGTCGATGAATATTGGGAGAGGGCGTGGTTCGTGTGTGTACGGGAGAAGAAAGAAAACCGGAAGAAAAGCGAGCCTGATTAGAAGTGAAGGCGAACTCCGGGGCGGGTGAGTTGGATGAAGAAGGCGATGGCGAGGGGGAGCTGAGCTGAAGCTTAGAGCGTTTCCAGTGACGGAACAGCGCCCTGTTGTGGCGGCCAGAAATGGATGGGAGAAAGCCTACTTGCAGGTGTGGCGGGGGCGGGACAGTGGGACTCGGTGGTGCACGGGTGGGCTGCAGGCGCTGGATTGCCTTGGATGGCCCTGTAAGACGGCCTGGACCATCAATCGTGGACTGGACCGCCACCCTATTGGATTGGAGTTGCGCCTGTCGAGTCCCCTGAAGCAGCCGATGTGGCACGCACCTCCAGCACCAACCAGCGGAGGCACAGTACGTAGTACGTGCTTGCGTCGCAGCCACATGCCCCTGTAATACCTGTATCGACACCCTGGCCGTCAGAGTCGTTCGCCGCGGCGTGGGATCCATGGGGGCCACGGGCCAAGGGTGCAACCAAACAACCAAACGGCCGCCTTGCAGGGCTTGCATGGCCAGCGAGCTAACGTCCAACGTGGAAGCTGCTACGCTGCCTGCTTGGCTGAATTTTTCTTTCGCGTTGCCTAGCGATTCAACGTCACTGCACCTAAATTAAGGTGAAGAAAAAGTCCCTAGGTTCGCGGGTGGGTAAGGTAGTGTTGGTGTTAGTGACCTCACGCCCGGCCGTCGCCGTCCGTCGGGTCCCCATGACGCCCGTGCAGCGGCGGTGTATCGGACCCCGAGAGGCCAGGGAGAATCACCCCAGATCTGCAAACCGAAAGCGAATTCGTCGTCCAGTGACTAAGTTACATCAGAAACCTGCGAATGCAGGGCAATTCCTTGACTGGGTAAAAGGAAAAAAAAAAGCAGCCATGATCCACTTGGGCCTGTCCAATGTTCCCCTCGCTCCCCCTCGCTCCCCCTCGTCCCCTCCCACTCCGGCTCGGATTGCCCCTCATCCAATCTTGTCAGGGTCTAATTTACCGCTTGGTCATGTAACCTTGCGGCGACGCCATCTGTCGGGACGTGTGACCCAAGGAAAGCCCACAGGAGATGGGAGGGCCCCTTGTAATCCAGCGAAAGCGCGTATAATACCTGGGCACATGGTGCTGGAGTCTTGTGCCATCTCCTCGAAACAGGCACCGCCAGCAGAAATACAGAAGCCTGCCAGGCAGGCGGTAAGCCTTCGTATAGCACCGCATTCGCATTCACATCCCCAACTCTGTGCCGGGTCGTGCATCGCATCGCTGAGTCGGTAACGGGCCCTGGCGCTTTACCAGCAACCCGCCGACACTACCAGGTGATGCTCGCATTCTCGGCAGCCTGGTTGATGTTACGTACGGACCGCGCAATTCGGGCAGCCTTTACGTCCGAACGTCCACGCAGCCCCATCAGCAGATCGTCTGCCGGTGCGGACTCGCAGTCTCGCGGACTCGCGGACTTGCGGACTCGCGGGACTCATCCGATGAAAACTCATCGCTCCATCAGGCCCTAAAAGGAAACCTAGGGGAGAGAAAAATTCCCGTCCACTCTCCGGTGGGCATCCGCATCACCTGTTGGGACCGACTTTGGCGGGATGTCGCGACAGACGGATTGTCGGACCACGGGCATCCCCGCGTCCAACCGCTTACGGCCTGGCCATTTAGAGTCGTCGATGACGATTGTCCAGTGCCAAGCCACGGAGGGGTCAGCCTAGGATTGCCCAGCCTGACTTGACTTATTTTTACCCAAAGTCTCCGTGCCGCACCGCAGCCCGGGGGTTACCTCCGCCTTCGGGAACCCCATTGGGAGCCTGCAGTTTCTTGTTTCTCGGGTCTGTAGAAAAAGAAAAAAACTCCGGCTCGGGTTAGGATGATAGTAGAGTCCGGTTTGTTTCCCGCCAAACAAATTAACAAACAAACAAGCAACTAAAAGTCATCTGAGTGGTGCCAACTTTTTCAAGGTTACGGGAACCTTTCGGGCCGCATTCCCTCCAATCCAATGAAGATATGGGAGCATGACAAGGCGAGCTGGCCAATGAACCTAAAGATAAGGCACGAGACCAACAATTGTAAGCCAATTGATGAAACTGCCCGATTCGATGCCGAGACAGTGTCTGAGGAAAGTCTTTCGTCCAACGTAGAGTGTCAGAGCCAAGGTCTGTGGTAGACGGCGCACGGCCACACCACTTCAGCCACATGTGGCTCACCAACGCACTAGCCACCTGCGGATTGGAAATTTCCAATTCCACGCGACCACTCCATCTTCGATGAGGAGAGCTCGAATTGCGTGCAATCCAACCCACCCCGACACCATGGCTACTCTCCGAGAAGGCGCTCGAATGGCGGGCGCATTGGGCCGAAGACAGTTTCCCCTGCGGACTGTTCCCTCCTGCGCCAGCCGATTCGCCTCTACACAGGCCGACAAGCCCTCTCCCACCTCCGATGCTCTTGCAGATCTCGACGCTGCCTCGTCGTTTAACACCCCGACTCCGAATGAGAAGGAAATTGAGGCCTTCAATTTAGCTGAGAAGAACAAGACGAGAAACAAGCAGCTACCCGGTAACCGGTAAGTGGTTGGATTCTAGCAGCTCTGTGGTTAAGATTCAGTCGCTAACAGACCCTTCAAAATAGCTACCAGTACCACCCTCCTAAGTACTACCGCGGCCCTCTCCATCCCGTCCAGATGCCTCCGTCCTCCGACCCGACAGCTCGAGATTTCGTCCCTGGTCCATTCAGCTTCCCCCGGTTAAAGCACACATACGACAACACCATCGCCCCGGATCTGATGACTCTGACCTACACACATGTGCCGCCTGGAACTGTGGCACCCGAGTCCAACAAGGGTGTTTTGCGAGAGTGGGATGAGTCGTCGCCCTACCACAAGAACCGACCCCGCCGAGGACCTCGTGGTGGTGGTTCCTCGCGCCTAGGGATACTCGAGCGGGACATCGCTTGGCACAACATCCCCGAAATCGAGGCCGTCACTATCAACTCATATGCGCCCCTCGGTGGCCAGAACAAGGAGTACCTCCATGTTGCGCGCGCTGTCGTCCAGGCCATCAGCGGCGGCTTCCCTGAAGTCACCAAGGTTAAGCACGGTGTCGTGCAGTGGGGTGTCAGGAAGGGTGATAAGGGCGGTGCCAAGGTGACCTTGAAGGGCGGCGCTGCTTACGACTTTGTCGACAAGCTTGTGACTCTGGTCCTGCCCAAGATCAAGGACTGGCCGGGTATCAACGCCTCGACTGGTGACGACGCTGGAAATCTGGCGTTCGGCCTGCAGCCTGCGTGGATGGCGTTTTTCCCCGAAATCGAGTTCAACTACGATGTGAGTACAAGCCGTATTTTTGCTTGGCCACGGATTGTCGTTGTGCATGGATATGAACTAACTGATGATTTTCATAGATGTACCCTGCACGATTGATGCCTGGTTGCGACATCTTCATCAAGACTACTGGAACCTCTGATAGACAGGGACGTCTGTTGATGCAGGCCCTGGGCTTCCCCTTCTATGGCAAGGCCACACACTAAGCCAGTCACATAATGAGCCCTCTCAGGTGTTGGACTGGGAAAAAGGAATCATCTCCAAATGGTTGATATGTAGCATACACCATGTAACAAGATATATGTATCATAAATGGGCATTTCAAAACGAGGAGTTGCTAATCCTCCATACAAAACTTTTCCTTCCCTCCCTCCTACCATCTATATGTGTTCCGGATATCGACGCCCCAACTCCGTCCCAATGCGTTTGTTCATCATGCGTTGCCATTGGCATCTCTTTACGCCTTCTTAATCTTGTCGCGGAGTCCATGGACGACGACGTCCACTGCCTCCATGTCGGTCGCATCAACCTTGCCAGTAGCGTGGCCCTTCTTAGTCAACTCTTCGGCGAAGAGGTCCATGGAGGGCTGGTAGTTGCGGCAAGCAGAGCTGAGCGCATACACGGCCTTGCGGCGCACCTCCTCGTGCTCATCCTCGTGAGTGGCGAGGTGGACTAGCTGGGGCACACCGTGCTCGCCCATGGCCAGCAGACGCTCCTGGGTGCGCTCGTTGTTCTGGACGGCGGTGCCGATGCACCAGGCGGCCATCTTGCGCATCTCGCGCTCATCGTGGCGCAGTTGTTCGAGCAGTGGCGTCCACAGGCTGAGGTTGGCCATGTTGTTGGCGTTGTCGAGGCCCTCGATGAGCTGCTCGAAGTTGTCGAAGGCGATGAGTTTGTCCTCGAGCGAGACCTGCTCTGCATCGGAGGACGTGATGATCTCCATGGACGCCTTCATCAAATCTGCGTCCGAGGGCCCGCCCATGATCGCGGCCATGAGCTCGGGGGTGAGGTCGCTGGTGGGCGGCGCGGCCTGGGGATCGTTTGTCGTGGTTTCCGAGTGTTCGATGCTCCATTTGAGGAGCTCGTTGAGACGCTTGTCATCCATGATGAGTGAGTTTGTTCGTTTGTTGCAGTTCGAGTTAAATGCGCGACTATTATGCTCTATTGGAATAAAAAAAGAGTTGAGTATTCAGCGCCAAGTTGATAAATTCAGAGTTGTCGCGGGGTCAAGCTTTTGGACGTCGACTTGGGAATTTGACGCCTAGTCGTGATGACGGGGATTCGCCCATTCTGGAATCTTCAAGAAGGCTCTAATCCTAAAGTTTACTAGCGGCTCGCACAAGTCTTCACAAGTGGCCACCTGGAAGATTCTACGCTCCGGGCTCTGGCAGCCGGGTTCCATGGTCGATTCTGGCTTTACTTCAACGTCCGTCACAGTCACGGGTAAAAAGCAATCACGGATCTAAGGCTAAGACGAGCCCATGGGCGCATCATAGGCGTTGTCTGGGTATTGCAAGGTGAAGCCAAAATACAACGTGGAGATTTCATCATAGCTCCCCCCGTTCAGAAAAGTGCCCCGCCAAGATGGTGCCCCTCATCGCTGCTTTTGTGAACGGCCAAGACAGATGCGAGAGCGAAAAAAAAAAGGCGACACACTCAACCGGCTCAATTGCTTGTTCACAGCCACTGACGCGCGTCGGCCACTTCCGCAGAGCAACGTGCGAGAGATAATTATAGCAGCTGCCTCTGCCTGGACTGGCCTCTAAGATGGAAGGCAGATGAGTTTGGGAGCTGCAGCTAACAAAGGTTGCCGTAACAAGATCCCGCTGGACGATGCAGCCTGGTGGAATTTTTGCATTTGTGGGAGCACGCCGAGGCTGGCGGTTTCCCACGTCGCCTGTCACTGGCCACCGGCTGGGTGGATTCCCGGGCTGGCTGGGCAGGGGACGACACAAACGAGGTGAAGGGACGGGGGGGGGGAGGCGGCTCTTTCAAGGGGGGCGGATGATTTGTTGGGGTTCCTCACCTCATGAACGGAATTTGAGCCTGTCCCGTAGCTCGCTCCATGGGATCAGCGGCGGAGGCAATGGGAAGAGAGTCATGATGCCAGGTGTAGTTTGGCCACTGGGACGCACAGGCTGAGGTGTCTTACACAACAACTGGGAGCTGGTATGCGCCTAGTTGGATCATACAGCATGTTGGCGGACAACAGATAAGCGGGCGGTGTCCAGCCACGGTGAGGGATGCATCGATCTGGCTGGGAAAAGGAGGCGCGGCGAGGAGAGGTGAGGAGAGGCGAGATAGCAACGCAATCTGGGGCTGTAGCTAGAGCCCTCCATGTCATCATCACCACGGCTTCCCGTCAAATGGAATTGAGGATGCCTGCTTGGCCAGTCGGATGCTGTGGCTTGGACTTCCTGGAGCTGGGAACGCGGCGAGATCCAAGATCCACACACGCGACGCACTTCGCACTTCGGACAGTTTGTCACTGTGCTGGATGTAAGCAACAGACAATCACGGCCGGCTGCCCAAGGCAACTGGGGGCTCCGCGTACTTCGTACCGCCGCCAGACCGTGGTGCGAGCGGTCCAGCGACTCCAGCGTGCCTGGAGATGGAGCTGCCTTAGCTGCCCTGGTGGAGAGGAAGTGGGAACTGGTCCAGTCCCAATCTGCCAAGCATCTGGAGATTGACATTGTCATTTTCCAGCCTCCTCGCCGGCTCGGGAGTGAGCCCCGGTAGGTCCGGCCGTCGTCTTCCTGGGGACCCGGCCTGTGTCTAGGCCATCGGGCAGTCCAGGGGCATGCTGGAAGGCTGTCCGGAGGCCAATCTCATCCGATGATTGCTGTCGACGTCGACCAGAACAGAGCGATAGACGAGCAGCGAGGCCAATCCTACGTAAGCTGTGAAAAGCTCTGACCTGGAACTTTTCTACTTCAGTGCTGGTCCGGTGCGGTAAACGAACGCTGCTGGCTGGCTCGGGAGTGGGTATGTACGTGGTAGGTCGCTGGTGCTATGGGCGATACTCGGTTGCCTGGCACGTAGCTCATGTCTTTCCGTCCCCCTTCCTGGCTGTACCCCATGGCGGAGGGGGATCAGGTAGAAGAATAGAAGCCTCGAGGCTCCAGCATTAAAAAGTTCCCTTGGCGGCTGATGACGACGAGCATGTACTATGTAACAGGATCCCTCCAATTCCGAAGATAAAAGAGGTCAGGCTTCGGGCTCGACGGTGACGGTGACGGTGACCACGAACGATTCGGTGATGCACCACGCAGCTCCCCAGCCCAACCCAGCCCCCAACCACGTCCACCAGCCACTGCCACCACCACCACCACCACCACGAGCCAATCAGTAAAAGCGGCAAGCCGAATCCCTGGTTTCTGCCACCTTTACCTCTTTTCCCAGCTGGTCCAGCGCGCACCGCCCGCTGTCGCCTCGCCCGTTTCCCGCTTTCCCCCCCAAGAAGGTAGGCGGTCTCGCCCCCCCCTCCCCCCTAACCCCCCCTGCTGGTTCCCCTTGCTCCCAGTGGACAGTGGCCACTGTGCCGGCGCGCAGTGTCCACCTCAGCATTTCGGGGCCCGCCCACAACTTTCTTGTGACAGCGTCGCCCAGTGATACTTCCCTCCTTTCCCCCCTCCCCTTCCCCTTCCCCTTCCCCGTCCTCCCATCTTCCTGCTCCATCCATCATCAACCTCTTTCTTCCCACCACCCAGTCGAGTCGCCCTCTCCCGACTCGTCTTCCATCAACCTCATCGCTCTTCTTCGTCTAGCATCTCGTGAGCACCCTCTCCCTCTCCCTTCTCTGCTCTCTGCCCGCCTTTTGCATCTCTTGGAACCTCGCCGCTAAACCCGTTTCTGGACAGCTTTCCACCGTAATCCACAGCCATGGAGGGTACGTCGCATCATGTCGCCGCAATGCCCGGCACATCCAATCCGCCTGGAGCATCGCGAGATGCATCGAGAGACCTTCGCTGACCTGAATCCTCGCTACAGAAGAAGTTGCCGCCCTCGTCATCGACAATGGGTAAGCTCCCCCGCCTGTCTCACCGACCTCCCACCGACCTCCCCCGCCTCCCCCGGCCTGGCTGCGATGGCATCGAATGAGGCCCAACAAAACGGCCTCGATGCTTCAAATTTGCCATTTCGGGGATATCGGGGGTTGCAGGTCTGCATTCGTGACGATATACTGACTTGATGATAGTTCGGGTATGTGCAAGGCCGGTTTCGCCGGTGACGATGCTCCCCGAGCTGTTTTCCGTGAGTACCCCACTTCAATGCCCTCTGCGCCCAAATGCCTGACATTTGGTCACTTGGGCGCACTGCGTCCGCAAACATTCGTACTGACGATCTCAACCAGCTTCCATTGTCGGTCGCCCCCGTCACCATGGGTAAGTCATGATCCCCCCGACTTTTCCCCGCCTTTTCCGCAATCGGGTGGCTTACCAAGCTCCAGTATCATGATCGGTATGGGCCAGAAGGACTCGTATGTTGGTGATGAGGCCCAGTCCAAGCGTGGTATCCTCACCCTCCGATACCCCATTGAGCACGGTGTCGTCACCAACTGGGACGACATGGAGAAGATTTGGCACCACACCTTCTACAACGAGCTCCGTGTTGCTCCCGAGGAGCACCCCGTCCTGCTCACTGAGGCTCCTATCAACCCCAAGTCCAACCGTGAGAAGATGACCCAGATTGTCTTCGAGACCTTCAACGCCCCCGCCTTCTACGTCTCCATCCAGGCCGTTCTGTCTCTGTACGCCTCCGGACGTACCACCGGTATCGTCCTGGACTCCGGTGATGGTGTCACCCACGTTGTCCCCATCTACGAGGGTTTCGCTCTTCCCCACGCCATTGCCCGTGTTGACATGGCTGGCCGTGATCTTACCGACTACCTCATGAAGATCCTGGCTGAGCGTGGCTACACCTTCTCTACCACCGCCGAGCGAGAAATCGTCCGAGACATCAAGGAGAAGCTCTGCTACGTCGCCCTCGACTTCGAGCAGGAGATCCAGACTGCTGCCCAGAGCTCTTCCCTCGAGAAGTCGTACGAGCTTCCCGATGGTCAGGTCATCACCATTGGCAACGAGCGCTTCCGTGCTCCCGAGGCTCTGTTCCAGCCCTCTGTTCTGGGTCTTGAGAGCGGTGGCATCCATGTCACCACTTTCAACTCCATCATGAAGTGCGATGTCGATGTCCGAAAGGATCTGTACGGCAACATTGTCATGGTTTGTTAATTTCTAGCCACAAATTTCGGTCGAGCATTTTTCTAACTTTTCAATAGTCTGGCGGTACCACCATGTACCCTGGTCTCTCCGACCGTATGCAGAAGGAGATCACTGCTCTTGCTCCTTCTTCCATGAAGGTCAAGATCATTGCTCCCCCGGAGCGAAAGTACTCCGTCTGGATCGGTGGTTCCATTCTCGCCTCCCTGTCCACTTTCCAGCAGATGTGGATCTCCAAGCAGGAGTACGACGAGAGCGGTCCCTCGATCGTCCACCGCAAGTGCTTCTAAGGTGTGTAGTCTTTGGTACAACCAATACCGACGACCCAGAACTGACTTTGGCCGACAGCGACCCCACCGACGAACCGAATCCTCCCAACCCTCACGCAACGACGACAAGATCATGGAGGTCGCGAAGGATGCGGAGCCTTGGGTGGTTGGCACGTATCCCAGGCGAGTCTCATATTTACGAAAAGTTTTTGACATGGTCAAGAGGGTGGGCGTTACCCTTTCTCCGAAGAGATGTGATAGCCCCTGTGTTGTAGCCGCATGCGTAATGTGTGCCTAGGGGTAGCATGCCGAGGTTGATCATACAAATACTTTTGCTTTCCAATTAGACTCGTTGAATGGAAAACTGTGATGATAATGATGCCAATTGAGTAGTGCCGGTTTCTGGCTTGACCAGCGGTAGATCCAAAGCCACGATGCGTTTGTAGACAAGACTCGCTTGAAAAGGTCATATTCGGTTTTCTGTAATCTCTACAGGATCCTCTACCTGGCTGTTGGGTACATGCTCTCCAGCCGACTCGCCTTCTAGGACTTGAGATTCAGACGCCCCGGCCTCTGCCGTAGTTCCAGTCGCAGCCGCAGCCTTCTCTTCCTCCATCTTCTTATATTTCCTTCGACTCTTCTTGCTGGCACTTGCGGCCTTCTTCTGCTTGACCTGGCCTACAATAGCAGAACGGCTCTGGTCACCATTATGGAAGTCGTCGATGTACTGAGCAAGCAGCTCACGGGCGTGTTTGCGGTTCTGGTCACGCGAGCGGGTCGCCTGTGACTTGACAACAATGCCGGTGGGGATATGCTTTAGCTGGACGGCCGAATTGGTTTTGTTCTACGTGAGAAGATGCGTGTTAGAGGCAGTAAGATTTAGGAGGTTGAATATGAAGCGGTCCTAGCTGAGATGGGCGGCTAGAAAGGATGGCGTGGGCTTACAATCTTCTGCCCACCGGGGCCGCTGCCCTTGACATATGATTCCTCAATCTCAGACTCCGGCGGTGGCTTGGGTCGAGGCGGGAGAGCTTTCACAAGGACGGACTGGGAGGAGGTAAAGGTGCGGATTGAGCGAGGGGCAGCGGCCGGGGAGGCACTTGGCCTAAGGGCGAAAGATCGGAGGAAGATTCGGAACGTCATGGTAGTTCCATTGCGTAGCCTCGGTGTTTATCTCTAGGAAACCGGCTGTGGGCTAAGAGACTTGCTGTCCGTGATCAGGCGGATACGGGCTGGTGACGGAGGTGGTTCGGACGCAAGGCTGCTAGAATAGACGGCGGGAGTCGCACAAGCCACACACGGCAACGGGCATCGGGGAGTGGAGCACAGCCGCAAAGACCCACCAGCCACAGCCACGAGTAAAGTGGCCGCGGCGCGTGTCCAATCAATAGTGGGACAATTTCGGAGACGGCGGGCATGTGGTCAGGGTGCGAGTCTCCTGGATTTCAACCAAATCGTCATCTTCAACACCAACACCACCGACGACACTTTGCTTGTTTATTTCCGCTGGGGAATTGTGCAGACAAGTACTCACGCTCTCGAATCGATCGAATCGACGTCAAATCCGAAACCAAACCGACAATGTCTGTCTTTGGATCGTTCCGCAGGTGGTTGAGCCTCAAGCAGTACCAGCTCGAGGTGACCTTCAGCGTCTACATGTTCACGCCCTGGGAAAAGTTCTTCTTCAGTAAGCCCTCCCGTCACCTGTCCTGTTTACCCAGTCTAGCACGCATCGCCGTCCTCTGGCCATGCACCCTCATGTTGAATGCAACACGATAAGCTGACCACCATCTCTCTCCACAGGCTCCCTCGTCTTCCTCCTCTTCAGCCTGACCTTCATCGCCGCGTGCCTGTACCTGCCGCACCACATTTCGTTCCTGGTCGACCGCGCGTGGTACTACATCAACGGGGAGCACATTGACGTCGCCGAGGCGGCCCGCGAGGTTGTCCGGGACATGTCCGCCGGCGCGCTATCTGGCACGGGCGTGATGGCGGGAACTGCGACTGCGGCTGCGCAGGAGACTGTTGAGACGGTTCTCAAGGAGCTGTGAGGCGGGGATTTGGTATATGTAATATGGAGAGAAACTCAGAATCTTGCTGAATCGCAGAAGGGGGATGGAGGAGAGGATGTGAACGAGCGTGGAAGGCATGCCGGACTTGTTACTGACGGCGTTCAAGGCTTGGAAATATGGGTAGATCGGCCACATACGGCTTAATGATAATACATGTTATATGGTTTCCATCGACTGCTCGCGAGAACCAACAAGGAGCCGACAATTGCGTAGGTGCTGATGGACTCTTGGAGGCCGCCCAGTGTCGCGTGCCTTGACCCCCTGGCGATCTCCACCAGCCGAGGCCTTGTACTTTCCGGTGGTCTTATGGTATACTACGAGAGATGTCACCTCGCAGATAGTCAATAGTTACAGTCTCATATAAGTATTCTGAGTCGGAAATACCTGAATGGCGTACCTTGTGCTGAGTCTTGGTTGACTCAGTCAGCAGCAGTCACTTCTTGGCCCCTGAGGATCAGCGGGTCAAGGACGGCGTCATGGTCAGCGTGTGCTAATGATTTGCTTCTTACATCCTCGTAAGTGTATGGACCTTGAGCTTAACCTAGCCGTTCCAGTGATGCACCCGACTTGTGAGATTAGCGCACTAAGTTGTGATGGTCTCAAGTCTCGCTTCGTGTTGTCTAGCGCCTCAAACTACACTTAGACCATTGCTGTGGCCTAGTCACATCTTCAACGTATGTCGGCAAATGAGAAGGTAACACCTATTCCTCCTTTGTTCGTGGGAAGAACTAAATCCAAAATGGACTGTGGCAGCATGGGAAACATGAATCTGATGCCCCTTTTCCAGCTTTCATCCCTCGACATTTGTCTTACTGCTCCCGAAGAAGAGGTTGTTCAGGTCTCTTATCATTCTTGCAGGAGTGGCGATCAGTGGGATGAACGTCGAAAAATGCAGTTCAACCTTATCCTGCCCTTAGCGGTGATATGGTGGGCTCGTTGTCGACCGCCGTGGACTCGGACCCCTCCATCTATTTCTCCCATGTGATAAGTCGAGACATAAATCACATCTTCACGTACGAAAAGGACAGCATGACTACACGGCTTGATTTTAGTTCATTGACAATGGATTCAATTTTCATGAGCCCCCAAGGTACCCGTGGCTAAAAGCATACACTCTGAGTGAGGTATCCTCTCCCGCGACTGCAATCTCGTACGCCCGCTCGGCACCCTCTCTTGCTACTGGTCTCCAGGCTAGCTGCAGTACCGCCTTGGGCAAGCAGAAACTGGAATCGATGTGTTAGCCGAGTCTAAAATGAATGAGGAAAGGATATAGACACTTACGCTGCACAAGCGGGCTTCTCTACAACCTCGGAACCATCTTCCTTGACCAAGCACAAGGTGAGTCTTCCAAGCTCTGTACCAACAGCGAGAACGAAGCTGCTGTTGACAGATTGGGATAGAAAGTCGACGGATGTGACCGGCGCACCGCACGGGATAGACGCAGTTTGTGTAAACTGAAGCTTTCCGTCCTCACTAGCCTTGGAAGCCCAGACGCGAACCTGCTTGTCTCGGCCAGCAGTAGCAAATAGGGGTGTAGTGGAGGGTGCCCATGCGGCATCGAGGATCATACGGGTATGGCCCTTGGGATTGACCTGCAGGAGTTTGTAGGCAGCGTCTTCTTCAGGGACCCGTACAAAGACAACCCACTGCCGGTCTCGTCCGACGCTGAGGAGGTACTGGTCGTCCGCGGAAAATCGTAGTCTCGTGGCTGTTAGGGAGTGGGCCGTCAGGGGCGGTCGGAGCTCCGTCCAACGCTCCGTCTCAAAGAGGCGGATGACGGCGTGGTTGGTCGAGCTAGCCTTGCAAGCGCTGGCCACAAGCTTACCGTCGTTGCTCGCTGCGAGACACGAGAGTTCGTAGCCGTGTCCATATAGCTTCTCTGTCTCGGGCCAGAGGGTGTGTCGAGAGAGGGTCTCCTCGTAAGGCGGGTGGTCGAGTTCAAGGTGTGATTTCTTGACTACTGAAGCTGGGTCCATTGCCTCTCGGTCTCGGTCATCAACGGGCTGGATCTCCAGGTCGTCATCCACGGCGTCGATGGCCTTATTTGACAGGCCAAGCACAGGCATATTAGCGGCGTCGGGCATGGATTGGACGTCCACGCCGCCGCCAATACCGGCTAGACGGTTGAGCATCGAGGCCACAGCCTTGGGCTCGCTGAACACCCGCATGAGTTTTTCATCAGCACCGGACACGAACTGGGAATCGCCCAGAGAGTCAATGCAGTTGAGGTCGTAGCCGTGGATCTGGGGCCGGGACATTTCGTGCCACGTCTCCGTTCCTGGGCCCTTCCAACGGGTATGCAACCGGGTCGTCTGATCTGAGCTCGTCGACAGGATATAGTCGCCGTTCTTGGCCCAGGAGATACCAGTGACGGCTCTAGTGTGGCCCGTGATGGCGATGCAGGGTCTCCAAGAGTCCTCAGATGCCAGGTACTGCCACCGTCTCCAGCTCCCTGTACGGCCTAAGCAGGCGACTGAGCTGCCATCGGGAGACCACAAACCCGTCCAAAATCCACCTATACTTCCCGTGGCCGTAGTTGCACCCTTCTCTCTGCTAATTTCTCCGAGTCTAACCATGCTGATCCAGATTCCAGAGCTGGGGTCCGCCTCCCAGATGGCAAGAGAATTATCTGCAGAGGTGGAGAGCAGCTGCAGCTTTCCATCTGCCTGCCTGCACCAGTGGGCACTATAGATCCAATCCTCGTGTCCTAGGAGGAGAGCCTCGAAGGTGACGGAGAAGTCCTTGCCAGCAGTGTTAAGTCGATGAGCCTTGTTGGAGGGGGACTTTCCAGGGAGGTAGGCGTCGCTCAAGGGGTCAGATCCGCTTACTACAAGAGCAGGTAGTTCTTTGCCCTGATGGATTCTCCAGATTCGGACGTACTTATCCTGGCTGGCGGAGGCAAGGAGGACGTCGCTTCCAGGTTGATCCGTCTCCTTGGTGAAGCTGAGGCACCTGATCCAGCCCTCGTGGCCAGAAAGCGTCGCCTGCACCTGGAACTGGATCTTGTCCGCTTTAGCCTCAGCAGTCAGGATCTGGACGATGTCCCGGGTTCCAGCGGAGGCGAGAACGAAGACATCATCCTCGTCACCAAGATAGCTCAGGGATAGGGCAAGGGGGAAGTATTTGGGGGCTGTCTTGAGAGTTTGCTGCAGCTGGAGCTGATCGTTTTCAAAACTCCAGATCTTGATGGAAGCATCGGCCGCACCAGTTGCAATAATCCATTTCGGAGACTCCGCCTTGACTCGCAAGACAGAAATGCAGTTTATGGCACCAACATGCTCAGACGAGGTTTGGAGAGGGGCGAAGTCCTCTCCGTTGTGAGATGTCTTCCAAACGATGATGGTCTTGTCGTCTGAGCCAGTGATTAGGTAGGACGAGGTATCACCGTCGGCCTCAGGGAGAAAAGTCACAGCCTTGACGGTTTCCTTGTGCCCGCCTAGAAGTTTGGTGACTCCCTTTGGCGGATCCGACTAGAGGAAAACAAGGTCAGTCCGTGATGCCTAGCGACCTCGCCCAGCAGGGGCAGCGCCAAAACTCACAGCAGGCCTCCACAGAGCAACGTTGATATCGGCTCCAAAGGCCAAGATGCCGCCGCGACTCCAATCTGCGACGGCCGTCTGCCGGTTCGCGCCCGTCGACAGGTACTCGACCGAAACGGGACTGGCGGCCATGTCGTCAAAATTGCTGCGGACGCCGTAGATGTGAGTCTGAAAATTGTGTCCAACTCGGAAGCTGATTGGCTGCGAGGGCTTGTCGTTGAGATGTGCGTTCAGGGCGCTTATGTCATCGGCCATATCTGCGCTGTGCCACGCTGCTGCCCTTGTAAGTCCTTATTAGTGGCTACCTACCTAGGTCCGCTATGCCTGCACATCGCAATAATCCAACACTGCGGCCTCAAATTGCCGCCTGCTGGGTTTGAGCCATATGCATGGCCACATAGAACTGTGAAAATATGCGCACGGGATTATGCCGAAAGATCAAATTTTTCTCCCATCCGAATGACCGATTCCGAACGTCCCCGAAGGGAGTGTTTGAAGATTGGAAGCCCCCACCGTGGGATCGAGATGCCGGTTGCCATTATGCGAAGTCTCCAACGGGTTGTAGGCCAATTACGTATTGAACACTGGCAAATTTAGATGTAGCTCTTGAATCCGAGGACGGTTGTTTCAGCTTCCCCTTGTAAACGTTCTCCGTTTTGGACCTAGGTCGGGTTCGCCTGGATGATTGTGTTAGTGGACTATTAGTTGTAGATGGCAACCATGATCAACATATCTAATACAAAACAGATTGGCACAGAAAGACGAACTTCGTGAGTACGACATCTAGATCTGAGATTTTCAAAGAGGGAGGCTCGACCAATGCGCTCTTCTATCTTTTGGAGGCAATGGCTATAGCTCTGTCCAAACTGTTCTTGGTGCAGGTCGTTCCCGGACATTGTTGATCGGTAACTTTTCCCTGCTCTCACTCTATGAATGCTTGCAAAGCTCCATATCTGTTGAAATTATCCCTCCTGCCCTCTCCCATTCGTAACCCAGCTTAGACTCATCCAATCCACTACACCTAACGCCTCTGAGTCGTTGTGATGAACCCCCTGCGGAAAGGCGCGGTACCTTGCAACCTCTTGTCAATCATCTTGACTTTTACGAACACCGGTCTCAAATTTCTTGAGGTCAATGCGCTTTCCCCTCAGTGTCATAATGCTATCATCAGAGAAGAGACATTTGTCGAGTTTCAGCTTCAACCGAGTCTCAGTTCCCATCTTGACTTGAGGCGGCGTGTGGGGAGTTTTTTCAACTGAGGTCCCAAATGTGCGAGCGGGCGCCACACATTCTATATTCATCATTTATCCCCCTCGCCATCTTGTTGAGGCTCATCATCATATATATATCCTTAGTCTCGGACGTACTACCCGAATGCTTCAGTCGGCGTATGAAATGCGAACTTCTGCCACCAGACCCTGTCACATTTTCCAGGTAGTGCAAGTCCCCATGTAGTTCGACTTTCCATATAGTCCAAGGCGCTCGCTCTTGAGTCTCGTCCTCCTGGCTGCGGCTACACATCGTGTGGGGAAGAGGGAGAAAGCAGACAAATTGCGGATATCGGCTTCAAGGTGGCTGCAAACTTAGTCAAAGACAAGACACGGCAGACTTTGAGGAGCTGTTGGCGCTCTGGGTGCTTGAGTTGAAGCGTCAGATTGGCCACCATGACATAAGGCCCGAAGTATGGTAGCAGTGGCTTCAAGGATACACAGACTACACGCTTGAAAAGTGATACCGAGTCAATTGTAAAGAAAAGAAAGAGAATGGAAGAAAACAATGAGACAATGTGGAATGAATGAGTCGGTCAGAAATTCGTCACGTTGGTTCCTGAAAGGACGTCGGGAGAATCACAGCCAACGGGCCGTCTTGTACAGTAGCGTAGACTATGTTCAGCAACTTGGAACATTTAAGCGAACGTCTTTAATCGAATACAGTATAAACTTCTTTTCCATACGTCGATGGTTGGTGGCCTTGCTGTTCCATCTTGCCACTGTTGCGAGGCGCTGGACTAGCAACCACTTAGACAAGCTGCGAAACAAATTCACCAACTTGGGAGCCCTTCGGTAGCCATTACCAGGATCGCATCCTCGTCCAAATTGATGCGTTCAGAAAAATAAAAATAAAAGAATGGCGATGCAACTTGTCAACTCTCTAAAACCGCACCCGACCTGATTCGCTCCGTGAAACAGGCCTTGACCATATCGTGAGTCGACAATTCCCGGTCATTAGATTGCTATTATATGGCCTCGGCCGTATTTTACACCGTTGGCTCCGACTTATTCGAGAGCCCAGACAAAATGGCACCGTTGGATTTGGACTGTAGAAAAATGACAGAACTGAAATATTTCGCCGGATGCATCAAGATTGCGTAAAGAAGGGCTTGCTTAGTGTTTGGGTACTAGCCTAGGTTGCGTTTCTGTAACGTAGTTTTCTGTAACGTAGTCTCCTGGATCTTGGCAGAGTATCAGGATGGAATTTACGAGCAGTCATCTCGTCTATGCAGAGGTCTGGATCGCCAGTGCAACCAACAAAGGTTCCATCTAACTACGCCACTTGCCTTAACGGCTATAATGCATCGCTCGGCAATTTGAACCGGGGTTCCGGATCTCTCATGACTTCGCCCTCTTCTCTCTTCTCACGTTTACCCGCACACTCCAAACAATTTTCAATGTCTCCCCCTTCTGGTGTCCATCGGCGGTACTAGGATGCGGGGAGATAGGGGTGAATAGAGCCGAGAATGGAAGCGGCCGGCCTGGAGGTGCGGCTGGATTACTCAAATCAGCTTCTACACAATGGAATTAAACTATATCGTGTTTCAGTAACTGAATCTCCACACATGGATGATGTATGTGATGTTGGGACGGCTCACGTGATCGTTAGGAGCAGCGTCTCTCCCTGGAAAAGGGACCACTCATCCACCAGGCCTGCATCGTCAACTCGTCAAGTGAGCTACCGGATTCGTTTTCTGTTTCCTGACAACCGCCCCGAGCGTGCGTCAAGTTTCATCCCGGCTTGTGCTGCGTGTTTCCGTCGATTCTGTGGCCTCTCCGTTTGCCGTTGCGCGCCGCCGTCCGACGCGGAATAAGCACATTTTGTGGAGTGCGACGCTGAAAAACACCACGGCCCAGATCCGCAACAGCCAACCAAGTCATCCGACAGGAGGCGAATTCGTACGTGTACTTTGTACGGTACGCACGCTACAAACGCAGAGGGCCCAAAAGGGGAAGGACCAGGATATCGGGGATCCTTCGTCGGGCTGCAACTCGGCCGCCGCGCGACAACAATAGCTTCGACCAGCATCACTCAGCTTCAAACACCATCCCGCCCGCAAATCGGACCCAGCGATCTATTCTCGATCCATCCTCGATCCTTCTCGCCATGGCCGACTCCTCTTCCTCCGCCGGTGCGCCCGCCCACGCCACCAGCCCCCAACTCTCCCTCACCGTCGAGTTCTCGTGAGTCCTGCGTCTCCCTCTCATCTCGCCGTTTTGTGAGCTGTCATGCTCGCTTCACTTGGCGCGAATCCACGCCCCTCGGCCTTCAGCACCCCCGGTGTAGGCTCCTGTCCTTTTGTGATGACGGGCCAGCCGACCTCTGTGATCCACGCCTCGCGCTTGACGCTTCACCTTGCTTCAAAGCCTGTTCCCTGGCGCTGAGGCGAATGATGATGCTGATGCTAGCCCTGCAAACCTTCCCCCTTCTTACCCACCCACTCCCTGGCAGGTGATTTTCTTCTTCTGCCTCGTTGCTTTTTCCTCATCTGGTTTCGGGGTGTTTCTGTTCCCAGGCTGACCATGCGGGCTCGCCTTCCAGTGGAGGCCTCGAGATGCTCTTCTCTCATCAGCGCAGCCATACCCTAACCATCCCCGCCGCCGACAAGGATGGCCGGGCTTCCACCATCGCCTATCTCATCGACTATCTGTGTGACCATGTCATGGACGATAGTCGCAAGGACCTATTCGTCCTGGACAACCATCTGTATGTCTTGGCCCCCCTTCACCCCCCCCCCCCTCCCTGCTACTTGCGACCTGCGACCCGTGACCCTGTGATCTACTCCCAAGCCTCTGATTCATTCTACATGCTATGCAATGCCTCATCCTGCCTCGCTTGCTTCACTCACTACACCCACTCCCCTGTATCTCACCTGCAAGTACCTGCATCGACTTCTGTCATTCTGCTCTGGGATATTACGGAAACCCCCCCCTCCCCTCCCCTTCACCCTGTCTCTCGCACACTCCCTCCTACATGTATTGTAGTTCTGTGGCTGACGAGGTGGCAACAGCCGCCCAGGTATCCTGGTTCTGATAAACGACGCCGACTGGGAGCTCGAGGGCGAGGAGGCTTACGAGGTCCAGAGCGGTGACAGTATCCTGTTTGTCTCAACTCTGCACGGAGGCTAGGCCCTCATGACGCCGCACCACCACTCGGGTCGGCCAGTTGTCGGCCTCTCCTGAAGATTCAGGTGCAGTTTTCCTGTTTCCCTTGCATGAAGCTGTTAAGCGGATGGGAAATGAAGATAATCTTGGCCAGCTGGACCACACAGTCTTCAGCTAGGCATGGCTCGTCCGAGGCACGAATCAACCCAGTTTCGCGCAAAAACCTCCACAGGCCTAAGTCAACGTATTCGTTCTCATCGCGACCGCCTAAAAGTGATACTGCCTCTAGTCTCTTTTACTCTTCTCCTGCGCTCTTACATCGCGCTCCGCTATCCAGATGAAACGGCATCGTCAAGAAGTAGTCTCTGCTTCAGCCAGCCCTGCAGCCATGTTTGCTTCGAGCCACACTACCGTACTGTGCAGCAAGTACACTTAAAGTGGCAGGCGCCAATTCTGGCCCAGGCCGATTACATCCCGCAGAACCCCATCTCGCAGATGCGCTGTGGGGGTAACCTGTCGCCAGCCCAGCCTGCATGAGATGGCTTGCGTCGTTGTCCCCAGTACTGGGAAACTCCGGTCTGGAGAAGTGCGTCAAATCTATCGCTTGTCAACGGCGGTGAGCATGCGGCGAGCGCTGCAGACGGGATGAGACATACATATATATGTCCGCCATTGTAACCCCAAACCCCCCAAGTTGCAGCTCGGAGCCGATCCGCGATGCCTTCTGCATCCATTCTTCACCATCTTTCAAAGCGGTGAACCTAAGGGGTTCCAGCCACATCTCCGGAAACAGATAGATGCAGCTGTCTTCCCACGTCTGACAGCGGCCCGTCTCACCGTCTAGAAAACTCTTTAGAGGTGTCTCACAGGCACAGCACGGTAGTTGTGGCATGGATCAATCCCACGATAAGCCATTCAGGACATCTCCACGTCACACATCTTGCTTGCAAATCAACTGCCTCTCCCCCTCAGCCTTCTCCTTACCGCCCTCCAGCGTTGCTGCTCTCCGTGTTGATGCCCGACTACGTAGGCACGTGCTAGACATTGCCCAACACTTCCCTGATACGAGCTCCCTCTCCCCCAGCGCATACAGTCTCAACGCCGGCGTTGTTTTCCCAAGCTCCTCCGCAGCAACACGAATGACATGCCCTAGCTCATCCCATCATCGGTAGGTACAAGAACTGTTCTCTCCTGTCGCTCATGCGGGGACTGCATGGCATTTCCCTGAAATCTGGTGCGGCATTTCTTTTTCCTTCTTGTCCGGTGTCCAAAACCATGCGCCAATCTAAGTGATTAATCCTTCTCACACAGAGTCTCGGCCCAATCCGCTCGGTGCGTAGCAGGTGGCCACATGGTCCTACCTAGTTTTCAAGTTAGGGCTCAGCAAGCGCGTTGGGCAAAACCGGCCCCCCGTAGAGTTGAGTGGTTGGAGGAGCTCCACGCCGCACACCCAGAATCCAGATTTCGAGGATCATGCATTCACTGGCTGGGTCGGACGGGGAGAGGATGTCTTGTCCAAGAAAAACAAGTACTTGTTCAATTCCAAAAGCAGTCTACTTCGCTGATTACAGCGAGAATCCAGTGTCTGCAAGAGCGAAGATGCTTCGCCTTGCCACCTCCTATCCCGCCATCCAGATGCACCGTCCCTTGAGTCTAGAAACTTCAATTCCATGCACCGATGCTCCTGGAGGTCTAATAACCTCGTGATGCAATGCAATCCCCCCACCGGCTTGGATAACACCATTTCGCTGTACGCACACTAAAATCAAACCAAACAAAAACGTAGCTGAAAACCAAAGGATCTCTCGCCGTTGGGACCGCTTTTCCCAAGTGCTGAAGTCCAGACCAATTAGTCCATGGACAGGTCCACAGATGGGGCCACAAATCAAGCCGCCCCTCCAGTTCCCCTTGCGTCCGCCCAGGCTAACCGTCAAACGCTCCAACCCAAGTACCATTGATTAGAGAGAAAAGACAGAACAAACCTCCGCTTTTGTACAGATAAGAGAAATAGCTCAAAAAGAAAGTTGAGGAAAACGAGCATAGGAATGTTTGGTATCAAGTCGGCAATCTGGGGTTAGAAAGCCCCAATGGGACAACACCCATGTGCAAGAATATTCAGACAACCGACCTCGAAAGCAAACACTTTCGTACCGAGGGGAACAAAGAATAAAGAAAAAAAAGAAAACACCATCCATTTGCTGGCTTTCGGCCAAGCTTTCCAGTTTCGACTCCGTTGACATCCCCCTGTCGTTCTTTTATTTTCCTCGTGTTGCTAATTGCAACAAGAACACACCGCCGACCCCAATTGTTGACACGCCGAAAGGGAAAAGAAGAAAAGTCATGCTAATTGCCTCCCTTGTTGGTGCTGTTTGGTCCTTTGGATACCGGATTCTCCAATTAATCCAGGTTGCTTTTTTGGTATTGTGCCTCTTCCTGCGAAGGCAGTAGGCCCTCGGAAAAGACCGAAGTAGTTCGTGATTATCGTCATGTCGTCGTTGAATTGATCTGCTCAGTACATGCGCTCGGCGAAGGTCATCTCTCGGGTGTGATCGTCCTCGTAAAGCATGCCGCCAGCGTTAGGTGTCTGGACGGAGTGATGGTCTCCGTCCATCTCAAACATCTCGTAGCCACCGGCATTTGGCTCCCGGTGCATGTTATTCATCATGTTGGGGTGGCCACGGCTCATGCTGTAGGCTGCAAGGCTTCCTGGGTGAGTCAAGCCATGGTGCTGCTGGTGATGAACCTGCTGCAGTGGAGGGATCTGAGGGAGAGGATATTGAGCGGTGACGGCAGTGGCGGCAGTGGCGGGTGGGGATTGGGGAGCGGCCTTGCTCTTGCGGTCAGCGACAGTGCGAGCCTTCCCACGTCCCTTAATTCCCTTGTTGCTGTTCTTGTAGTGGGTGGCAAAGTATTCGAACAACTCAAGGTCTGCCTCGGGAACATCCTCGCCTGAGGCGAGGACCTCGGCAAACCTGGTCGTGAGAATCTTGAGAGTCTTCTTGTGGAAGTTGTTCTGGTGTGTCTGCGACTGCGTTAGCATCTCGTAGCTGCTGCAGAAGCCGAATTATGTACCTTCATGTTGCCTAGCTGCGAAAAGGTCTTGTTGCATTCATCCAGCCTGCAGATGAATGGCTTGAGGCCTTGGTGGGTTTGCTCATGGGCTCGAACATTGCCCCGTTGGGCAAATCGTCGACCACACTTATCGCAAGAGTATGGTCGCTCACCAGTGTGACGACGCCTGTGAGTCTGGTAATTCACTCCAGTCAGTCTTATTCTACTGTTATAAATACACTGCGACATACCTTCAGGTTTCCAAGCTGGGAGAAGGTGAGCATGCATCCTGGGAAGTCACACGACTGCGTTTATTAGCAACGAGAAACTTGCAATCCGAATTGCTAACTTACGTAGGGCTTGTCTCCAGTGTGGGTTCGGCGGTGGATGTCCAGGTGGGTCTTTTGTGTGAAACTCTTCTTGCAGTTGGGACCGTCGCAAACGTATCGCCTCTTGGATACCTTGGTGTCGCTTGGGGTGGGAGTGGCCTGGTCGATTGGTGCCTCAGAGGCAGGTGACATTCCGGGAGTGAGAGGTTGTCGAGGGGTCTCGCCCTGCTTGTCCGCCCTCATCTGGATGGCCTTCATCAACTCGTCGACTTCAGTCTCAAAGCTGACATGGTCTTCAGGGTTGATGGTCTCGTTGGAGGTGATAGTCTTGGGGAAAACGGACTGGGCCGAGCCAGTAGATCGTGCGATGGAGACCTGTGAATCGCTCCGAGCCGGGGAAGGTGCCTGTTCGCCGTATGGGTAGTGCTTCGTCTCCCGAGCGTAGGAGAGAGTTCGGCCGTTGTCGCTGTCAGGTCCCATACCTCGACGCTCGTGGTATTCCGGCTTGAATGGCGGAGACTGGTGAGGAGGAGTAGGCGGGCCATGGTAGCCTCCAAACTGGTATGGGCTTTGGGCCTGGTAGTGAGGCGTTGTGAGGCTGTTCATGGGGGCAGAGCTGTATGGGTTGGCAACCATGTACGGGGGAGCCATGATAGGTCGCTGTAGAGGCCCAGAAGGGTTCGTTCGAGAGTCAAATGGCAGCATCGATGGGGATTCCATCATAGCATAGTCACCATGGAGCTGCTGAGGCCAGCGCCCCCAGTTGGGGGGGCCGGCGGGATGAGCTGTGAGAGCCAGTTTGGCGGTTCGAGTCAGCCTTGCTTCGAAAGCAAGACTGATTGGTGTTGGTGCTGGTGAAAGGATGCTTTCCCGGTGGGAGGACGCAAGTAGCAGTTCCTGTGCAAGTGTAGAAGCGTTCGTGATCGTTGAGTGGAGGGGACTCTGAAGAGCTATAACGATTGAAGTGAAACCACGGGGTGAAGAGGTTAAATCAAAGCAAAGGGACACGGGGATATATGTATGTGAAAGGAGAGACGATGTCGTGAGGTGTCTGGGTGTAGTGGCTGACGAGGTTTTGTGTGAGACGAGGATCGACTGGAAGGTTGGAGATCTGGGGAGCGAAGCCCAAGTACATATATCCGATGGATTTGCGAGGCAGCTTGATGCGCGGCATGGGTCAAATCTCTTGGAGCCAATCGAGCGGTAAACCTCGGAGATCCTCTCAAAGGCGGGTCTGCATGTACCTCTGTGACCAGGCTCCGGGATAGCAAGAAAAGGTGATCCAGGTCTCGTCATTATGCTGGCTTAGATGTGGACTGGCGAGCTCTCAAACCCCCCACTGGCGGACACTAGGGGTGGACCAGGGGTGTGGGATGGGATGCCCACCTAGTCTAGGACGGCAAGACCAGGGTCAGGATGGGGTTTCTGGGTCGCTGCGAGGTGATCAAAGGAGGGGAGCCAGGATGTCACCTTTGGGGGAGGGTGGGAGGGGGGAGGGGGTTCGACAAGCTGACCCTTGTCTAGTCTTTTCTCTGTCTAGACTGGACTGCGACGTACTGGGCGTATGGTGTCTGTCTTTTTGATAGCAGGTCGTCGTCTGGCAACTCGTAGCCGCAGATGAGACACTTGGGGATCCCAACAAGGGGTCTCTTCCCCGGAAAGTCCCTCTCTGGAATACTGCTCTCTCTCCAGCTTGGTGCTTAAGCTCCCGTGTTTGCGGCGCCGCAGACGGCGGCCGCTGGCTGGAGGCAAAGGCGGAGGCGGAGGCGAAAGTCGAATGAAACACCAGTGACGAGGACTCAAACAGACACTGCCCAAATGCCCCCAGTCTCTTTGCTTCTGCGGTCTTGTGAGGCCGGTTCCTATCAGGTCTCATTTTTGGAGATGCTTTCTTTTCCAAGCCAGACGTGAAGTCGAGTTTAGGGACGTGGGTGTGGCATTGAGACGCGGGATCGCGACAAGGGTCTTGAGACGCTAAAAGAGGCGCCGGTGCTGGGAGCTTGGAGCTTGGGCAAAGGTGGAGGGGGCGTGGATGCAGACTAAGTGATGGTCGAAAGCCAGCCGGGGGAATCCCTGGGCCTGGTATCCAATCTCGAATTTTTTTCTGCTCTCCCAGCAGGCCTCGTTCAGCCCGGACGAGACCGGTGTTGAGTTGGGCTTGGAGCCGGCTGTGGCTGCCGGTTGTTGCTGCCGGCAGCAACTCGACGGCAGTATCCGTATCATTGGGGGAGTTTGCGACGAAGCGCGAGGGCCAGGTTCAGCTGGGGATCCATTTTGGTCTCTCTGGCCGGCAACGTTGTCTTGAGTCGATGCACCTGTCTGATAGCATGTCTCGCTGCTGCTCGGCGCTGATGCGAATCGTAGCGCAGCCCCTCAACGCCTCTGCGGTAGAGGTTTCCCGCAGGCTGCCTCATTCACTGGCACAATCGCGGCGGCGACAACGCCGTCGTCAGCTGGCACGGGGGTCGCCTCCACCACAAAGCCAGCCGATTTGGGTCCCGCTCGACGGCGCCGGCCCTTGGTTTGGCGCTGTCCCGTTGTCCACGAGATGACGGCGGCTTCCGCAACAGACAGACCCTGCTGGTTGCCATTGCGGGCCCGACGCCCGGCGTTGTGCGGCAGTTGAGCTTTGCCTGGCACCGTACTGTGCTGTGCTGTGTTTATGCCGCCGCTGAGTAGTAATGCTCGCCATAGTGGTTCTGGAAAGACCCGCGGCAGCAGTCGGCTCCCTTGCGTATCCGCCGGTCGACCGCCTTACTTGGCCCTTCGCCCTCGGCTCTCCAGCTTGTTGTCGTCTGTAGGGCGGTGGATCGTCGTGGAGTCGCCCCCCAATCCTCCCATCCTCCCATCGAGGCGTTGTCCGCTTCAACTTCCAGAGAGGGGAAGCGTTGACAGAGGCGTCTGGTTCGTCTGAAGTGCCCGACTCCTTACAGCAGCTGGGTTCAGTTTATCAGGGGACGAAACGGTCGAGCATTGTACCGGAGCTGGACTTGTTGGTGGTTTGTCGGCTTACTGGCCGGTGGCTGATGATGGCTGATGGCTCCGCAACACTCGACGCACCCTCGCCTCCCAAAGCAAGACATCATGCTTCCTGCCGCCGTTGTGGCTAGGCTATAGGAGATAGCTCTTAGCAAACACTGCTAGCTAAGGAGGGGCCGTGGGTTCCTGCCACAATGTGCACGCGCTCTCCCGTTCTCCCGTCCTGGCAGCTGGCAGCACTGACAGCGCCGCATTTCCATCCGCCCTTCGCTCCTGCCACTGCCTGCTGGAGTCACTGGACCCAGGATAAACGCCATCGTCGTACTAAACCCTACCGGAATCTCTTACTACGGAGTACGTCGTAGTTAACTCGAGGGAGGGAAGAGGCGTTCCCTGTTTCGCACTAGCGTACTTGTCTCGTTGTCTCAGGCCCCATACTTTGTTTCCTCACTCCCAAACCTCCAAAGCCTTACTACGTACGTACCTAGTCCATCGAACGCTTGCAACAGAGTTGGCGCCGGCTCTGGACAATTAAACGGATTCTGCCACCCGAGCCCAGCCGCCGCCATCTTTAGAAACATGCTTCAGCTTCGTCCGACTCGTCAGTCCTGGCAATCGTCCCAATCCCGAGCTCGGACGTCTGTCAATGCGCAGACAACCAGGACCAGCTTTCCAATGGGTGGCCCTCGTGGCCTCTCGTAGCCTCTCGACGCCGTCATGTTTCTGCCCGGCCAATACCCGACCTCCACCTTTGCCTCTGATATATGCCATCTGTCATCGGCCGTCTGCCATCTGCCAGGCTCTTCGCTGCAGGCGGCATATCGATAATTTGGGACTTGGCCATCTGACAACCCATGGCTGCCAAATAGCCTCCTCACAGTGGACGCCGCTCTCAGGTCTGCCGGGGCCGGGGGGCGTGGAATAACGGTGGGTGTGCCTCAGCCACAGGGCGTGTCGTCTCGGGTTTCCAGAGGAAAGCCAGCTACCAGGGGGTGGCCCGTTTTGTGCCCACGGCCCACGAGCTAGGATCATGCATCTCCGATTTGTTCAATCACAGATTCGAGATGGCTTTCTTGTGCCTTTTGATGCGGACCAATCGTAGGCTCCTTTCCCAAAAGAGAGCACGAGCACGACACTATGCACGCAATGTCGCCGCCCACCAGCTCCCAAGCACCGGTAACTGATGGCCACGGTTACTCTGGCTCTTACAAAACCCGTAGCTGTCAACGTGCGACTCACAGCAAGATACCAACCCCGTTCCAGCAAATACCCAGGATGAAGGGTCGGCGCTTGGGAGTTGAGGGTTGAGTCACTGGTGGCGGGCTGCCTCAGATGAACTGTGCGCCACCTAGCTGTCTGAGACGTAAGGCAAGGGATGCTGACAATATGATAGTCACATTTTCAGAATCGAATCAACTTTCTCGACAGGATGACCCATATCTTAGCAGCCCCCATCATCTAGTACTCTGCGCTTCATAGTGCCGCGTCTAATAAGCCCAGGCTGTCCTCCCGTCAACTTCCATATCAGCGGGATGTTGTGAGAGAAGTGTGGGGGTCCGCGCATCTAAACGACCTCTCCACTCTCTACCAAGGTACGTATCTCTCCCAGTTTGTTCCATACAGGTACCTACCTAGGTTCACAACCCTGAGAGGAGGCCTGGCGCTGACCCGTCCGCCGCCTTGTGGCTCCAACGCCAGCCAAGAGACAGGCGGGCTTTCCCCTCCGCCACGACGGCTCTGCCGTCCCGTTCGACCTACGGGCCGTTTCTTTTCTGAGCGTCAATGCCGGGATGCGTTTCCCCAGGCGGTTTGCTGTCTCATTTGGCCATGTCAAAGAGACTCCAACGCTCGTACTATGGATACGATGAAAAAGATCCCCAGAGCCCGGACAAACCCCGCCAGTTGTCGCCATCACGTCGCCAGTCAACCGTTTTCCGATTCACAACGGCCGGCGTTAGTGAGCTTGTGGCGCTTGCCGATGGACTGGCGGACAATGCGGGACAACAGTAGTCTTGGTTAACCATATGGAGACGCTCTAACGGCGAGGCGCTGGGTCGCTACGAGCCTCACTCCTCCTATAACAGCAACACTCGCACAGATCACCACGCCCCCCTCCCCCCCCGAGTTATCTCCTCCTGAATGACAGAATCTATCATATTTGTGCTCGCCTGTGTGGGATAATTAGGCCGCCATTATTAAAGTCAAAGACAACGGAGCTGTTCGTTCCCGAATATCGTCGGGCACGAACCCAGATCCGGGGGGCCCTGGTCTCGGCGTCTCAGCTCTCCGGCATCATCGCGGTATCACGGGACACGGTTTCATTGACGGATGGCAACGTGCATATTCAATTCATAACGGAGTCTCCTGACGGAGACGGTGTTGTTTTCTCGGCCGATGGCAAGTGAGAAAAGATGGGAATTAGCGAGGCGTCCAAGTTGCCCAGGGTTCATGCTTGGGTGTGAGGGAGGGGTGGGTGTCATCTTCTGGGCTAAAGCCACCCTCCCTACAATAATACACAAATGTGATGTATCATCCCAACATCAAACCGCATCCAGTCGACGATTTCCACTTCTAAGAGAACCATTGGCAGTCGTGGATCACGTCGCGGGTCTCGACGCATCAAAATCTCGATTCTGTTCTGGTCATCCAGCATTCCAGCATCTCGCAGTGGATCCATGACTACATTGAGGATGCGACTCAAGGTTCAAGGTCCCATACCCCCAGGTCCAAGCCAAGATGTGTGCATCCTCTCCCCTTTGGAGTAAAAACTACCGAATATGCTCACGCTTTCTCTCCTCTCGCCTCGTGGAGCTCTCACACCCATCTCAGCTCCCAAGGCTATCGCAAAATCGCGTCTGCGAAGAAGTCGCCAAGGCGCTGACTTGATCTATCACAAATGGTGGAGTTGGATGATCCCAGGTCACATGTGCGGCAGTGGTCCGGTCCTTGCCTGCCTCTGAGGGTCTTTCCGATCTAGGATGCAGGTTTCGAGATGAGCATCGCCGAGAACATGGTGTGCCCCGATCTGCACTCCAGCCTTACCTTCTGATACTGGACGTCAAGGCGAATCGGCCTGGATGCTCGAAGTGACTCCTAATTCCGATGATACGACTTGGGGGTTGGAGGTTGAAGGTTGGCTCCCACTAGGAAAGTTCGAGGACGACCCGGTACCGTGGTAAGGCATTCGAGGCGCACTGCAGCCGCCTCACGGAAGATGGACAGGGCTACTTGAGCTACCCGTGTCGGGGCGCCTCCAGACCATAGCGGCGACGCCTCATCTGTTGCAAGTATCGCAGAGCAGACAAGGCGAGCCCTCGCCAATTGGCATCGATAATGCACGGCGTCCTCCACCCTCAACGCCAGGACGCCAGGACGCCAGGACGCCAGTGCCTGGACGACACCAACATAAATTTTCCATCGGCGATAACGCCGTCGGGTTGGGAGAAAGTTCGCGCAGAGAACAAGCCTAGGTCACCAGTTTGGTCACATACGCTATGCCACTCCATTAGAGGCAGCCACAGAGTGATGGGCAAGCCGATGGGGGCGTGTGGGTTCGCGGCGTGAGCGAAATGTGATGAGGCGTCTCAAGTGGTGATTGCCAAATTTGGGCAAACAAATGGGAGAGCTGGGCGAGCTGGTCACGGCCCTGGTCAAGCCCCTGGTCTGGACTGACCAGGGGCGAGGCTAGGGCGGTAATGAGGAAGCGGGGGCGCGGAGTTTAAACGCCCTCTGCTCTGACTGCCGCGAATCTCCCATGCTACTGCGCGCGCCCGGCGGGAGACTAGGGGTCATCGGCTTCTCAAACGCCGACCAGGCATCTACTACATACCTAGGGATGCTACTATGTATGTAGACAGCCCGGGGCGGGTTGGATGAACCTTGGTGGGTGAGAAGGGACAATGAGAGGACAAGATCACCAGGACGCATATCGAGACGAGAAAACAGATATCCCCATGGCTGTTTACTATGTAGGGGAGTGAGCCCTTCGAGGCGCGCTGATTCATCCGCCCATCATCTCCTGGGGTTCCTGGCAATCCGTCACAGGATCTCACAACCACAGGGCCACTGAGCCACTTGGGCCAACAACGGGGACCTCATAATCAGGTCGCTTGGCGGGAATCGAACCCGTATTTGCCCCTGGAACGAAAATGTTTGCCCTACAACACGCAGCCCCAGGCGCAAGCTGATGAAGGAGGGGGATGTAATCATGGCTTGGGGGGGCCGCAAAAAAGGCCTAGTGGGCTTCAGCCCCCGGTCGGCGAGGAAGAGAGTTCCCAGAGGTCTGGGTGAAGGGCGATCCCCCGGCTGATTGGGTGTCCCACTTGGCGGTGCGAACCAGGTACATGGTCCCAGGCACTTGGAGACCCTTGGAAATGAAAATCCCATGTCTTCCCTCCAATTCCAGCCGTACCTGTGATGAGGATGGGCGATTTTTTGAGGCCAAGGCATTTCAGAAAGAGGCCGATCTCCAGCTAGGCCGTTGCCAACGGCTAAGAGTGGAATGCCGTGCCACGAGGCGGCGTTGGCAACATGGCAAGCAAACTGAGTGGCAGACAGGGTCTCTTGATTCCAGGGGGCAGTGGGCTCCGCCGGTGGACGACGGTTCCGGGGACGACGGGGGCAGTACGGGGACTACGGGGACTACGGATCCGGCCACGCACCAAAAACCCGGGTTTTCTTCCAGAAGCTCCCCAACCCGTTATCGTGGCATTGTATGGTCTTCTCATCCCGATCATTCGATCCGCTAGCATCACGAAGAGGAAAAAAATCTTTTAGGGTCTCGTGGCCGGCGATTCTTCGGGTTCCGGTAATAATTTTGGGCATGGCGCGATCCTGTCTCAGCCGGACGCAAGGCTGGTGTGAAGCTTCTTCGACATCATGCAAGGCACGCAGTTACCTTGATCAAAGAGAAGCCACGGACTGGTGGCTCATGACTGCCACCAAGACAACCCGTTTAATTCTCTGAGGCTGCGGGCGGGAATTACAGCCCCGTCCAAAGCACAGCACACGGAGTTGCGGCACCGGCACGGACGAGCGTGGCGGACTTGAGGAATTCAACGGGATGCGCATCATGCTACCAAGTCTCCGTTTACCACGCGATGGCCCCAGACTTTGTTTTCGTGCCAAGGGCAAGTCGGAGGGCATGGCATGTATTGCAGCCGGTGACGGGAAACCCGGGAGGGGTGTGTATGAGATGCTTGCTGACCGGCTGTGGGCGACGGGCACTTCGTGTGGATGGATGGAGCCGTTACAAGACGGGGTTGGAGGCGAAATTGGAGATTGTTGGGTGACTGGAGGCTGGAGTTGTGGGGAGCCTGAGGGCAGAGAGGGAGTGGACGACGATGGCAGGACTGAGGGTGACCAACAAGACCGAATGCGAATTGTCGGCCAATGCCATGTAATACGATGCTGCTTCCTGCCGGCTTTCTCGCATTGCCCCCAAAAGCCCGCTTTCAGTTGCCGCTGGCCGTTGACGAAACGGGAAAAGTACGAATACGTGGGCCTGCGTCGGCCCAGATGGAGCATGTCCACATCACGGCTCAACGCTCAACGAGGATATCGATGCTTCCCATTTCGTCCCGAGTCCGGAGTCGACCACTAAGAAGAAAAAAGGGTGTTCCCCTCCCATCAGCCCAATTCGCCAATCCCGATGGCCAGCTTCATCATCAATGCAAACGCGTGACTAACAGCACGGCTGTGTGGGGATATTGGCCCCTGTCGTCCAAGTCCGGGTGCGGCGAAGCCAATGGCGACGGCGAATTGGCTCACATCGCTGAGAGCGAGGGCCTCAGAAAAAACCCCGAATTTTGTCCCCATGCCGTGAAATGCATGCGATGCAGCACACGCCCCCCTCTAACTTCCGCCGCAAATGCACAGACAAATGGGCAGGGCAAGGCGAAATTCCCAATCCAGAGGGACACGCCCACCTGTCTGATGCCCGCCAACACCCGAGGCAGCAACTGTGCTTCAGACTCATACACACCTTCACATGATATCAGACTCAGCCCGTCACCCCACTTCTCGCTTGGATGCTTGGTGCTTTTTTTGCTCCTTGTTTCGATTTTTTTTCCCTCTATT